AAAATTATAGACCAGTCTCACTGACATCAGTATCATGTAAGCTACTTGAGCCCATCATATGCCGACATATGCTTAAACATCTTGAAAAAGCATAATGTATTGACATCGCTAAACCATGGCTTCAGATCCAGGTATTCCTGCGAGACCCAACTTGCCATCACAATCCACGACATGCTCCAGTCATACGACAAAGGAAACCAGGTAGACATTGCGATTCTGGATTTTTCTAAAGCATTCGATACTGTACCTCATGATCGACTCTTGCACAAAACAAATCAATATGGAATTAGAGGAAATATCCACAAATGGCTAACTTCATTCCTAACTGAAAGAAAAATGCGAGTCCAACTTGAAGGAGAACACTCGAGTACTGCTTCAGTTGAATCCAGAGTCCTCCAAGGAACGGTGCTAGGACCCATCCTCTTCTTGTGTCACATAAACAATCTACCAGATGCAGTAAACTCGTCAGTCCGACTATTTGCAGACGACTGTTTGCTGTACAGGGAAATCAAAAAACAAAATGACCACAACAAACTACAAGAGGACCTCTAATCACTGGAAAAATTGGCCGACGACTGGGGTATGCGCTTCAACGCACAAATAAGCTTTAAGCTAAAAGTAAAAGCCAGCAGTTCTACAACCTTAACAACCACACGCTTGAACAAGTATCATCCAACCCATACCTTGAGCTACAAATACAGGAAGACCTTAAATGGAAGGAACAAATAACAAATACATGTAACAAAGCCAGTTCCACGCTAGGCTTCCTTAAGAGGAACCTACAACACTGTCCAGGGAATGCCGTAAAACAGCATATATAGCACTCGTAAGATCAATTATGGAATATGGATCAATTATTTGGGACCCATATACGCAAAAAGACATCGATAAATTGGAATCCATACAAAAGAGAGGTGCTAGATTTATTACCAAAGACTACAAATCGAGAGAGGAAGAATGTATGACAAAAATGTTATCAGAACTTTAGCTTCCATCACTACAATCAAGACGTCAACAACAACGGCTGATCTTCTTTTTCAAAGTGGTTGAGGGGAAGATACCAGCGCTCCCTCCTGACGACCTGATTAAATTTCATAGACCAAAACGACAAATCAGAGCAACAACCTATAATAACTTTGTTACTAAGAACATTATAGACCAACAAGTCCGTAACAACAAACGAGCGGTCATTGTTCCATCTAGTAAAACCGACCAGTTAAAAAACTCTATTTTTGTGCGCACTGCAGTAGATTGGAACCATCTGGAGGACTCATTAGTGTGCGTCACTACAACCGATGAGTTTAAATCAGCACTCCTCAGCAAGCGCGACTAACTTGTGCGCAGACCAACCCGTCACACAGTAGCCGAAAGGAATCTGTGACTTACCCATCCATATACAGAAGTGGGAAATACAGACAGACAGATATTATTAACTGTCAATGTCATACCTGTTATAACATATCCATCTTCGTCGTTCACAACCTTGTCTATAGGAATGATCCATTGGTCATTATTCAACGATGCTTTGAAATCTTCTAATTTTAGCGCTGAACTGGAATTGTCTTTGCGTGAATACCCTATTTCATACTTTGTCCTCATCAGACCAAACTCTTTTCTGACATTTGCCGATGCCTTCGACTTGTAGTATTCTGTTCGTTATATCTCTTAGGTTAAGGTCACTCTTTCTTAATTAATGTCTATAACTTGCCTGTGATAAGGCAATTTAAGCCCTTTTTTTTAAAGAATGTATAAATCGGGACAACCGTTCCCTCAAACCCATCAGAATCATCATTACAAGCCATTTTTAGCTCACCTGGCCCGAAGGGCCAAGTGAGCTTTTCTCATCACTTGGCGGTCGTCATCCGTCGTCGTCGTCCGTCTGTCGCCATCGTCGTTAACTTTTTACATTTTGAACTTCTTTCAGAGAATCACTAAATGGAATGAAATAAAACATGGCATGAATGTTCCTTATGAGGTGCTGACCAAGTGTTGTAACTTTGAAGGTGATCCATCATCCAAGATGGCCGCTCAGCGGGGGACTTTCTTTAATATAGGACCCTACGGACCATACATACAAATGGCTTCTTTTAGAGAACCACTGAATGGAATGAAACCAAACATGGCATGAATGTTCCTTATGAGGTGCTGACCAAGTGTTGTTCTTTGTGTCAAATCCATCAACCAAGATGGCTGCCAACGGGGGACTTAGTTTAACAAAGGACCCTACGGGAAATATATACAAATGTCTTCTTCTAGAAAAACGCTTAATGGATTGAAACCAAACATGGTATGAATGTTTCTTTTGAGGTTCTGACCAAGTGTTGTTACTTTGTAGCTGATTTGTCATTGTCCTTATAAAGTCATTTTCGACAATTTCAATGAATTTATTGGTAATTTCTGTAAACTTTACTTAAGTCTTCTGCTTTTGGTTAAATTACGGGGCCAATATTAAACCAAATTTGGCCTCAATCATTATTAGGGTATCTGTTATGATTTTAATCTATTTTTACATGATTTCGTAAACCAAAGTAGAATCAGATCATAGGCGGATCCAGGGGGGGAGCCCCCCCACCCTCCCCCCCTTCGTGTGAAAAATTTGGTTGATTATATAGGGAATCACTGAAGAATGACTGGAGCGGGCCCCCCCTTAGTTCAGTCAGTGGGCCCCCCCTTATGAAAAGTTCTGGATCCGCCACTGAAGATGAGCGACACAGGCTCTTGTGATCCTCTAGTTTGTTGATGGGATCTTCAATACAGGGGAATGTAATGATCACATATATGCCAAAAAATGTAGATCTATATACCCTATGCTGTATTCGACTCCATGACTGGGGACATCACCAATCAAACACATCATGACCATTCATGCATTTTCACCATTATTTCTTTTTTTTTTCCTTTTTTGTTGATTTTTCCCACATCCCACTTCCTTCTTTTTTTCCCTTCTTTTTCCCAGATCCCACTTTTTTTACCCCCTATATCCCACATCCCAAAAATGTGTCACCCCCCTCTTTAATGTAATGTTCTTTTTAACATTTCTTGTTTTGATGTTCATACAAACTTTTTGTGTATTTGGCATCCCAACTATTGGTCCAAGTGGGTTTCATTGGGGTCTAAGAGTGACGTGGGATTGGCTGATTTTTTGTAAGCGTGACATGTGAAAGTCAAACTATTTTGCATGAAAATGGGAAAAAAAGTCGGGCGGGACACATGAAATTACAAGCGCTATAATTGCAATGATAAGCGGGATCTGGGATCAGACCCCCCGAATGAGACCCCCAACCAAGTGGTTCTGATTAAGGTTGCATTCCAGAACCATGGGTAGTCCACAAATAAATTGTATTATACATTTCCTTTGTAAGTTATGTAAACAAGCCAACAATAAAGTTCAATAAAACTGGCAAAATGTAATTATTGACAAACAAACAGGCAAATTATTAAAAAAATATTAATTTTTTATTTTATTCAACAAATTCTGCATTTTCAAAAACAATGGAAAACAGTTCATTAAAATCACATAAAAATTATGGAATCTTTTAACTATAGTTCACATGTGAATGTTAATATAAATATACATAAATTTTTCATAAAAAAAAATAATAAAAGACATAATGAAAAGTATCCTTGGCTTTAAAATATAACGCATATAATCATTTAAAAAAGTCACGGAATTTATAAATATGATTCATGTATAGAAATACCAATAAAATCAGAAAAAAAATACAAATTTAATCACAAATGTAATCGCAAAACTAACATTCTGATTTTTTTCAATTTTCAACTTGATTGCAACATTCTTTTAATTATAATGCCCCAAAACATTACTTAACTCTTTAAATGACATTTTCACATATATAAACATATTAAAGGTGTGTTGGGGACTCTGAAGTGCTATATGGTCAAGCAGAAGTGAGATGGTCTTCATGGAAGTGTGATGGTCCCTTTGCTGATGTGCGATGGTCTATATAAGGGTTTGGATGGGGTTTACAGAATAGAGATGAATGGGTAAAAAATACAAAATTACAGACAAAAAAATAAAGAATAGGGAAAAAGTGGCAAAAAAAAAAAAGAATAGAGAATAAACTGCTTCGTCGAGCACAGCTGGATACGACCGCAGAGGTCCAACCCTGAACAGTTGGGGCAAAAATATACACAATATTCAAGCTTGATACAGGTCTGAATTTGTATTGTAATTAAATATTTGACACATTATAGGTTTCTGACACAGAATAAATGTAGTCAAAGAACTTGAAATTGGTTGTATGATTTGAATTTATATTCAATTGAAGATTTCTTTCTGTTGTGCAATACACTGTGCTGTTGCGCAATACTTAGTAAATCTGTTTTCAGACTATATACAAAGAATTAGCAAAATAAATTGTGACCCCCAATTTTTTACTTTGGAAAATTGACAATTTCTTAAATCTCGACGGAAAAAAATTTGTTTACCCCCCTCCAAAAAAATAATATTTGAAGAGAATTTTCTTTTGAGGAAAAAATATTGCCCTCCCCCCCCTCCCCCTTCCAAAAAAATGTATTTTGAAGAAATTTATTTTTTGTAAAATGTGATACAAATTAAGAGACATCCATACACTTAAACACAAGTTATTGTCTGAAAACTAGAAAGACTAGAAAAATGCTAGTTTTAGACCCTTTTTGGCCCCTAATTCATCTACTTGTGATATTGAACCTTGTACAATTTCAGAGCAATCAAAATATTTATACACAAGTTATTGTTCTGAAACTAGAAAAATGCTTGTTTTGGCCCCTAATTCCTAAACGGTTGGGAGCATCACCCCCAAAAACAATCCCAACCTTCCTTTTGTGGTATTTAACCTTTTGGTTAAATTTCATAGAGATCCATACACTTAAACTAAAGTTATTGTCCGGTAACCAAATGTCTTCGGAATACGCTGACGACGATATGATACCAATATACGACTGCAAAAATTTTTTGCGGTCATATAAAAAGTGGCAAAAAAAAAAAAAAAAATAGAAAACAATTGTGCTAAAATATAATGAATTGAGGATTACAAGCAAAAAAATAAAGATATAGAGAAAAATGGCCTAAAAAATAAAGAATAGAATAAAATGAAGGACCCCTGTCCAGACCATTCTTGGCTGGTTTAAAATCTCAATATTATGAGAAGTAGATATTTTTAAGTTAGTATATAAATGTGCATTCATTATTGTTAGTAAAATATTTGTGGCATTTCGGTATTGATTATATATGTATGTGTATGGTTGAAATAAAAGAATTATTTAAAGATTTATCATCCTGCAATAAGCTTTTTGACCATACAAATAAGTATTACGTGATTATCGTATACTGTTTGAATGTCATCTCCAAGTATCCTGCTAATATATCATCAACATCTTTTAACTGTGTTTGTTACATTAGAAAAAACAAGAATATGTCTTATATTTTGTATGTCCTTAGTTACAGTGTCTGACTGTCATACTAAATAAATATCTTCCTATTTAATTTTGCTACGTACGCTTGTTGATTTACTTAAAAATCTGTAAAGCTGATTCTAAAAAAAACCCAAACAACCTTACTTCAACATGGACATGTAAACAAGAAAAACATTGACAATATAGATTATGTAAACCATCACACTTCTGTGTAGTGATCAACAACACGATAGGGCCACAATAACACCATCATATTTCAGCATGATTAATAAACAGCTACGCCATGAGTGCATGATACGCCCGTCGCTTTTTCAAAGAATAAGTTCAATAACTTCTCAATGTCATATCAGAAACTTATGAAAAACTAAAGGGAGGTTATCTTAATAGATTTAAACCAGTCACCAAAGTTTCATGAAAACTGCTCAAAGCACTTTAAAGATATTGTCAGAAAACTGGAAAATCTCCCCTTTTTTATGAATAAAATCCCATAACTCGAAAACCTAAAATCTAAAATTTATAAAAATCAAAAGGGAGCTTACGTCAATAGATATAAACAATTCAAGTTTCATGAAAACTGCTGAAAGCATTTTTGAGTTATTGTCCAAAAACTGGAAAATCACCCTTTTTTAAATGAATAAAACCCCATAATTCAGAAACGTAAAATCTAAAATTTATAAAAATCAAAAGGGAGCTGACATGTCAATAGATATAAACAATTCACCAAAGTTTCTTTCAAATTGGTGAAAGTGTTTTTGAGTTATTGTCTGAAAACTGGAAAATCCCCCTTTTTTAATGAAAAAAAACCCATAACTCGGAAACGTAAAATCTAAAATTTATAAAAAACCAAAGGGAGCTCAGGTCAATAGATATAAAAAATTCACCAAAGTTTCATGCCAATTGGTTTAAGTGTTTTTGAGTTATTGTCTGACATGTTGACGACGGACGGACAGACGGAGGATACGACAGACGGACAACGGTATACCATAATACTCCCCGTAAATGTACGTATAAAAATTAGATTCATGTTCTTTTCTCAATGTTCACACTTTTTTTATGGATATCTTTATTTTCCAAATTGATGCCAATGGACTGGATAATAAAACTAGTTTTCAACATTAACATACCTGGATGACATACTTATATCAAATTCAAAAATGATTGATTGATTGCGTTAATTCATGGCAGTCAGTTTTTATTAGCAGAGGAAGCTGGAGTGCCCGGAGAGAACCACAACATTTGAAAGGAAAACTGAAAATCCTAGTCATTTAAGTTTGGAATGGAACGCACCTGCCATGTGCCAGTTTCAAATTCACAAATCCCCATGCAAATGAGATGTGCCAATTATAACACAACTGCCTACCAAATATTTTTGACTAAACATTAGGGGTTCCCTTATACCTAATCACAAACTATAACAATAGATGATGTCACCATCACCTGATACAGCCTCTGTGAACTCGTCAAGGTGATACAAAACAGGCAAAAAAGGTACATTTATATATCAAAGAAAGTTGAAAATATAAGTAAGGGAGCAACCATAACTTCAAGGGAGGGGGGTTTATGGTTTTTTGTCTGAGTAAGAAATTTTTTTTCATGAACTTTTTTTTTTTAGTTTTTCGATGCTATCAATCAAATTATTTTTTTTCAAAATTTAACACGATAAGGTATGGGAAAAATCTGGATTCAGAATAATTTTTTTTTGTCATCTGCTTGACCACAATATTTTTTTTCATCAAATTGGGGATCAGAATATTTTTTTAGGAAAAAACCATAACCCTCCCTTGAAGTTAAATGGTCCTTCCCTAATGAACACCCTGACTGCAATATAGTTATATCTGCAAATACGAAACAAAACTTACATCTTTAAACCAGATTAGCTGAAACATTTTGTAACAACTTCAGTTCTGTCAATACTTATTATATATCACTTCTTTATAATTTTATAAACATCAATAAGTTTTATTATGACAAGTTTGCTTCACCCAAGGTTTATAAAACAAAGGTCACAAATACCTCTTCTAATTACTTTCTGACACTAGCACATCATGGGATTTGAAAATCGAACTGTGATCAAAGTAAACCAGTGGGAAAATGAAAATGAAAAACCCTATACATGTATCTCTAATTACACCTTGTTTCTATAATAAATTTCATTTATTTGAAAACAAAGTTGTCATCAATCAACAGATATAATCAAAGTGCTTGTAAGCACTGAAGGGTAAAGATTGCTTTAATTTATCAGTGGGAAGTAAAATTAAACATTGCATCGTAAAAACATTGGTTGTAGTTGATTCAACTACCAAAATTAGATTACTGCACCTTGCACAAGTTATGTAATTTTCTTGACAAGTGTAACATCATTTTGTAACATGAATATCTGAGCATATATTTCATTGACAAATTTCTGGAAATGTTCATGGATAGGATGTTTAGAATGTTATGATCAATGCACTATATTTTGTGTATCTCAAAAGTAGTGATAAACCTTTAGATTTAGATATCAAGTCAGTACCATAGGGTTTTGATTGCATTTCATGCAATCTTTACCCAAAAATCAACAATATGTTTTACTTAAGTACCCTTTCAGTACATAATGCATAAAAGCTGAATGCCACGAAATAGCTTATAGTGCTGAAATGGAGTTAAACACCAACAACCATCTACCAAACATATCAAATACATATCAAGGCTATTGTGCTATATATATATATATATATATATATATATATATATATATATATATATCATAGGTTTGAACGTTGTTTTCAATTTAGACTTGTTTATATTTTTTCATTTGGGCTTGTATTATATTTTCCTTAGGGTTTATATGATCCGTTCATCCTATTTTGACTCTTTCAAAATTCAAGAGTCTATCCTAAATTGAGGTAAATTATATGGCCTTCAAAATACCGTTTCGATCCCTAACATCACTGAAGAGACATTAATTGTAGAAATCCGGAAATGGTGTACAAATTTTTGCACCTCAAGTTTGTGGAATACCATCTTTCGGCAAGTTAATTGTTTTCTGTTTGGTATTAAATTAATATTAAGATCCATTTTGTTAAATCTGGTGATCAATTTATTTGGCAATCGCCAATGGCAGTCAGCAGGGTTTAAGAACATCCGTTGTTCGACCTGTTAGTCAAATGCGTTTTGTTAAAATATACTTTTTCACTCTTTTGGTCTTTAAGAAAATGTTGTTTGTGCTGTATTTAGACCCCTCTACCAAGAAATTTGTTTTACATGCACATGTATAAAAATTGCGGTTTTTATCCAACACAATCATAGGTTTGAACGTTGTTTTTCAATTTAGACTTGTATATATATATATATAAATGTACATATGAAAAATAATAATACAAGTTGTCAAACATTGTTACGCAAAATTTGTCAATAGTGCATAAATGTTTATCTATAAAAGAAATGCCATTTATACTCAATTTTCTTTTACAATACTAAAATACTTTTGAAATTAATATTTTTTTCATTACTTATCATGCTTATATTAATGGTTTTTTTTTTTAAATTTATATGAAAACTGCTCTTTTGATTAAAACATTTGTTCACAATATCACAATATAATGAAATTGCATATTTTATGCCCCCTGCCAATAATTAACGCCAAACTCAAAGGACTATTTAATGGTTCCTCGGAGCCCTGAGTCTTCTGGCTATTACCAGCTATCGCTGCTGTCAGAGAAAAAGTGATACATTGACAGCCAAAAACTATGTCCATTTATCAGTAAAATTATAGAAAAAAATCTTAAAAATCATATTTTTTTCTTTAGATGCTTTTTAAAAATTTAACCCCACACTGTATTTAAATGTTAACTGCAAAAAAAAATTAAGTTCTTTTATCAGTAAAATATGGAAAAATGAACAAAACTATTTTTCTCAGTATATTGTCTTTTGATCATAAAAAACGCATCTGTCAAAATTTCATAAAACTCCATGAAGGTTTTACAAAGTTATTGATGCCTAAAAAAATTTCAATCACAGACTGAACTTAAATGTTGATGACGCTGAAGACAGAATGTAGGCTTGCTATATATTGCTTCTGCAACAAAGTGTTGCGTGGTGGACAAAAATCAATAGAAATCATATTTTTCTCTCATTTTTGGGCATAAAATTGTTGGATTTCAAATACAATTAAAAGATGATATTTGGTGCCAGAAACACATATATATATATAAACACCATATCTGTATATGTTATATAAAAGCACAAAAACATATGAAAATCTATGACAAATATCTATTACAAAATAAGTATATATAAACATACTAAATATAAATTTAATTTTTTTAAGAAACATAAATCATATCATTATATTTTCTAACATGAATAAATATAAGTGGAATGTGTTCAAAAGTATATTTACTAAGATTTAACAAACTATAAACAAATAAAAAATATTTTGAAATATATATTTTAAAACTTTCCTCATTATATTACTTCTTGTTTTCAATGGATCAAATTTCAAAGCAGGTGAAATGTACTGTAAATTCTGGAATTATTGCTAGGTTTTTATTACGGGTAATGTGAATAATGCGACTGGGTGAGTATTGCAATAACAAGAACTTGCATTTTGATATCTGGTACATATATTTGTATGCAGCTTTTCCTGAATTTAAACTAATTAATCTCGCATTTTTGTCCATTGGTCAAAAATGGCAATAATAATTGCACATTATAATTTCTGAATTTACAGTACTTAACTGTTGAAATACTTTTGAAGAAATAATCAGTTTTTTTTTCAAGTTTTTCAATATAAGTTAAATATTTTTTGCAGGTAATTATTTGCGATTCATCACATCATAACTCAGCCATAGGGGCTGATGTTGCTTTCCTTTTTTCAATTTTCATCTTCAACCTTATTTATTATTCAGACCATAAAAAAAGAACTGAAAAAGATGTCAAATTGTGTGGTAAAAGACAAAAAAATTAAACACTGTCTCAAATTTGTTCGTTTCATAATCTAAAGGATTGTGGGTAATTTCATTGTTTAACCCCAAAATGAAAATTATGTCATTTCATTGGTTGAATTCCCATTGTTTATGACATTTTAAGCCAATCACAACGTTGTGCTGTGCTCTTTGTGAAAATATTACCCAGAATTCATTAGATTCTGAAACGGTGAATTATTCCTTGTACATAATTTAGATTCTGATTTGATTTGATTTTTGGTGTTTTAACGCCACTTTTAAGCACTGCTTTTGGGCTATTTCGTGGCGCCCAGTTTTATTGGTGGAGGAAGCCGGAGTGCCCAGAGAAAACCAACGACCTTCGATAGGAAAACTGACAATCCTAGTCAATTAAGATTGGAGTCGAGTGCACCCGCACGAACGGGGTTCGAACTCACAACCTCAGTGTTGACTGGCTAGTGATTACAGTAGTAACTACTTAGACCACTCGGCCACCGAGGCCCCAATTTAGATTCTGCAATACTCTGCTATTTGTGATAATTCAAGTAAAATATTATGAAAAGATTTGATGGAAAATCAAATGCAACAATTTATTCAAAGTGTGATTTATCAAATACTTATTCAACTGGTCAGAACCAGTTTAAATGCACAAAGAACATGAAAATGATATTAACATGGATGTCATTTCTTTTTTATGACAGAAAACATCTGGATTTGGATTTCAGTTATGAGGTAGGATATTAAAAAAATAATATTACCAAGCATAGCGAGAAAAAATGATTTTAAGTAACAAATTAGCAAAGCAAGAAAAAAATAATTTCAAATATCATTTTCTTTACCCTGTGAAAAACATCTACCTAAAAAAGCAGTACATTCCTTCCTTATATTATAATAAAAAAGTTGGTATAAATGCATAAGGAAACAGTTAAAAAACAACTTTTTCTCGATATGGCAGTGACATTATTTTACATTTTTTGCTTCGTTGTGACTTCAAAACAAATTCACATCACAATAACATTTAATCTGAAGTCGATGCTGTTTCATCAAGCATAGTTCTGATATGTGTCATTATGTAAAATATCTGTAACAAAAACAACAATGCATGATTAGTTTAATTGCGTTATTGTTATCTGCTTAACTGCCAGTAGCAGATATTGCCTGCAATATTTAGGATGACTGTATAATTTTACAACTTTTTCAAAAATTTTAATTTTTTGCAAAGTTTAATTATTGCAAAAACTGCTATGGGATAGGTGTGTGTTGCAAAAATAAAAAAAAATTGCATTCTAAATTTTGATAGTATTATTTGTTTAAAGTATTTCCTGAAATAACAATAATTCAAATCTCACTTTTGTGTTCATTGGACAGTAATTGCAACAATAAATGCACAAAATTTCTGAAATTATAGTAGTTTATTGGTTTGTTTATGTGTTACCATAAAATGCTTGAACTTGCATACTTGTTTAAACAGAAATGCATTTACAATTATACTTTTTATAAAAAAAACCAACCTGATATATGTACTTTCTAGACAAAACCTCATTTCTACATGTACATTGAATAGTCTAAGTAGGTTATTCCCATAGAAAGAACTCTTTTATTAAATGATGAAATGTTCTACATAACCTTTCGATTCCTTTGGAATTTTGTTTCGTTTTGACAGACATTTGCTTATACACCACATTTCCTTTTCTTCATACTCATACAGTCTCTTTTAAAAAAATTAAAGACGATTTATGTCAACCCCATTTTCGAAGCTTTTCCAAAATGATTTATAAAAAGTTCTGTATCAAGCACATTTCTTTGGTTTGTTTTCATTATTCATCGTGGTTATTCATCGCTTTTTTACTTGTTTTTATTAGATTCTGTATAAAATACATTTACCTTGACCGTATTTATTATTTTGAGATAAAAGTTGGTTCCAACTTACCTCTACCCTGAAGGCTAATAACCTGCCTACAACCAATACTGCTGAACCTGTGTATTGTAACCACAAATGAAGGCCAAGGTCAGTCAAAAAATTAGAATCACAGGCATACAACCAAACAGGTAAACAATGGACACCAGTCAGGGCTATAATGCCTAATGGTGATTTAAAACCTGAAATTAAATTATATCAATGTACTTTACCTGTGGATTCATTATTATTTGTTTGATACCAATTTTCGTGGGTTTCATGGATACAGGTGAACCACGAATTTAAATGTTCAATGAATTACAAATTTTCTATAGGCTTCGTATGTAGAGATTGGCAAAATCACGAAATCAAATATTCACGAAAATGCAAGTTTTCCTCAATCCCGGAAAATTGATACCCAAGAAAATAAATGAATCCACAGTATTCATAAATTAATGTTAAAAAAGGCATTTATAAGCTATTAAATTATCATTATAATAAATTTGAAATTATTGCAGGTAATAAGCAAATATTGCTTTATTCTTCCATACTCCACAACAGCAGGTCATTTGGTGCTCTGTAGAAGTCTATTTTTGTGTGTGCTGCTTTCCACAAGATTTTTACTGTACACTTATTTTTATTTACATGTACAATGTACATTTCACTGCAAATTTTATGTTTTGAGTAAACAAAATTATAGACAAATCTTATATTGTAGAAAAACAGCAATAACATATTTGAGGTTAAATGTTTATATTAAATATTCTAAATTAAACAAAAACTTAGCAGTAACTTCTTACAATTCTGCATAACAAGTTTACAAAGTAATGGAAAATTTTCATCTGGTATCCTCCAGTTAGCTCCCCTTTTATGAGTACACACAAATGTCAGCCACTCAACCAGAATAACACCATAACCCCACTACAAGATAAAAGTTGACAGTTAAGTAAAACTGTTACTATGTGTACTAACATATTTTTATTTAGGAAAAAAAACATACTATAAACAAACATACTATAAACTAGTATTTTAACTAAAATTAGATTTATTTTTTTCGAATTAATGAGTACATTGGTTATGTTTGAAGTGATAGTAAATTTTAAGATCAAATTAATTTTTTTCTTTACAATGATGTATTTGGAACAAATTTATCAGTAAAAATTATAAATGTGGATTCAGTGTATGTGTCTTATAAGGAACAGTTGGACCACCAAAGTGTTGATTAAAGACCATATTTTATATAGGTTTCTACCATAGATACAGAATTTGTCAAAACCATGAAAATAACTATCCATACAAAAAATATAATTTTTTCCTTGATCCATAAAGGAATCAATAGTATTTTTTTTCAATACTGAATCTGTTGATTCAGAAACCATGCCTTTTTATTCTTTTATTTTTATAATTGTACTTCAAATCTGCTTTAAAAAGCAACTTTTAACAGTGCTTTTAACGAGTTCCTTAACTACTATCAAAGAACTTATTGTTAATTTTTGTAATAAAACATATGAAAACAGTGGAATTAACCATTTTTGGAGTTAAAAAATTCTTAGGATGATTTAGATAAATTACATGCTTTTAATAGAAATAAGAAGATGTTGTATGAGTGCCAATGGGACAACTCTCCATCCAAGTCACAATGTGTAAAACGTAAACAATTATAGGTCAAAGTTTCAATGGTCCTTTTGATTCAGTTAACAGTTTTGACTTTTCCACTCTTTATACTACACTTCCACACAATTTTATCAAACAACAGTTTTCCTATCTAATTAAATGGTTGTTTGATAAATCTGGTTGCAAATTTATTTGCTGCAACTCATATAAAGCCTTTTTCTCTAATGAGAAAGGTAAATATGCTAAATATACTTACTGGAGGTGTGATGAGATGCACTAAATTTTCTCCTAGACAACATTTATGTACGATTCGGCAATAAAATTTATCAACAGATTGTAGGTATTCCTATCGGCAACAATTGTGCCCCTATAATAGCAGACTTGTTCCTTTACTGTTATGAATCACAGTTTATGGCCAAACTCAGTAAAGAACCGTCTAAATTCCATTTATCGATAAATTCAACAACACTTACTGTTATCTTGATGATATTTATCGTTAAATAATAAAGAATTCTCTAACTTTACTGCTGATATTTACCCAAAGGAACTTACTTTAAATAAATCAAATATCAAGAACAATAACTGTCCTTTCCTAGATTTAGATATTTCAGTATTACACCAGAAACTCTACACCAAAATTTATGACAAAACGAATGATTTTTCTTTCCCTATTGTTAATTTTCCCTTTTTGGACAGTGATGTTCCTTTGGCACTGTCTTATGGTTTTTATATATACCAACTCGTTCGCTATGCTCCTATCTGTAGTGACATTTTGGATTTTAATGTGCGTAATCTATGTTTTACTAGTAAATTATTAAGTCAAGGATTTCGTTACAACAAACTACTTAAAAACTTTACTAAATTCTTTCATAGATACAAAGATTTGGTCTGCAAGTTTGGTTGTACCTGTAGAAAACTTATTTCAAACGGAATAGTACATCCTCAATTTTACGGTGATGTTGTACCCTGAGCCCGGAAATTTAGAACTGATTTGTGTAAACCTTTAAATAACTTATTCTAAAAGGTTACCTATTCAACACTGTAATAAAATCTTTGAATATTGTTTTTATTGGTATAAATATTTATTTTGTTATCAATAAATTAAAACCATACTAAATATTACACGTATGTACTTTCACGGTACTACAATCTGTCGATACCTATAGTTTGGCATTGCACACGGTCATGTTTTTCTCTGGCTGTTAATGACATCTTTATACTAAATCCTTTGGATGCTGGATGTGTACTGATTGATATTTTAGTCTTAGATACATAATTTTATTCATTAGTTGTTATTGGCTTTGAACTAGCTGTCAGTAACTGGGAGTACTCTCAGATCTGTAATTTTTTTTTTTTTTTTGGGGGGGATGTTTAAATACCTGTCCACGTCACTCTGTGTTTCTGTTAGATGTATTTCTATTTGTATCCATCTGATGAGTTAATCCTTTTTCAACTGATTTTTACAGTTTGTTCTTATGTTGAACTGTTACACCACTGTCCCAGGTTAGGGGAAGGGTTGAGCACTCACAAACATGTTTAACCCCGCCACATTCTTTATGTGCCTGTCCAAAGTCAGGAGCCTGTAGTTCAGTGGTTGTTGTTGGTTCATGTCTGTCATATTTGTTTTTCGTAAATTGTTTTGTTATAAATTAGATTTTCGTTAGTTTTCTCAATTGAATTTTTTCATAGTTTTCATGTCTGGGCCTTTTATAGTCGACCATACAGTACGGTTTTTCTCATTGTTGAAGGGCGAACGGTTGCCTATAATTGCTTACATCCACTTCATTTGAACTTTGGTGGATAGTTGTCTCATTGGCAATCATACCACATCTCCTTATTTTTATATCATAATTATAGCAAAATGATAAAAATAATCTAGTGCACAAAAATCAAGCACAGAAGAAAAAAAGAACAGTATCAATAATAATAAGCTAAGACATTAGACAAAGTGTTAAAAATACAGATGTTAATTTAGCCTTCTGCAACTTTTTTTGGATTAGATTGGATCACCACCATAACAAATTCAAATAAAAGAACAGAGTTCCAATGTCCCCTGCATTGCACATATTTCTCTGTCTTAGGGCAATCACAAAAATTATGTTTTTTTTATTCTTTGAAATTTTTATAAATATCTTAGAGAAATGAAGGCTTGAGAGCACTATGTAATGCAATTTCCAATATAATTAATATTTTCAAGGAGCATAACTCTTTAAAAAATATTTGATCATCACCAATTTTCGAAATTGTCCTCCAAGACATTGCTGATATAAACCTTTGATATAAATTTGATAAAAATCTGCCAAGAATTTTACACATGAGAGGGCTAAAAATGCAATTTTCCATAAAATTAATATTTCTAAGGGAAATAATTCTTCAAAAAATTGCTGATCAGCACTGATTTTTGAATGTATCCAAGACAATGCTGATATAAACCTATGATATAAGTTTAATAAAAATCTGTACATGTGAGAGTGCTAACAAGACTGGACTGATGCCCCAGAGCCCGATATTTCTATGTTCCCTACAACGCATTGCCCTGGGGACAACAACCAATAGAAGACAAATTATCAGCACCAAAAACACAATGACAATGTGAGATAACCATGGGAAAAACCATAACTTTAACAACAACAAAATTTCCAATACTTTACCTCTATTTTTCTCCATACAAATGTTGAATTCTAGGCTCACTTCATGATGACAATTTCAACCTTACCTATAATTATTACTTTGTTAAGAAGGCACCACAAAAATCCTCAGCAGATGTTGTCTATAACCACATCAATCTACCTTACCTATAATTATTACCTTGTAAAGAAGACACCACAAAAATCCTCTGCTGATGTTGTCTATAACCACATCAAACTAAAAAGTAGAAAAAGTAAACATAAAATCATTTTGTAAAAGTAGTTAAATTCATAGATATACATAAAAGGTGTTACTAAAGTGTAAATATCAATGAGACAGCAATCCAACAAGACATTGAGGTTGAGAGCTCAATAAATCCTGCAAAGTGTTCATGTCCAAAGTCAGGAACAACATCAGTGGCTGTATCTAAATGTTTTGTGTATTTCAGGAAATAGATGATATGTGTGATATCTGTTATGTGTTTTTTCACTACCTGTCTATAACCTTGTGATCATAAAACTTTTGTGTATGATTAGCATAATCAGACTCAGAAATCAACCAATCAAAATGCTTAATTTGGTGTTTCGAGCAAAATTATGTACTCCCAGTACTGAGTAAAATTTTATGACATAATGTCCAGGAGTTAATAATTTGGTGCTAGCATATTGTTTGACATGTTTTCATCATTGAAGAAGGTGTACAGACAAATTAGGAAAGGTATATGATGGGGGCCAGTAATTTCTTTTTCCTTAAAGAGCTGTTTGTTTGATGTTATTGTCAACAAAATGTATACACTTATACCACACAAAAGAAATTACTGGACTTTCCTGTATCCATGATATATGAACAGAAATACCTCCCCCCCCACACCCCAAAAAAAAAAAGATTGGGAAATTTGGACTCCCAATAAAACTGAATTGGATCATATCAGGTGCCTCAGAAGTTTTTTATATCTTGCTTTTCCTGTGATATTCATTTTCTAAACAAGGTTTCAAAAATTAAGTATTAGCAAACATTGGTGAATACAACCAGATACTTTAATTGGGTCTCATTAGACACCTAATACTATGGTTATTTTCCTTGAAAATTTGCATCTCATAGGCAATTATCCCATGTCTTAATAGTCTACTCATAGAAAATCTTCTTTACAATAATGAATGAACTGTCTTCCAACAAATTTTGTCCTTGCTGACATTATTATTAAACAAATTAACTTTTGGCAAATATTGTGCCATTATGTTAACAATCAAAAATTTTAAGGCACATATGAAATATCAGATGTTTTTTTGCATGAACTTTTTTCTGCCATTTCTAAAACATTTTAGCCACCTCTTCCAATTTTGCTAATTCCAGTATATCTAAGAGAGCTACCATTTGATTTTTATGGGGTTGGGATGAAATTAAAAAAAAAAAAGGCAGGACAGAAGTTTTGAGTAAAAAAAAAGGCAGGACAACAATTTATGTAAAATAAAATGCTCCGCTTGGGCGCAGCTTGATACGACCGCAGAGGTCAAACCCTGAACAGTTGGGGCAAGTATGGACACAACATTCAAGCTTGATACAGCACTGAATTTGGATTGTAATTAAATATTTGACACAGCATAGGTTTCTGACACAGAATGGTCTAAGAACTTAAAAATTTTTAATTTACCTATTCAAACCATATCATTATTATTTGCTTTTATATATAAATCAGAAATAACCAATTTAAAATGGAAAATTTTTAAAGAAAAAAAAGAAAAAAAATATCCCCCCCCCCAAATTTTTTGAACCCCCTTATGATTCATCACCCCCAAACTCAATCCCAGCCTTCCCTTTGTGGTATGGTACCTTGCAGTACAATTTCAGAGAGATCCATACACTTGAACAGGAGTTATTGTCTGGAAACTAGAAAAATGCTTATTTTTGGCCCCTTTTTCCTAAGCTTTTTGGTGAATTACCCCCAAAATCAATTCCAGCTTTCCATTTGTGATATGGAACCTTGTGGTACAATGTCAGAGAGATCCATACACTTACACACAAGTTATTGTCATGAAACTAGAAAAATGCTTGTTTTTTGCCCCTTTTTTGCCCCTAATTCCTAAAATTTGGTGGCAATTACCCCCAAAATCAATCCCAGCATTCCCTTTGTGATATGGAACCTTGTGGTACAATGTCAGAGAGATCCATATTCTTACACACAAGTTATGTCTGGAAGTTACAAAAATGCTTATTTTTGGCTCCTTTTTGGCCCCTTATTCCTTAATTGTTGGTACCATAACCCCCAAAATCAATCCCCACCTTCCTTTTGTGATATTGAACCTTATGGTAAAATTTCATTGAGATCCATTCACTTAAACTAAAGTTAGAGTGTGAAAACTAATGTGTCTTCGGACGACGACGACGACGCCAAAGTCATACCAATATACGACCACAAAATTTTTTTTGCGGTCGTATAAAAAGTCAGGATAAACTAATAAAAAAAGACAGGACTGAATAGAGTGGAAAATAAAAGGCAGGACAGAGATTACAACTAAAAATAGAAATGCAGGACAAAATTTTTCAACCTAGCCCCTCCATAAAAATCAAATGGTAGCTCCCTAAGCCTGAATATATTTCCATTTCTTACCTACCCAAGCACCAAATACAGAAGACTGGTTCAATTTCCTGGCAAAATAACCATCAAAGCCTGCAAAATATACAATTCTTCTGGTACCAGAAAACAGCTCATATTTGAATTTAACGAACATCGATCTTTCATACATACATTTAAAACCTAGCTGCCAGACTAGAGGCTCTAAGAAATTTTGTCAAGGTTGCATTTAATAGAAAGTCATGAGACAGCAACCTAATAACACAAACCAAAAACAAAATTACTTATACAGGTTAACATACAGATGAAACAAAAGATAACTTTTCCTATTTTAATATAATCCTGGTATCTATGATGATTCTATCTACTACAAAACTTTATTCTAACGTTCATAAAAATAGATAAAATACTTTAAATTCAGTAATTTTCGCCATGTTTTTATGATTGAATAAAATGCTCCGCTGGGCGCAGCTTGATACGACCGCAGAGGTCGTACCCTGAACAGGAGGGGCAAGTATGGACACAACATACAAGCTTGATACAGCACTGAATTTGGATTGTGATTAAATATTTGACACAGCATAGGTTTCTGATACAGAATGAATGTGGTCTAAGAACTTAAAAAAATTTAATTACCTATTCAAACCATATCATTATTATTTGCTTTTATATATAAATCAGAAATAACCAATTTAAAATGGAAAATTTTAAAGAAAAAAAAATCCCCCCCCCCCCCAATTTTTTAAACCCCCTTATGATTCATCACCCCAAACTCAATCCCAGCCTTCCCTTTGTGGTATGGTACCTTGCAGTACAATTTCAGAGAGATCCATACACTTGAACACAAGTTATTGTCTAGCTGGAAACTAGAAAAAATGCTTGTTTTTTGGCCCCAAATTCCTAAACTTTTACGGCAATTACCCCCAAACTCAAACCCAGCTTTCCCTTTGTGACATGGAACCTTGTAGTACAATTTCATAAAAATCCATACACTTACACACAAGTTATTGTCCTGAAACTAGAAAAATGCTTGTTTTTTGCCCCTTTTGGCCCCTAATTCCTAAAATTTTGAGGCAATTACCCCCAAAATCAATCCCAGCCTTCCCTTTGTGGTATGGTACCTTGCAGTACAATTTCAGAGAGATCCATACATTTGAACACAAGTTGTTGTCTGGAAACTAGAAAAATGCTTATTTTTGGCCCCTTTTTGGCCCCTTATTCCTAAACATTTTGAGCAATTACCCCAAAACTCAATTCCAGCTTTTCCTTTGTGATATGGAACCTTGTAGTACAATTTCAGAAAGATCCATACACTTACACACAAGTTATTGTCATGAAACTAGAAAAATGCTTGTTTTTTACCCCTTTTTTGGCCCCTAATTCCTAAAATTTGGAGACAATTACCCCCAAAATCAATCCCAGCATTCCTTTTGTGATATGGAACCTTGTGGTACAATGTCAGAGAGATCCATACACTAACACACAAGTTATGTCTGGAAGTTACAAAAATGCTTATTTTTGGCCCCTAATTCCTTAACTGTTGGTACCATAACTCCCAAAATCAATCCCCACCTTCCTTTTGTGGTATTGAACCTTATGGTAAAATTTCATAGAGATCCATTCACTTAAACTAAAGTTAGAGTGCGAAAACCAATGTGTCTTCGGACGAAGACGACGACGCCAACGTCATACCAATATACAGCCGCAAAGTTTTTTTGCGGTCGTATAAAAATTGATAGAATAGGTTTCCTAAAAACATAAACTGGATTTATAAGTTTTTATAGCATTATTTGTATTCAGTTTCTTCTGATTTCATAATGACAGTCTGAGAATGAACTAGATATCATTGAGATGGGAGCCATCTCTGTGGGCCCCGCTGTGAATAATGTGTGGTAAATTTTTTTTATCTTTATCATTGGACATGGGGTTGTCAAATGAAACCAAAAGTTTTTGACCTTGACCTTTGACCTAGGAAGTTGTACATAAATTATGACACACCCTCTGGTGTTGGTTTATATACATATCAAGTATAAACTTTGAAATCATAACGGTTCTCAAGATACAATGTATGGAGCGGACATGATCTTTACCATAGGACATGGGGTTGTCAACTAAAACCAAAGTTTTTGACCTTGACCTTTGACCGAGGAAGTTGTACATACATTATGACACACCCTCTGGTGTTGGTTAATACACATATCAAGTATAAACTTTGAAATCATAACGGTTCTCAAGATATGGAGCGGACACGATCTTTACCATAGGACATGGGGTTGTCAACTAAATCCAGTTTTTGACCTTGACCTTTGACCTAGGAAGTTGTACATACATTATTACACACCCTCTGGTGTTGGTTAATATACATATCAAGTATAAAGTTTGAAATCATAACGGTTCTCAAGATATAGAGCGGACACGATCTTTACCATAGGACATTGGGTTGTCAACTAAAACCAGTTTTTGACCTTGACCTTTGACCTAGGATGTTGAACATACATTATGACACACCCTCTTGTGTTGGTTAATATACATGTCAAGTATAAAGTTTGAAATCATAACGGTTCTCTAGATATAGAGCGGACACGATTTGTTACGGACGGACTGACAGACGGACAGATGGACGGACAGACGGACGGACAGACGGACGGATAGACAGATGGACAGACTGATCACTATAGGGCGGCTGCCATTTGGCGGGGCTCTAATGATTAATCAAGCATTTCGGTCCATTGTTCAAAAATTGCATTTATAAGTCATGCAAAAAAATCTGAATTTATAGTACATCATATAGTTCATTATAATGTTTTGCTTTAGAGCAATATATAGAGCCTGAGGCCTCAGTAATTGTAATTGCTTACCGTCTAAAAATGCTGACAGGCCATATAATGAAAGGAACCAGACAGGGCTACTATAGAACCATAAACTGGCACATAGTAAAGCTAATCTCAGGTAACCTGCAAAAAATAAAAACTAATGAAAATTTAGTATTTGCAAAAAGCATTCATAACACTGCACATGCTGGAATTATTCCAACAATTGAAATTAGATGGATTTTCATATATATATTCAATGTTTTTTTATTTCAATTACCTTGCCCTCAATGTCAGGACATATTATAATAGTTGCTGTTACCATTCATGTTTAATATGTTTATAATACAATAAGAGTCTTTCTTTATGTATATTTTGATAAAAAGTCCTTGAAAAAAAGGGAAAGATATCAAGGAGGAAGTCAAAAACCATAAAACAAAGATAAAAAAGACAACACCATGGGCAAAGGAAAATAAGCAAACAACATTCCACTAGATACTACACAGAAAAGAAAATATTAAGCAAATTAAACCCACAAAAAAATGCTCTGAAACAGTAAGCAGGTCTTGTTCCACAAGTGGCACCCATTTTGATGCTAATGTTTTTTTTATATATATGAGGTGATTAATAAATGGAATATAACAGGAGTCTGTTTATATACTTTCTTTAGGCGGGTTCTGTGAATCTACATACAACGGCATATATTGGTTGTAATATCTTTGATTACTCTGGGAATGTACCACACAAACCTTCAGGGCATTAACTTATTACCTTACATCACTACAGCGATACAAATTGTATATTTGTTAATCATTATTAAAATACAATCTGAATAATCAATTCTTGCTCCGATCTTTCATTGGCCAGGCTATAAAAGCTCAATTGAGCTATACAAATTATCTCCCTGGAAACTTTTAAATGAATTTCTGTTTAAATATTATTTTGGAAGCACAATCTAAATTTTGAAGAACTGTCAAAACAGGGGTTTCCCTAAATTTGGACACATGTACATTGTAATACGCAAAATCTTAGCTAAGGTCGAAACCATGCATAAAGAAGATTTCATAAAATTAAAGTATATCATAAATTTGTTCACACAATATTATCAGATTATTGGTTTTATGAGTTTACCAAAGTGTAGCCAAAAGTCTTAGGTGCGCTGATACACCGGACTGCACTGCACAGTATGCAGAGACATATATACTAAAGAGATATGCTACTAGAAAATCTCGCCGACTTCACGCGTGTAAACTCGTACTTGTATGCTAACGAGATTAGCCGTCATCTAGACAATCAATAAACAATCAATCAGAACACCCTATCAATTTTCTATGTATTAAGGAAAGGGACAAAGACTTTAAGAATTAAAATCAGCTTATATGTTAATGGCAATGTTTACATAGCATTACTCGGTCTGTTAATTGGAGGGTCCCAAGATTAGAGATGTGTATATTGTAAATTATTGCAGAGACAATACTATATGTCTCTGATTATTGCCTTTACAGGAAATTACTGTGTAATGTCAAAGATGTCAGCAAGCGTATTTCCTGCTTCTCTGAAATTAAATTTATCTCAATATATATATATATATCTAAATTGATGCTTATCTGTGGTGGTTGTCTTTTTCCAGTCTGCGCCAAAAACTTTTTCATCTACTAGTCCGGAACCTAAATATCAAAACTTGTCCCTATATGACTATAATAAAATTTTGAAAATCAATATTTACTAGTCTGGGACATCGGACATCGGACTAGTGGCTATTGGTGCAGACTGTTTTTCACGATGTCCAAGTCAGATTTTTTATCATGGGACAATGATTTAGATTTAGATATATTGTTAGGGGAATACACAGATACTGACCCGGCTGTAGATAGTGACGACGACTTTGTTCTAGAGACAGTTTTGCATCCCCCAAAAAAAGTCAAGGGAACTGACAAGAGTTTAAGTGCAGATAGTACTGTTGTTGATGGTTACTTAAGTCCTGACTGTGACAAGATTCTAAAGTCTATCTCTGGGTTCCGTGGACACACTTCAAGACAACCATGACAACATGGAAACAATTTGAAAGGTAAATTGAAAAAAAAAAATCAGTAACAGTTTTTTATAAATTCCATCTTTATAAAAGAAATAAATTATATTCCCAAAAATAAATGAAATAAGTTTATAATTTAACAAGAATAGTATATATGTCTCTGCCATATGTAAGTTGTAACATATCAGATGACAAGTTAAACAAACATGCAAAATCTACCTGATTAAAATGTTATGATTTTCTCTATGTGATAAAGAAAGTATACGATATTTTGTTTTAAAAACGTGTCAAATAAATACGTGTCATATCACCTATTAAATTTGGCACGTAAAGTAAAACCTCTGTTCCCATTTTCACGTGCAAATGTTTACATAATTTTGTCTTGGTCTAATCTACGCTTCAATTAACAAGTTCTCATTGGATTATTTACCCATAGTAATATATGCAATATAACTAATTACTAATAACTATAATTGAAAAAAAATAACCACTACGGACTAGAAATGCATACCTATATATTAGATATGTCCCATTTTCGGTGCAAAATATAGATAGTATGCATTTTATTTCCGGGATACACGGACACGTTTATGTATGGGTAAAGAAATTAGTACAACACAACGTTATATTTATATATAAATACTGGACAAGTGGACACAGTGTTATTTCCATCAGAGACATATAATATATATATTATATTGTATTATATGTCTCTGTTTCCATATAGCAAGGATTTATATTGTAAGATACTATATAAATCCTTGCATATAGGCAGTGGCTATTTTGCCGGCGCCGGCAAATAGCAAATATGATATTTTGCCGGCTCTGATTAAATCATATTTATAATTAAAGCCTGCGAAATAGCATATTTTTATAGTAATGGCTATTTTGCTGGCGCCAGCAATATTGTGAATTTGTTATTTTATAAAAAAAATGTTAAGATTAAGTTTTGACAAAATATAACAAAATCAATCACATAGCTTTTAAACTAAGATTTTTTTAAAAATTATATTTGCTTTTAAAATAATAGTGACCACACACACAGTTCTATGAATTGCATACCTGTAATAAAAATCGTTTTTTGCTGGCAAAATTGGATTCCGCTTACCTAGAGCCGGCAAAATAGCATATTTTCTATTTTACCGGCGCCGGCAAAATAGCCGGATCTGCCGCCTTCCGTATATCAATAAAAAATAAAGAAACAAGAGATACAGGTGGACACACAGGTGCTATTTCTATATAAAAATTAAAGAAACTGATGGCTTCAAGTGGACATAGCTGGACATAGTGCAATTTCTAAATAAAAATTAATGAAGTAGTTGCAAAATAGCCGACACTGCCTTCCGTATATTATTAAGAATTAAAGAAACAAGGGATACAGGCGGACACAAGTGGTCACAATGCTATTTCTATATGAATATTAAATGAAAAAGGGTTCGATGACAGGCGTACACAAGTTGAAACGACGTCATTTCTCATATAAAAATTATAGAAACTGGTGGCTACAAGCGGACACAGCTGGACACAGTGCAATTTTGATTTAGAAAATTATCAGTGAAACAGAGGCTACAGGCGAACATAGGTTTATTTCTCTTTATATATATATATATGTTCCTAGAAAATGGTGGCTCCATGCGGACACAGCTTGACACAATGCAATTTATATGCCAAAAAATAACCAAACAGACCGCCGGCTACAGGCGGACACCAGTGGACACAACGTTATTTCTATATATAGAAACAGGTGGACACAGCTGGACACAGTGCAATTTCAAAATAAAAAAATAAAGAAACAGGGGCTCCAGGCGGGTACAAATGAACACAAGGTTATTTCTATATACAAATTATAGAAAATGTTGGCTACAGGCGGACACAGGTGGACCAGGAACATAAATATTTTATTGGTTAAATATACTGTTCCAAGGGTGGACACAATGCAATTTATGCAAACATTTATGAAACAGAGGCGTGACAGGAGGACCGTGAAAAGTGGACACAAAGTAATTTGCATATAAAAATTATAGAAACTGGTGGCTACAGGCGGACACAGCTGGACACAGTGCAATTTCTATATAAAAATTAAACAAACAGGGGCTACAGGAGGACACAGCTGGACACAAAGTGATTTGTATATAAAATTTATAGAAACTGGTGGCTACAGGTGGACACAGCTGCACATAACGTTATTTCTCTATAAAAATTAAAGAAACAGGGGCTACAGGTTGACATAACGTTTTTTTATTTGAAAATTAAGAATCCAGTTATAAAAACGGACACATCTTGACACGGTGTAATTTCTATATAAAATTAAAGAAACAGGGGCTACAGGCGGACACAACGTTATTTCTGTATAAAAATTATAGAAACTGGAGGCTACATGCGGCTTTTTTATGGGTTAAAGAACAATCACTCCTATTAGGGACCAATTGACTATTTCGGCCAGGTTGGTTTACATGTAGATCTTATTTTGCTGAACAATTTTGCTTCTTAGTTTCTCTGTGTCAACTTATCTGCAAAAAGTGTAAAAATCATCTTCAAGGGCAATAACGCCTATTAGGGGTCATTTGATGATTTCGTCCTTGTTTTTACTTCTTCGTAGATCTTATTGTTTTTATTTATTTTTACTGCTTCTCTCTTTGTGTCATATAGTATTCAATATATAAAACAAAAAATTCTAAATTGGCAAACAATTGACATTTTAGGCTCAATAGATCGTCCTAAAATTTGAAAATTACTGCATAGGAGATAGATATGAGCTGCTGATAATTTTTACCATCAGTCAGATTTGCTCCCTGCTTTAGTTCTATAGAATGAAGCCAAAAACTGCATTTTACACCTATGTTCTATTCTAAGCAACAGTGGCCATGTTTGTTGATGGATCAAATCCATGGATAAATTTTTTAACAAGATACCCAAAGGAACATTCAGATAAAGTCTGGTAACATTTGGACTATAAGTTTCAGAGAAGATTTTTTAAAGAGTTTACAACAACGGATGCCAAGTAATGGCAAAAGCTCATATGGCCTTTCAGGCCTGTTGAGATAAACAGGAATCATAATGTGTCTTTGACCGTGGGGAATAATGGTTACACTTAAAAAGGTTACATGTATGGAAAATGAGGGTAATAATGGTTACATGCATAGTGAAATTAGGGTTATAATGGTTAAACGATGGGTGTAATGGTTACATGCATTGGGAATGAGGTTCCACTTGACCAAATGCCATTAATTTCGTCGCAATAGTACTTTCATGTATGCTGAGATGCAATAAAAATTGAGGGCCACATCAGTGTTCCATCCCCCTGCAGAAATTGAAGAAAATGTGTTTACGTATGAACTACATAAACAGACGACAACTACTGTAATCAGATTCCTGACTTAGGACAGGTGCAAACATTTGCAGCGGGATTAAACGTTTTAATGGTACCAAACCTTCTCCTTTTTCTGAAACAATAGTATAACATCACAACATAGAAAAACACACTATAACATATCAATTGGAAGGCTTAACTCAATCAAAAAACGTAAATTAACACACAATGAACGAATAAATTTGACCTGTGACACCTGAAAGCAAATACACAGTTAATAAAAAATTACAAGGGATAAATAATTAAAGTCAAAAGTAAATAAACAGGTTTAAACAAAGTTAGAGTATGTTATCACTGTGAAATTTCAAACAATTTATAGAAAATCATCACTTTTGAAGAAACCTGCGTCATATTATACACAGGTAAATGAAAATAATTTTGTTGTTCTGTATACCTCTTCTTCTGTGTGTATAAAATCTTCCGTTTAGGAATACCAAGGATTTGTATAGTGAGACAATACAAATCCTTGGCAATACCAAGAAATTTCTTTAATATCAATAAAACTAATCTAACACTTGGTATGTATCTTGTAATATGAAATGTTGTTACAGATAATATGATTGTGCTATTCTGAAATATCTTCAAGTCTTTTATTTTCATCCTAAGTTTCGTTATTTATTATTGAAACTGTTATTATTTGTTCGTGTGGTCGTTATAAAAAAATTGGGGTGCGTTGTAATACTATTAAGCTATGTGATATCTCAATTGATACTATCAAGACACTGTCTTAACAGGACGTCCTGCAGTCACATTTCTTGGAATTGATCTACATCCGGTTTGACGTAAACAATATTGCAGATGGAAAATGTCCCACCAAACTTTAGTTTACACTTTTGTTCTACTAGTGTGCATTTTATTAACTTTTGCAGAAGATCATCTTTCTTCTTTTAAACCTGACACCTCTCGTTATCACCATTATGACGAACTGTCGAAGTTTCTACAGGATATGGAAAAAAAATATCCACATATTGCTAAACTTCATTCAATAGGAAAAAGTGTTTTGAAGAGAGACCTGTTAGCTCTTCAGATAACTGACAATATAACAGATGTAGAGCCAGGCGAGCCAATGTTTAAATATGTTGGAAATATGCATGGAAATGAGGCTGTTGGCAGAGAAATTCTTATTTATCTTATTCAGTATTTATTAGAAAATTATGAAAAAGATGACAGGGTTACTAAACTAATACAAAATACAAACATCTATATAATGCCAACAATGAACCCTGATGGTTTTGAAGAAGCACGGTTGGGTGATTGTGCAGGTGTCACTGGAAGACCAAACCATCGCAAGGTTGATTTAAATAGAAATTTTCCTGATCAGTTCCGTAAACACAACCCTGTAATTGAACCGGAAACAAAGGCAATGATTGATTGGATTGAAAGCAACAAATTTGTGTTATCATCTAATCTCCATGGTGGGAGTGTAGTGGCTAGTTATCCTTTTGATGATACAGCTGCACACAGAGATGTTTATAGTCCAGCACAAGATGATGCCATGTTCAAACATCTAGCAAGGGTTTACTCAAGTAACCATAAAACAATGCATAATCCTGGACAATGTGGTGATAATTTTAAAGAAGGAATTACAAATGGGGCAGATTGGTATGATGTACCAGGTAAAAATACTACACAGTACATGTACTTATGAATGTACACAAAAATGTATGGTACATGTACATTTGTACAATTACATATGTATGATTAAAATGTTAATGTACTTGATTCTAACATGTCTAAGAAGGGTAAATAGATAAAAAAAAAATTTCATAAATTGTTACAAAGTATGTTCAGTGATGTTGCATCTGTGTATTAAAAATGACAACAGATACAATGTACACATAAACTTGTGGATATGTGGAATGAGACACCTTTCCACACAAACTAATGGTCAAAGATGTGAACAACTACAATATACACGCCGCTGTACCCCATGATACATGTATATATGTAGCAATAAACGAAGAGAACTATATTGCAGGCTCCTGACTAGAGACAGGCAACATAGGCACATTCAGAATGTGGCTGGGTTAAACATGTTCACAATGTTTTAATTTATATATCCAACCTTCCAACTAAAGCATTGACTTTGTAATTGTAGACTAGTCGTACATGTACACATGTAGGTTATTTCAAAGGAACAATTTTTTATGGTAACAAATCCAAGTATTTTCATTCACTTCTTGCACTTGTTACACAAACTTACATAAAGACATTCTGATTTTCTGCAAAATTGATTTATTACTTTGTCATGTTCATTAAAACATGAAAAATGTTGCCTTTAGTTGACATGTATGTAACATGTGTAACAACGTATTTGATTTTAACGAAAGAAATCTCTGTATTACTGAAAAATTATTACCCCAGGGTTTTCGTTATCACAAACTAGTCAAAACATTTACTAAATTTTATCGTTGGTACAAGGACATACATTATTCGTAAATATAAATGAACATGCAGACATCTTATACGTTCAGGTATTTCACATCCAATCTTTTATGGTAATATTCTATACAAAGCACAAAAATGTCGACATTCACCTCAAAAGCTAACCAAACCTTTAAACAGACTTGTTCAGAAGGGATATAGTTACAATGCTATTGTCAGGTCATTAAAGATGGCATATTTAAATTTTTGGTATTAATATTGATTCACTCATAGAGTCTTTACATGGGAAATAAACACATTTATTCTAAAACCAGTTGTTGGCATGATACGGGTTATGTTCTTCTCATATATTTTATGATGGTATGATACTAAATCCCTAAGGGGAGGGATTGTGCTTGATTTTATATGACATATATGATGAAGACATAATCTTTCAATCAGTTTAATTGAGGTCTGGAGCTGGCATGTCAGTAACTGCTAGTAGTCCTTTGTTAATTTATGTATCATTGTCATTTTGCTTAGTTTCTTTTGTTACCTATTCTGACATGGGACTCAGACTTCTTATAAACTTAGTTTTACTGTGCGTATTGCTGTGTGTTTGTTTATTCTACATTAGCCAGAGGTATAGGGGGAGGGTTGAGATCTCACAATACATGTTTAACCCCACCGCATTTTTGCGTCTGTCCCAAGTCAGGAGCCTCTTGCCTTTGTTAGTCTTGTGTGTTTTTCAATTTTAGTTCATTTATTGTCGAGCCTGCGACTTTTGTCGCAGAAAGCTCGACATAAGGATAGTGATCCGGCGGCAGCGGCGGCGGGGTTAGCTAACTTCTTAAAAGCTTTATATTTTAGAAGCAAGAAGACCTGGATGCTTCATACTTTGTATATAGATGCCTTATGTTACGAAGTTTCTGTCTGTCTTATGTCCATTGTCCTTGACCTCATTTTCATGGTTCAGTGACTACTTGAAAAAAAAGTCAACATTTTTTGTAATGTTAATTTCTTTCTTATTATGAGTAATAGGATAACTATATTTAGTATGTGCGTACCTTGCAAGGTCCTCATGCCCGTCAGACAATTTTCATTTGACCTCGACCTCATTTCATGGATCAGTGAACAAGGTTAAGTTTTGGTGGTCAAGTCCATATCTCAGATACTATAAGCAATAGGTCTAGTATATTCGGTGTATGGAAGGACTGTAAGGTGTACATGTCCAACTGGTAGGTGTCATGTGACCTTGACCTCATTTTCATGGTTCAGTGGTCAAAGTTAAGTTTTTGAGTTTTGGTCTTTTTTTCTAATACTATATGCAATAGGTCAACTATAAATGGTGTATGGAATGATTGTAAGGTGTACATGTCAAGCTGGCAGGTGTCATCTGACCTTGACCTCATTTTCATGGTTCAGTGGTCAAAGTTAAGTTTTTGAGTTTTGGTCTTTTTTTCTAATACTATATGCAATAGTTCAACTATATTTGGTGTATGGAAATATTTTATGATCTATATGTCAGTCACACAGGTTTTATTTGACCTTGACCTCATTTTCAAGGTTCATTGCTCAGTGTTAAGTTTTTGTGTTTTGGTCTGTTTTTCTTATACTGTATGCAATAGGTCTACTATATTTGGTGTAAGGAATGATTGTAAGGTGTACATGTCTAGCTGGCAGGTGTCATCTGACCTTGACCTCATTTTCGTGGATCAGTGGTCAAAAGTTAAGTTTTTGAGTTTTGGTCTTTTTTTCTAATACTATATGCAATAGTTCAACTATATTTGGTGTATGGAAATATTATATGATCTATATGTCAGTCACACAGGTTTTATTTGACCTTGACCTCATTTTCAAGGTTCATTGCTCAGTGTTAAGTTTTTGTGTTTTGGTCTGTTTTTCTTAAACTATAAGCAATAGGTCAACTATATTTGGTGTAAGGAATGATTGTAAGGTGTTCATGTCTAGCTGGCAGGTGTCATCTGACCTTGACCTCATTTTCGTGGATCAGTGGTCAAAAGTTAAGTTTTTGAGTTTTGGTCTTTTTTTCTAATACTACATGTATATGCAATAGTTCAACTATATTTGGTGTATGGAAATATTATATGATCTATATGTCAGTCACGCAGGTTTTATTTGACCATGACCTCATTTTCAAGGTTCATTGCTCAGTGTTAAGTTTTTGTGTTTTGGTCTGTTTTTCTTAAACTATAAGCAATAGGTCAACTATATTTGTTGTATGGAAGAATTGTTAGCTATACATGGCTGCCTAGCATGGTTCATCTGACCTTGACCTCATTTTCATGGTTCATTGGTCAATGTTTAGTTTACTTGGTTAATGTTAAGTTTATGTGAGTTGTAATAAAGCTTTATATTTAGGACTATCAACATAATATCAATGATTAATAAAGAAGGCGAGACATTTCAGCGTGTGCACTCTTGTATGTTTTAGAGTTTAGTGTGATGTCCATTTTCATTGAACTAGTACACATTTTTGTTTAGGGGCCAGCTGTGTTGAAGACCCATTGGTGGCCTTCGGCTGTTTTCTGCTCTTTGGTCGGGTTGTTGTCTCTTTGACACATTCCCCATTTCCATTTTCAATTTTATTGATGAATAATCCATCCATCTACATGTATTCATGTTGCTCAGTCTTGAGTTTTCTATGTTGTGTTTTGTGTGTCTGTTAACGTTGGTCTTTTTCATTTTTCAGCCATGGCTTTATCAGTTTGTATTCGACTTATGAGTTTGAATGTCCCTCTGGTATCTTTCGCCTCTCTTTTGCATTAAAAACATCATATTCCTTTCCAAATGGAAATGTAAATGTAAATTTTCTTATGCTGCCATTGAAAGTTATACAAACCACAGAAGGATTGCTTATAATGGATTAATTATGACCGTAATATTTATACTTGCCATTTTATCTTCAGAAACATGCAGCTCAGCCGACAGGAAAGTAATTGGCTCTAAAGTGAAAAACATATGCATTCAACACACATTAACAGATTCATTAACAGACATTTCATTAGATTCCACTAGTTACAAGTCATGAGTACAAAATATATATATTTTAATGCAAATTCATTGTTTCAATTTATTGATTAAAGTTGCCTAAATTTGTTCAATTTATATGTTTTTCAGTGAGAAACAGTGAATTTCATAAACATAAAAGTTTTCTCATAGAATTGAATGCTGGATTTTAAATGAAATTTTTATGAAATGAAGGCAAGTGACCATCACATTTTGTATCTTGTGCAGATCTTTTGTTAAAACTTTGTACAACATGTACAATTCAAAAAAGGATTAAATAAATAGGATACATATAGCAAGATGTACAATGTTACAATGTATCATTGTAAAAACCAAACATAATAGCCCTTCTCCCTATGATTCTAAAATAATGTTCACAAGCTCTGTAGACATAATATATAAACAACACATCATGTACATAATAGTGTATTTTTAAATGTCATGCATGTGTAAAAAATGTATTTCAGGAGGAATGGAGGATTACAACTATCTTCATAGTAACTGTTTTGAGATAACAATAGAATTGTCTTGTTGTAAATATCCACCTGTAAACAGGTTAGCCATAGAATGGGACAACAACAAAGAATCTTTAATGACTTATATGGAAGAGGTTAGTATTGCCATAATACTGTTCAAAATTATTTACCATCAAGTTAATAAACTTTATTTCATGATGAACTTTTATCTGCACTTTTATCTTGTTTATAGGCCCCAAAAAATATATGCTTGTTTCCTGCCTCCAAGCTTAAAAAATAGGGTACATGTAGGTAGGAAAGGAATTTATTTTATTTTTCACTTTTAGTATTTATTTTTAACTGAGATGCAGGTAAATTTCAAGATGGAGGATATTTGAAACCAATACCAAATGAGCATAACTGATCATTTTAGGAGAGAAAAAGGCTAGGTACAACATCATTCTTAATTAGTAATTGTCTGAATGACATTTAGTCCACATTTCCCAATGATTTTCAATATTGCTAAGACACTTGCACATGTCAATTTATAGGTTGAATAATTATGATATCTATTTTCCCTTTAATATATACATGTTGTATCATATAGCTAACTGTTATAAACAGAATGAAAAGAAAAATGAACTTTATTCTTGTTGCTGAACAAGAAGAACTGTTGAAAATGAACATGTCAGTGTTAAATCATATGTTCAAGATGTGCTTTATTCTTTATAAGTCCCCTACCAACGAAGTCAAAGGGAACTTTAGGTTTGCATTCTGTCCGTCTGTCTGTCCGTCCGTCTGTCCATCCGTCAGTCTGGCAAATCAGCTTTCCACACTTTTTTTCTTCGTTCTTGAAGATATTGATTTGATATTTGGTATATAGTTTTGCCATAAGTTATAGATCAAGTTCGAATTTTGTTCCGGTCTGATGATTTAGTCCAGAGTTATGGACCATAACTCTGGACCATATCTAATGTTAGAGTACTATGTTAAACCATATTTTTGTACAAAGGGAGATAACTCATTTTTTAAAAGACATTCTTTGTTAAATTATTTGAAGAATTTTTTGGCAGGTTTGTATGTTATTTTGTATAAACTAATTTTCTTAATGCTATATATATATATAAAAAAAATATGAAATGAAATCCTTTAATTAGATAATAATCTATTTTTATTAATCTATATATTACATTACATTGTGTAGATAAAAATTGTTGACATTTTATAGATAAGTTACAAATCTATATTACTTTAATTTTATAGATAAGTTACAAATTTATATTAGTTTCATTTTATAGATAAGTTACAAATCTATATTAGTTTGTGACAAAAGAAAAGAAAAAATATTTGGAACTATTAATTATATTTGATTATAATTCGAAAATAGATATACACTGTATTACATCATATCTAATCTTCGAGAACTATTAATTATATCTAATGTTAAAGTGTTTTCCACACTTTTTTTCATCATGCTTGAAGATATTGATTGATAATTGGTATATAGTTTTATCATGACAAGTTATACAGATCAAGTGCAAAATTTTGTTTCGGTCTGATAATTTTGTGCAGAGTTATGGTCCTTGGACTTGAAAAATTCACTCATTTAATCAGTTTTCCACACTGTTTTTAGTCATGCTTGAAGATATTGACTTGATATTTTCTTATTGTTTACACCATGACAAGTTATAGAACATGTTAGCTTTTTGTTCCAGTATAATGAATTTTTACCCGGTAGGGGACTATGTATTGCCATGCAATACTCTCAGAATGCTTGTTTTCTTACAGATTCAAACAACTTTATGAAAATGCACGAAAACAAATTAGAGTAGGAGTGTCTGAGACAGGGACGGTTGAGAGATAGGAAACAAGCATATATTTTTTGTTTGGCCATATTAGTATATTCATAAAAATATAAAACTAGAAATACATGTGTCTCCCTGGTATGGGAAAGTAATTTTAATTTTCTGCTTTTTAATTGCTGAACACATATATTTCATCTTGACAACAGTACTTTGTTCATTCTAAAGTAATCTTGATTTTACAGGTACATAAAGGTGTAAAAGGGTTTGTTCGTGATGATTCCACAAAAGCTGGTATACCCGAGGCTGTGATTATGGTGGGAAGTATCAAACACAACGTAACAACAGCAGGGTATGGTGATTACTGGAGACTTCTGGTTCCAGGAAAATACACAATCTCAGCTGTAGCACCAGGGTAAGTACAGGGACCAGTAGTGTCTTGTTATCAGTTATGGCATGGTTTGATATTAGCTTAAAAATCTAAAAAAGCTTTAAAGAACCAAAATAAAACAAAAGATGAAAAAAACATGATTCAGAAAAAATAATCAATAGATTTTGAGATTCAGGCAGATTGACAAGATTTTTTTTTGCAAGGGAGTTCACATATTTTGACCTAACTTACCTGTACATTACATTTCATGTAGCTGTTGTCATCTAAAAGTTCTAGAAGACTTGTCCACCCTCTGCTCACTTCCAATATGGAAATGACAAAATCCTCAAGGTCAAGTTACAGTAAATGGGCTAAGTCACAGATTTTGGTAAAGAAAATTAAGAAATATTTATGTGTTTGAAATTAGACTTTTGATGATTTAAAGACAAATTTAAGAACGTTTTTAGCCACTTTTATGTGCTTTCTATACAAATGTTCACCTTTTTTGAAAGAGTTTAATCAGTAATATATCAGATAATAAAAGAGATAAATGCATTATTTTTTCGATTTTTAGTCATATTTTAATGAGCCAAAGTTGTATGCGAAATAATACCAAAATCTGTGACATAGCCCATTTACTGTTCCTTCACCTTAAGGTAGATGGGAGTCTGTATTAAAGTTAATAGAACTTTTTAATAATTTGCAAAAATGCAGTTTATATCATGTTTTTTCAAAATATAATTAAAAGTGGGTCACAGGACTTTCTTCAATCTAGAGGTTGTCAGATTTCATATAGATTGTAAATAAATAATCCAATTTTGTGTGATAGAAAGAAAACTAAATTATAGAATTTTAGAATAAAATATGAGGAGATAGCTCTGATAATGTGCTTTTAGATAATATAAATGAAAAATTTAGAGGAAAAATCTTACTAATGAATTACATGCATTCCTCTCTCAAAATTTGAACATTTCATTAAAGACTGATTGCTATCCAAGATGGTGAATGGTATCCAATTTACCTTAAGCTGTAGTATATATATAAGCACAGAAAATGTATAAACTATTTTTTTTTATATATTCCTTAGATATGAGAAAGAAAGTAAATCTGTGGAAGTAAAAGATGGACCAGCTGTAGAAATTGACTTCAATCTGAAAAAAATAAAGCTGAGCACAGAACCACAGAAAGCAGCTGAAACCAAATCGGCACCTGAAGAAAATATCCCTAAAGAAGCGGACACTCTAGAGATTCTAGTCAGTCATGTCAACAAGCTGAGGGATGCATCACACAGGGAGAAAGTTACATTTATAGAACCAAAGGAATTCAAACATCATCACTATAACGATCTTGAACAATTCTTAAAAAATATTTCTCAAAAATATCCAGAAATTACAAGATTGTATTCTGTTGGGAAATCTGTACAAGGGAGAGAACTTTGGACAATTGAAATAACAGATAATCCGGGAAAACATGAACCAGGTAAATGTTTTGTTAAGGATGTTCGCTCCTCTTGATTTTGAAATTTTGTCAGACACTTGGAATCCTCTGGTTTTATCCATGTAGTGCTAATAAATATTTTGCTCAGTAACCCCTACTTTTCTTTTCACAATTTTATTACACATAGTTTAAAAATCCATATTTGAAAATCTTATGAAATCTTTGTTATTTTTTCATAGTTTTTGAAAGAAAAAAGGTGCCAATGTTAAATATATGAAAAAACTAGAGAGAACCATTTCCCACCAAATTTTCAATAGCTTATATCTCGAAAACAAGCTCACGGACCCTTCATTTTTTTTTGCTTTTTTTGTTCCTTTATTTATATACTATCAATTTATAACAGTCTTTTAAAAAGCTTTTTATTTTGAAACAAAGTAGCGAACATCCTTAAAAGAATAGCCAAATTCATGGAAGGTTAATTTTGTCTGAGTGAGTTTGAACATGATTTTCTTAAATGAGATTCTAAATCTGCTCATGGAGCTTTATTACTCAGACCAAAAAAAAGGGGTGTTTATATAAATACCATTGACATGATTGACCTTAAGTTTTGATTCCTGAATTGTGTATTTGTATAAATATTTTTCTGTTGTTAGGTGAACCTGAATTTAAGTACATTGGTAATATGCATGGTAATGAGGTCGTAGGTCGTGAGATATTACTGAACTTGGTTCAGTTGCTATGTGAGAATTACAAACATAACCACTTCCTGTCGCTGATGGTGAACTTTACGAGGATACATATCATGCCAACGATGAATCCAGACGGCTATGAAAAAGCTCAGGAAGGTAATATTTTACTGTGGTATTGTTGTCTGCTATTTTCATTTACTGTAAATTTAGATTTTATTGTGAGTTTTCTATTAATACGAATAATGGGACTGGGTGAGTATGGCAATATTGATAAAATTGAGAATGGAAATGGGGAATATGAACAAGCTCTCTGATATCTGATACATGTATCTGTATGCAGATTATCCTGACGTCACAATAATTAATCTCACATTTTTATACGATCTTAAAATTTTGGCGGTCGTATAATTATATGACATTGTCGTTGTCGTCCGAATATATTTGGTTTCCAACTGTTCAAGCTGCGCCCCAAATTTTATTGTTCATTCCTTAAAAAAATCAATAATTTCTGTATGATTATTGAGTCTCATTACTGCAACACAAACCTAAATGCTTGTTTCCACTACAGGGTTCTCATTAAGAATTTTTTAAGGCGAGTCCAGGGTCTTGTAATTTTTTGCCAAGGGGCGGGGGGCGCCTGGAGTCCAACAGTGAGAAGATGACATTTTCTGCTATATAATTTATTATTCCAGTTTTCATGACAAAATAGGCCACGAAAATCACATCACATTTAGATTATTTTTTTATTTTTGTAATAAAATGATGATGTATGTACTCAGTTTACAGCATCCCTTTTGAGAGTTATATCCCCTTGAAGCAATTTCTTTTATTTGCATTTTTCTTCAAAAGTGTTAAAGATAGAAATGATTTGAAAATGGCAGCATGTACAAGAACAGATGGCAATGTTAATAAACATAAACAATTATTTTGTTATCAACCCTTATAAGGATTTATTTCCCATTTTACAATCTTGATGCATCTTTACTCACCAGTTTTGAAAATGACGAGTTCAGACAGACATTCATAAGTACAGGACTCATGGACTTGCCTTTGTCAGAACCCTGCCACAATCATTTTTTAGGGATGGTAATCAATCATTAATTTATTTTTAGGTGATATGATGAATGTCCTAGGACGAGCTAATGCCCATAATATAGATCTGAACCGTAACTTTCCTGACCAGTTTGAAAAAACATCAATTAACAATCATCAAGAACCAGAAACTGTTGCAGTAATGCATTGGGTTCACTCCTTACCATTTGTTTTGTCTGCCAATTTACATGGTGGCTCTCTTGTGGCTAATTTTCCTTTCGATGATACAAAGGAAGGAACAACAACATACAGCAAGTCAGCAGATGATGCCACATTTATTCAGATTTCAGAGGCATACTCACTGGTAGGTAATCAGTAAGTAAGCAGATGATACAACATTTAATTAGATTTCAGAGGCATACTCACTGGTAGGTAATCAGTAAGTCAGCAGTTGATGCAACATTTATTTAGATTTCAGAGGCATACTCATTGGTAGGTAATCAGTAAGTCAGCAGATGATGCCACATGTACATTGTATTCAGATTTCAGAGGTACATTGTATACTCTTTGGTAGGTAATCAGTAAGTCAGCAGTTGATGCAACATTTATTCAGATTTCAGAGGCATACTCACTGGTTGGTAATCAGTAAGTTAGTAGATGATGCCACATTTATTCAGATTTCAGAGACATACTCACTGGTAGGTAATCAATGATGCCATATTTATTCAGATTTCAGATGCATAATCACTGGTAGGTAATCAGTAAGTCTTCAGATGATACCACATGTATTCAGATTTCAGAGGCATACTCACTGGTAGGTAATCAGTAAATCAGCAGATGATGCCACATTTATTTAGATTTCAGAGGCATACTCACTGGTAGGTAATCAGTAAGTCTTCAGATGATACCACATGTATTCAGATTTCAGAGGCATACTCTTTGGTAGGTAATCAGTAAGTCAGTAGATGATGCCACATGTATTCAGATTTTATAGGCATATTCACTGGTAGGTAATCCGTAAGTCAGCAGATGATACCATATGTATTCAGATTTCAGAGGCATACTCACTGGTAGGTTATCAGTAAGTGTGCAGATGATGCCACATTTACCCGGTATTCAGATTTTGGAGGCATACTCACTGGTAGGTTATCAGTAAGTCATTATATTTTCATGTATTTTAATTCATGGTTTTGATCAAGTCATGATCAGCATACAAGCCTATAGAAAATTGGACTTCATTGAGCATTTAAATTTGTGGTTTAACCATATGAAATATGGCTTTATACATGTATAACAATGATTGATTAAGGAAAATAGTTAGCAATATTTATTGCATAGATTGAAAATCTTGGATGAGTTCAATATTTCTTTTAATCAAAATCAATAAAAAGTTAAAGCTAAAGTTTTTGAATTTAACAATAGAGTAATATTATTCCTTCAAAGAAACTTTTTAAGTATAACTTAAGTATAGATTAATTTTGCAGTTGCTTTACCAAATAACAGCAATTTGAAAATTATTTTAATTATTCTTTATAATTTCTAAAGGAATATAAGTTGCATATTCAATTACAAAGCCAAATTTTTATTTTACAGGCCCATTCCACAATGCATTCAGGCCATCCATGCCCTTCCACAAGTAGGGAATACTTCAAAGATGGAATTACTAATGGAGCCAAATGGTATAATGTAGCAGGTGAGAATAGACATACTATCATTATGAGTTAGAAAAAACTGATAGCTTTTAATCATAAAATTGTGGTTAGAACTCAGGCTAAAGCTAAAGTAAAAAAAATTTTCGGTCAGACTGACAGTTGATTTTTTTTCTTCAGAAAACTGTCAATGACTTTAAAAATAGGAAATTTCAAAGATTATAAATTAAGAAATGTTTGCCTGCATTCAATTTTATGATTGTTGAAAAAAGGATAATGTGACATTAATTATTGTTATTTCATGAATTGCTGCTACTGTGAATTCATTTATTTTAATGGGTATCAATATTTGCAGATTGAGGAAAAAATATGCTGTTTATCATTTGGGGTGAACACTTATTCATGACAATCCCTACTGACTTGGCACTATCTAAAAGTGTTTTCGACTTGTCTAACAGACCTATACCAATGGAAAAGCTGCAAAATCTTTAAACAGAGAGGCAAAAGATACCTAAGGGACATTCAACTCATTAGTCAAAAACAAAACAGACAATGCCATGTCAAAAAAACGCAAAAATGATCAAAAGGCAAACAACAGTACACAAAACACAACATAGAATACTAGAGACTGAGCAACACGAACCCCATTAAAAACTGGAGGTGATCTCAGGTGTTCTGGAAGGGTAAGCAGAATTTAAATTACTAATACAATCTTTACTTGATAGGTGGCATGCAGGATTGGAATTACCTCAACACTAACTGTTTCGAGATCACAATAGAACTTGGCTGCTATAAATATCCCTGGACTAAAGATCTCAAGTCTTATTGGACTGCCAATAAATATGCCTTACTGGTGTTTATGGGACAGGTAAGTGGATATTTAAAGGTAGCTAACAGTTCAGGTCATAGCGGACGTTAAAATATCAAATATGATTCAAAAGAGATGTCGGATATACGTCAATGAGACAGCAATCCAAGGAGAAAAACAACACAATTTGACATATCTTAGAAGTCAAGAAACAGTTTTCATCAATAGACAAATTTCTATATCATTTGTCAAGCTCTTAAAATCCAAAAATTTAGACGAGTAGGTTGTAACAACATACTGTTATTGTTTGGTCAGAAGTGTATTATAACATTATAGTTTTAATCAAAAACATATCATTCATTCTTAATAAGGTATCTTTTAAGATGGAAATACTTTAGTATATATATAGGGTGGGAAAATGAATGGCTATTGTTTAATATACACATGAAGATAAAGCAACATTAGCAACATATCTTTGAACAGGATTTTCTTTCTTCTTTTAAATTTTTCTTCATTATTTTTTGTAAATATTATACAGATGCAAATTTTGTAACCAGATGACATTTTCTCCATCTTATATGTTAAGGTTAGAACTTCATATGATCATGAAAAAGAAAACCAGCTTTATATCAAACTTACCCAATGTTTTATTTATAGATTACAAAAAAAAATCCAAAAAGGGAGATAACCTTAGTAAATTCTGTGTTGAATTAAAAAATCTTTCCTACATCTTGAAGTTGTTACACGATCTTCATTGATCAATTGTTTAATCCCTAAACTATGGCAAATGTTGAATGATTTAACGCAATGATCTGAAGTCAAACCTTATCTTGTAGATACATAAAGGTGTGAGAGGGTTCATCAAATCTAAAGATTCTGGTGAGCCAATAGCTAATGCTACCCTAATGGTGACTGGTATTGATCATGCTATAACTTCAGCAGAAGGTGGTGACTACTGGAGGTTACTCTCTCCAGGAACATATGAAATCACAGTCTCAGCACAGGGGTAAGTTATAAGGTGAAAGGAGCAAGGGAATTGTGACTACTGGAGGTTACTCTCCATTACAACATATGTAATCACTGCCTCAGCCCAGGGGTAAGTTTTAAGGTGAAAGGAGAAAGGGGATTGTGACTACTGGAGGTTACTCTCCATTACAACATATGTAATCACTGCCTCAGCCCAGAAGTAAGTTATAAGGTGAAAGGAGAAAGGGGATTGTGACTACTGGAGGTTACTCTCCATTACAACATATGTAATCACTGCCTCAGCCGAGGGGTAAGTGAAAGGAGAAAGGGGATTGTGACTACTGGAGGTTACTCTCCATTACAACATATTATAATATAATATAACATAATTATAACATATTATAATATGTAATCACTGCTTCAGCCCAGGGGTAATTTATAAGGAGAAAGGAGATTGTGACTACTTGAGGTTACTCTTCATAGCAACATATGCAATCACTGCCACAGCCCAGGGGTAAGTTATAAGGTGAAAGAAGCAAGGAGATTATGGCTACTTGAGGTTACTCTCCATAGCAACATATGTAATCTGTCTTTCCTCAGCCTGAATCACATTGCTCTGATTTTCATGAAATTGCATATCACAACTTTTTTTGCAGTAAAATATGTTTGATGTTAAATATCAGCTGCTTGACCCAATTTGAAACCTTTTTATGCTCCAGCAACTGAAAGTTGGGGGGCATATTGTTTTACCCCTGTTCGTCCGTCTGTTCGTCCATTGTGACGTCCGTCCCATTATGGGTATATAGCTATTCCAGATAATTCCTCCTACAGTGTGAATGCTAGGAATTTTTCACTTTGCTGGCTGTTTGTACATATATTGAAGGTGTGCATGTGGTCAGGGTTTTGATTTTTATCAATATTTGCTCTTTTGGGAGATAGTTGAACTTTGTCATTTTTGGAGTATATACTTGCATAAGAGGTGCATAGCTATTCCAGATAACTCCTCCTACAGTTTGAATGCTAGGAAGTTTTCACTTTGCTGGCTGTTTGTACATATATTGAAGGTGTGCATGTGGTCAGGGTTTTGATTTTTATTAATATTTGCTCTTTTGGGAGATAGTTGAACTTTGTCATTTTTGGAATATATACTTGCATATAAGAGGTGCATAGCTATTCCAGATAACTCCTCCAGGAGTCCTCCTACAGTGAACCATAGACCTATGTGCTCCCATGCTCATTTTTGTGTATTTTAAAATAACCCTTTGCATCTGCAGGGGCATTATTTGTGTCTCCAAGACACAATAATATCTTTAAGAAAGTCCTACATTGACTTTGTTATAATACAGTTACTTCAGAGTGGAGTGCGGGGGCATCACTTTGTCTAGTTGAATTTAATCTCTGAGAAAAAAACCCACTTTAAATGACTACTGTGGATTCATTATTATTTTCGTTAGCTACCAATCTTCATGGGTTTAGTGGATACATATGAACCAAGAATTTAAATGTTCAACGAATAACAAATATTCTATATATAGGCTTGTATGCAAATATTGGTAAAACCACGAAATCAAGTATCTATGAAAATGGAAGATTTCTTTAATCCACGAAAATTGGAACCCACGAAAATAAATGAATTCACGGTACCTCAAATCATTTTAATATGATATTTGTTACCTTTGGGTTAGTTATTAAACAAGTCTGATTAATAATTATTCTCTCTGACAAAGCAGAATACACCTACACCCTAATGGCACTTATAAGTTGACTATAATAGAGTAAGCATTAGTAAAAATGTAACTAGTAATCTATTATAAATATATCAAATCAAAATATTGGATAAGGAACAGATTACAGCAGTCTTAAAGTACAAAGAAGAAAATTAAGATGGTCTTATAAAGTGGAATGTAAAAAGAACTGTAAAGAAGACTTAAAATTTATTTACAAAAATATCAACAACAAAAAAGATAAAGGTGAAAAAGACTAACTCATTTTGGGTAATACTCTTAAGAGGGAACTGCTTAGTATTGTGATTGATAAATAAAGTGATGTCAAATAAATGGAATAAAATGATTTTAATGTTTTCTGGTTTGTGTATCCGTTCGTTCGTCTGTCCGTCCGTTCGTCTGTCCGTCCGTTCGTCTGTCCCGCTTCAGGTTAAAGTTTTTGGTCAAGGTAGTTTTTGATGAAGCTGAAGTCCAATCAACTTGAAACTTAGTACACATGTTCCCTATGATATGATCTTTCTAATTTTAATGCCAATTTTACGGTCCACTGAACATAAAAAATGATAGTGTGAGGGGGGAATCTGTGTACTATGGACACATTCTTGTTATTTTGGTGTTCAGATAAAGAAATTACCCACAGTGCTTTGCATACTGAAGCAGCCAATTGCAAACTCAATTAGATTTTTAAAAATCTTTTTAGTTTCCTCTAACATTCATATTTAAGTGTACCTATAAAGCCCTTAAGATTACACCCCAAATAACCCTCAAAGATATCAGTAATTTATAATTGTAAAATTTTTATTCACTCCAAGAATGTAATTGTAATTTCAGATATTCATCACAAAAGCAACAAGTAGTTGTCACATTTGATGCTGCTATTTATGTGAACTTTACTTTGGAGAAAGATTCCATTATATCATGGTCCAAAGAAAAAGACTTTGACATCAAAGATAATATAGAAAATACTAAATATCTGAGTCATACAGAAATGGACACTGAACTTGAAAAATTAGCCAATGAAAATAAAGCAATTATGGAATATAAAATTATTGAGAAGTCTCCCAAAGGAAACTCTATACCATTGGTTCACCTTTCTTTAAATCTGACCAATCATGAAGCTGGAAAACCTCATGTCCTTCTGATTGGTGGTCTCCATGGTAATGAGACTGTTGGTGCAGAGTTGTTGATGAGATTTGTCAGACATCAGATAACAGGTATGTTTAAGCTATTAAGTCATTCAAGATAAATGCTATGTTACTCACAGACCATTTCAACATGATTCATCAGGGACAACATCAAACCTTTTTATTTTTGGTTATATGATATGAATAGATAGCAGACGGTAACAACTCCTACTTCTTCTGTCAAAAGATAAAAGACCGTAACTAACTAACCTGAAGTCCTGAACCAATAGTCTGCTGCACATCCAATGACTGTTTCTAAAAGAAACTTGCCAGAGAAAATCTCCTTGATGCTTATACATACCTACATGTATAACTCATACCTTGTTTTTATCTTGTAGGTATTAAAAAGTATTAAAAAATTGTAAAATTTTACATACCAATTTTAGTTTTGGTTCTTAGCATTGTGTATGAGTTTCATAAAATTTTCATGAGGCAAACTTAAGTTAGAATGTGGAAACAAAAATGGGAGGGACAGAAGGACGGTCAAGCCAAGGGTCCCGTTGCCTAAGGCGGGGTTTTAAAAAATTTATACAGTATTACATAGTAATCAGTGTACAGCATTCATTGAATTTCAGAATCTGCTGAAAATGCTGAAATTGACCATTTTTGTTTTTTGTGAAAAGTTGCCAATATCAAAAAGTAAATCAATATTACGAAGACAGATGTGACTTAATGTAAAGTTTAATCAGGTAAAAGAAACATTTTGTGCTATTTTGATTAATTTACTTTGATATCAACCATTTATATAAAACAGTCATAGCTAGTGACCTTAAAATTTATTTTATACATTTCAGGATACAATAAGAAAAACAATGAAACCTTGTCAATGTTCAATGAGTTTCATATCCACATTATACCTCACCTTGATGTGGACAATGTAGATACAAACCCAGATTGTAAAACTGATGTCAGTCTTGATACAATGACACATGTAAATTTGACGGTAAGTATCAGTGATTGTATAATTGTCTCATTATTAATAGGTTAGTAAATATAAAAATAAGAAGATGTGGTATGATTGCCAATGAGACAACTCTCCACCAGAGACCAAATGACATGAAGTAACAACTATAGGTCATGGTATGACAATGTACAACAATGAGCAAAACCCATACCACATAGTCAGCCATACTAGGCCCCGAAATGACATATGTAAAACAATTCAAACGAGAAAACTAACGGTCTGATTTATATATGAAAAACAATGAACAGTAAACTATACTTTGGGTAAACTCAAGAGTTCAAGATATTTTCTCATAATCATTGATAATTGGTACTTTTGTCTCTGGTGTGATGAAAATTGCTGCATATAAGACTGAGCTATTAATTTTTGGATCCATCTATTGTGCAACAATTGCAATAATGAGTTCACGTAAAAATTTCTGTATTTAAGATACTGCTTTATTGTATAAAACCATTTTACTCACAAGAGGTTTTGTAGAAAAGTACCCAACAATTTGAGAAAAGTTAATTTACATCTATCAAGAAAATGTATATCATTTTTGATATTGGGAAGTTGATAAAAGTTAAGCAATCATTTCTTAAAATTTGTCAATACTTTGGAAGACAAATGAGTTTGATATTTTATCTCTTTTCAGAGTCATGTTGTTAATATCCTGCTGAGCCAGATGAAAGAACATAAATTTAGTACAGTTTTAAGTTTAGATAGTGGAGGACTTTTTATGGTGTAAGTAAATGCTGGAAAAGTTAAATGTTTATTTTGTATATAGCAAAGTATTTAATAGTAATTACTTTGTTATATTTATAGATTATTTGTTGTTTTAAAAATAAGAGGGAGGTTCTCTACTACAATCTCATATAAGGGTGATAGATCTAAGACGAGATGTAGCTGAGAAACTTCTTAGAGTTTGAAAGACCATTGATAATCTGTTTATTGCTATTTTCTGAGGCAACATCAAGGCTAATGTTAGCTAATGATGTCATCACATTCTCACTCTACTCAACTGGGAAAAACCCATCTCAGACAAGTAGTTTGAGATGGAAAATTTTCATACAAAAAGATCAAGGAAAATTTATGAAACTACAATAAAAGGCAGATATTGATTTCTTTGCTAACTTTATTCACAACTTGTGTAGACTTTGGGGGATTAAACTTAACACCTGTTAATTGTTGAAGATTGTGATTGTTTGTTGACCTTCAAATGCCTCTCTGGTTTCATTGTGTTGATGAGTTGCTCACTCATTGTCATATACCCACATGCTGAGGTGGTGTAAAGCAAACAACTATCAATCATATACCCACATCTTATATTCATAGTCATATTTTAGAAACTGTTATGTATTGCAAAATGCATCAATTTTCTAGAAAAAAAATGGACTGTTAATGTTTATTCAGCTTTTTCTTGAATATGATTTGTAATGACAGCAGTGGCAAGTTCTCATGTTCTCAAGCAATTACCAAAGATTCAATAATAACCAATGACCACAATGTATACCCTTTCAGATTACCATGGCAACAAAGTAGAGATGGGGTAGCAGTGACCCCAGATGATGAAATATTTCAGTTACTAAGTCGAGGTTACACAGAAGCTTATCCAGACATGTATAAAACAGGTGTCTGTAAAACATCTAGATCACATGGAATATTCCATGGTGCTGATTTTGGAACAGGATCAACAGGAGTCTTGGATAAAATGTACATGGATTACCACAGTTATATGGTATGTAGTTATATTTATATCACAGGTTACCATAGCAATATGATCTGTCACTTTGATAGACTATTTTCATATTTGATAGTGACTTTTGACTTCAGAGTATATTATTTTTTCAGCAGGTTACTTACTCTGTGGTAGGACTTTCTAGTTCTCAGTCAAGTTAGAGCAACTAATAGAAGAAAAATCATACTTACAATTGGTGCAAATTTGGGAAACAAATAACTATTTTCCGATGATTTTGTCGTGTATAGAAAACATAAAACAGTTAATTTCTAATATTTGTCAAAATTTTCTTGGCATCAGTGACAGGGAATGATCATTTATGTTCCAGTATACAAATTACCTCATTGGTCATGTTACGGTGAAGTTTATGCTCCTAACCAAATAAATGATCAGATCACAAAGATTCTTTTGCAGTTTTAGCAGATTTTCTTTTAAGTAAAAGATGCTTGAAGGCATTCAGCAATTATATGTATGACAAAATTCAGAAATATAAATTTGATCTTGGACAGACTAATGATTTGAAAATATCTGAAGGATGTTACTTAATAGATTTATCATGCTTTACTGATTTGTAATTTTGATTATAAGTCCATTCTTTTAACAATAAGATTCAGAAAACTAAATGCACTAACTTATCAGATAAATAATTTCTTGATTTGACTGTTTTTTTTGTAGTTTTTGAATCGAAATGACCATAAAGTGGTCTTTTCCTTTTGACAACTAATTTGACCCACTTTTCATTTCAAACTCACGTATCATGTTTTATTTTCTAATAGGTGTCTGCACATATAAGTTGTTGTCGAGTACCAACAGGGAACCAGTTAGGTCATATTTGGATGTCTAATTACCAGTCAATGATGAATTTTATACACAGGTCAAAACAAGGTAAGTCAGAGGTCAATGGTTTTTAAGTCTAATTTTATTATACAATTGATTTTAGCCAGATGAAAACTACTGATTGATGGAAATTTCATTTTTGCAAAAACCAGGTAGAAGAATACAGCTATTTTTGGTTTATTTTTCATTTTAAAGTCTGAAATACTGAAATAATATAAACATTCTGTCCTTTAAAATACAGGTCAAATAGACAATATCTTTCTAAAGTGGGTTGATTTACACTAGTTTGACCCTAAATATGAAATGCTACAATACCAAGTACTGAAATGAAAAAAACAATTATGTCTGTTTGGGTCAGTTACAAAATGTATCTAACAAATAGAACCTTGGTAATGCCAAAACACATATTTAACACAGGTTGCAGGCACTGTTATTTATGTGTTTTGGCATAAAAAATGAAAACAACACATTATTAATTTCATGGGTCCGGAGCACTTTTCGAATTCATCTAAGGTCAACTTTGCCTGAGGGAGTTGAAACCTAAGTTTCTTTGTAATTTCAAAATTAATAAACTGACAATTTTATAAAGTTTGTTATAAATCATGTCAGTACCCAAGTACTGTCAGACTACTGAACTAATGATACCCTCTGGGACTAATAGTCCAACAGCAGAGGTATCAACCCAGTGCTGTAAAACCTACTTTTTATTTGTCTTAAATTTGTTTCCGCTGATACACGTATTTAATATGCCGGCAACTGAGCTATTGTGTTTAGAGACCTTTTTATGTCAGTTTTCTCTCTATTAGATAATGTATCTGTTTGAATGCTATTTTGTATATTAAACATTGATTTCAGGTGTATATGGGATTGTATATGATGATAAACGTAAACCAATCAGTGGAGCTACAGTTAAAATAAATGAAAAAGAGGCTGTTTTATCAACCAATGAAATGGGAGAGTTTTATTCCATTATGACAGAGGGAAAACACAACCTTGAAGTAGCAGCCCCAGGTTTGTATGAATTATTTTACATATATACATGTACCTATTAAATGTAGCAACTTTACTATATATCAAAGAATCTAGGGTTTTAAATCAAAAATACTTTGAATTTTTAAATAAAAATGATTAATTAATGAATAATTGAAAATAATTATTGATAAAGTAAGGTGACAACTGCTTTCGCTTCATTAAATGGTTAATACATTTGTCACGGAATTTCTTTGTTTTGATTAGTTAAATCTAAAACCTTTTCTTATTGGTCACAAAAGAACAATGAATTATATTGGACTAACTTTTAGGTAAATAGTAGTACTCACCTGTAATTTTCACTTACAGATAACATCAGAACAGCAGGTAGTCCAGTTTTTTAATGACTTAAAATTTTTATGTAAACTTATTTTGTTTTTTGTTTGTCTTATTCTATAGTTGAAACGTGAATCAGCTAAATGGAACTTGTTTAGTGAACAGGTTGTCGTTTGTTCATTTTTTCATTGATTGTATTGTTTGTATTTTAGATTTTTTGCTTTTGCGTCGTTGAGCGATTTTATATATTGAAATTGTATTATATTTTATTTATTTGTTTCTTATTACTTTCTTTACATCATTTTTATATGGATTTCCGGAGAAGAAAAGTGGCAACGATAGATTATAAAAAAAAAATTTATGAATTTGGAACATCTAATACAGGAGAAGTTTTATACTATATTGACATTTGAAAAATGAACAGAGATTTTTCATATAAACAGATCTGCTAAAAATAGATTTCCTGTAATATATATTTTTTACTGTATTCAATTTTTCATTGAAATATTTTATCATCTTAACATCCACTTATGTTTCATTGCTTCAAAGATTTAATTTTAAAGCAAGTAATTTAAAATCAGAATGTTCAATGCTGAAAACTTTTTTTAAGCAAATTCATTCTATTGATATTTTTTAAAAGTTCTGAAATGTCATAAGTGTCTTGTGAATATTACAGGATTTGAACCTCAAACACAGCAGATAATAATTAAACCATACAGCACATCAAAGATAATGATTGATTTAAATAAAGAAGTACAGAAAATAGATTACCACAGACCATTAGAGATGATGTCAGCTCTCAGGAATGTCACCAAAAACTGTTCTACTATCATGACGTTAGAGAGGTAAGAGCCTGGTCAGGGTGTCATAAAAGATCATGTGATTTATGACCAGTAATAATTTTTAACATTTGCTAAGTAAGTGTTCTTAAGTCCTTAAGCCTTTTGTGAAATACAGGCTATATGTGGTAGCTAGCAGAGAATGAGGTGAAGCTGAGGTTGACAATGTTTTTTCGAGGGGTACCAATCTGCTCTATCACCCTCTCAGCTGTGTGTTATTTAATTTATTATACTGAATGTTCTATTATCATTGTCTTTTGCAGTAGAACTTGAGCATTGTCCTTTTTTATCGATGTAGATTTAATTCATTGTCCTTTAAATTATCAGTTTACAATCTGCACATGAAGGTGACATTCGAAAAAATGAGCCATGGGAAAGAGTAAATTATCTCCCTCGTATTAGCCAATCAAAATCTTGCATTTTAACGTGAAGAATAATAATATGAACTGTCTTGAAGATTAGTTTGATGTGATATAAAGTTTAGTATTTAACTAACACAACCCAAAGGGCTGACTACAAAGGAGTAGTAAAAGGGTCACATTATTTCTCCCATCTGGTCTGTTGTGCTTTGCATTATATATAATTATGCAGCCATGTCAGATTGGTCAGAGAAAACTGTTAGATGCATACCATTTAAAGCAACAACAAAAAATGGGAGACATAAGTAAATTGATGAGAAATGTGGATCTTGAAAGAATATCAATTTTATTTTATGAATTTTATTTTTAGCCTTGGTAAAACAGAAGAAAAGAGAGATGTATTGATGTTGAATATAGGCCACAATGATAACAAAGTGAAATTTGTATCACATGTTTTGATGTTAGCTGGTATCCATGGAAATGAAGCAGTCGGTCCTGAACTTTTGCTGCAAATTGCTATTGATATATGTGAAAATAATGGAAAAGATTTTATGATTTCTAAGGTTTGTATTTAGAGTTATAAATACCGAAACATTGATTGATGTAACCAAACAGAAAAGATTTTTATGAATTTGCATTAGAATTATAGAGATACACTATATTTTGTTGTGCTTAAAAACTTTAACTTTGTTATAATAGATATTATGAATACAGAACTTAAAAAAGCAAACATAAATTTTTGCCTGTAAGGCATCTATATATTGTGTGCGCGTAACCATATAGTTAGACTAAAAAAAAAATTATAAAATCAAAAATGAACAATAAAAAATAAGAGAATAGGTAAAATAAATGGGCAAGAATTCGAAATGCCACAATGACAAAGGAAAATTTGGCTTTTAAAACTTTCTGTAAAAATGACACATTGAATGTAGAAACAGATTGTACATTTAATTAGGAAGTCATTATTTACAATTGTTTCAGATGTTTGATACAATGGAACTACACATTGTGCCCATGTTAAACCCAGATGGTGCCAGGATAGCCACTGCTGGACAGTGTTCTGGTGAACATGGTGTCACTAATGGCAGAAATATTGATCTTAATACTAACTTTCCAAGTAAGTAACTTCTGGTATTTGTAAAAGATAAATGTTAATCATAGGGTCACCATGATTAAAATAGTTAGACTGAACAAATTAGTCAGGAACCTCTGGCCTTTGTTAGTCTTGTATGTTTTTGAAATTTTAGTTCATTTATATATTTCAAAGTTTAGTGTGATGTCCATTTTCTATGAACTAGTACACATTATTGTTTAGGGGCCGGCTGAAGCCCGCCTCCTTGTGCAGGATTTTCTCGCTGTATTGAAAACCAATTGGTGGCCTTGGACTGTTTTCTGCTCTTTGGTCGGGTTGTTGTCTCTATGAGGCATTCCCCATTTCCATTCTCAATTTTATTATTAATCAATATGAAGAAAACAAAGTTATATTAGATGAACATATCTTATACCTCTATTCACTCCTCCATTAGAAATATTGTCCCTTTCTGTCATTTTTCTAAACACTGTTCTTCCCCCCTTTTCTATTATTAGTATAACATCCAATAATGAACTTTATTTAGTGTATTTTATTCATTAAATTTATTCTTATTTCATACATAGTTTCTGTCATGCCTGAGTTCATCTTTGTGTAAATAAATAATGTTGAGATATAGATTGAGTTCAATTTCACATTCCATTTCTGTTGACCCTTTTTTTTACAGACCAACCTTTTGAATTTTGCAGCAGACAGCTGGCATGAGTGTCATTTTAACACATTTAGCTAAAGATATTCTTAAGATTGAATAAGTCCAGTATTCTCTTTTCATACATTCCTCAAATTTAAGAAGGAAAAACATTAAGATATTCATTTATATTGGTTAAAGGAAAATTGTACTGAATTAAAAATGTTAATAAGAATGTTTGCCATTTAAATGACAGTAAATGTAGACATTGTTCATATATTTTTTTTCAAAAACTGTTTTCCAATAGCAATGAAAACATTCAAAGAAATTGTTTGTTTAGTTGTATTTTGCCCTGTTAGCCTTAATTAGCTATTAATAAAAATAAAATTGAGAATGGAAATGGGGAATGTGTCAAAGAGACAACAACCCGACCATAGGGCAGACAACAGCCGAAGGCCACCAATGGGTCTTCAATGCAGCGAGAAACTCCCGCACCCGGAGGCGTCTTCAGCTGGCCCCTAAACAAATATGTATACTAGTTCAGTGATAATGGACGTCATACTAAACTCCAAATTATACACAAGAAACTAAAATTAAAAAAGATACAAGACTAACAAAGGCTAGAGGCTCCTGACTTGGGACAGGCGCAAAAATGCGGCGGGGTTAAACATGTTTTTTGAGATCTCAACCCTCCCCCTATACCTCTAGCCAATGTAGAAAAAACAAACGTACAACAGTACGCACAGTAAAACTCAGTTTAAGAGAAGTCCGAGTCCGATGTCAGAATAGGAAACAAAAGAAAATAAACAAAATGACAATAATACATAGATAACAACAGACTACTAGCAGTTACTGACATGCCAGCTCCAGACCTCAATTAAACTGATTGAAAGATTATGTCTTCATCATATGAATATCAGGCACAATCCCTCCTGTTAGGGGTTTAGTATTATACCATCATAAAATATATGAGAAGAATATAACCCATGTCATGCCAACAACTTGTTTTTAGAATAATTATGTTTAATTCCGATGCAAAGACTTATAATAGAGTATGTAGTCTTGATGGACTTTTACAAACATTTTTAACATTTTTACAAAACACATAGAAAATGAAAGGATATGGAGTAAATGTACATGGGACAAAATCGCACACAATACATAGAAAACATAGAAAATTATCAATGAACAGGGCTTTTATTCCTGTTTTTCATTTTGACATTGATGTAGGGTCTTCAACAATGAACGAATCATTCATACACTACAACAAGGTCAAGACTGCCCCTAGCGTCGACTTAACAGCATTTACTCAAAAGCGTGTTAGACTTTTTTTCACTGAAACCATACTTCATTCACATCTGTATTTGTAATAAACACTGGCTGAACAGCATAAGTAGGTCAACTACTGTATCACTAGTCTGTCAACACTTAGGTTGTGAGTTTGAAAACCGCAAGAGGCAGGTGCGTTCGATTCCAATCTTAATTGAATAGGATTGTCCTTTTTCTGGCAAAAGATCGTGGTTCTCTCCTGGCAATCCAGCTTCCTCCACCAATAAAAAATGACCGCCACAAAATAACCAATAGTGCTGAAAGTGGCATTAAACACCAATCAATCAAATAACTAATATTTGTTTATTCACGAGTAACATTTCAATTCTATTTTCTATTTTAAGGTATGTACAGCAACAAGACAAGTGAGAGCCAGCGGGCTGTGGAGACCAAACTTTTAATGTCCTGGATGGAGAAACATAAACCTAGTGTCACCATTATACTCAACGGAGGATCTCAAATTATAACACACCCATACTACTCTAAAGGTCAAACAGGTTAGTTATCTCTACCACATACAAACACCACCTCTGTGCCACTATTATTTATAGGTTTTGTCCATTTTCTTTGAACTAGTACACATTTCTGTTTAGGAGCCAGCTGAATTCTATTTTTTATTTTCTATATGTATGTAAAATCTAAGATTATAAATCAGCTAGTTCATTTATATGATTTTTAGTTTAAAGCAACTATATGCACAGGATTTATTTGTTTTTACACAGTTTTGATTTAGAAGAAAAACCGACATGGTTAGAAAATAATTACTAAAGGATGAAGGATTTTCTCGCTGTGTTGAAGACCCATTGATGATGGCCTTAGGCTGTTTTCTGCTCTTTGGTCGGGTTGTTGTCTCTTTGACACATTCCCCATTTCCATTCTCAATTTTATTCATAATAAAGGAGAAGTTTATATTCAATTTGTTTGATATCAACTCAAGTTACTGTGGATTAATTATTATTCGCAGGATACAAAATTATGTGGATTTCATGGGTATAGCTGTACAACGAATTATATTGATTAACGAAGTTCAAGCTTTTATTATTAGCGGGATACCGATTTTGTGGATTTTGTGGTTAAAGCTTTACAAAGAATTTAAATGATCAACGACGTTTAAACTTACTATCAGCTTATATTCAAACTTGGACAAAACCACAAAATCAAATATCCACGAAAATATACACTCTTCCCTCAATCCATGAAAATTGGTAACCACGGTAATACACCACAGACATTTCAATTTCACAAATTTAAACCCCAATGCTTGATGAACATATCTCAGCTGTCAAAATTGGAGAAATATCATATTGCGCAAGAAGCAGTGATGGTACATGTATCTATTTTTCTATTGATATTTAGATGATTTTTACACTTACATTTCCTTTATCATTTTATTTGTAAAATAAGCTCGTTCTTTCCATATTTTATTAGTAGGCATGCTTGCTTTTTTCATGATGTCACAAAAACAACATCTTAGAACACCAACAAAAAAGAATATAAAATTAACATTTGCTTGTACTTTTTCAGACAAAAAATTTGGCAGAGTAGATAATGCAGCCACTGCCGAGTTGGGATCTGCTTTTATCAAACATCATGAGGCCCTGAAAGCTGGACAGTTTGGGTGTAACAATTCAAGTAGGACTAAAATTATAGAAATCAGAATTCCTTGTATAGAAGGGATTTATATTTATATTGTAATAAACTATTTTTCAGGATCGAGCTACATGAACATATTTAATTTCAGATTCTGTGAACATATAATTGAAACCCCTGAAACTGTTTTAAAGGGCATCTAATACACAATATAAATAAAGATAATGAATAAATATAGCATTTTATTCATAAATAGGTATCTTTCATTAAGAAAAGACTATTCATTGACGGCCAGTCCCATGACCTTTGAAATTAGGGTGGAACTTCCCAGTTCATTTCCTGTAAATAAAAACATTAAAATATGGGACTGTCCATGGTTTTGACAGATCATGAATATTTCTATCCAATTTACCAATATATTCTTATTTTCGATATTCATATACACAATAAAATTTACCATGAACATATACAAATGTCTTTTTTGGTTTTTCAAGAATTTTACAATAACAGATATATTCTTTTTTTGCAAATAACCGATTCTGTGCAGTCTAATGTATTTAAGCCATATATTTAAAGTACTATATATATAATAAGTATATTGTATATATAAAGTTTGACCTGATTATATGATCTTTGTAGCCACACATTTCCCAGCAGCTATAATACCAGCAAGTGCCTTACATGCTCATGATGGCAGCTTACTTGTGAGTAAAAAAATACAGAAATCTTTGACAATTAATAATTGAAAGATGAAAGCATTAAAAATGAATTTTACATAACTTAGGTTTCCAATGTCTAAATTAAAAGGAATATCAACTTTATATAGAGTGAAGATGAATGAAACTTGGAAAAAAAAAAAAAAAAAAAGAAATTAAGGGTAAATGTCAATCAGACCAATGCAGCAGGACAGTCAATAAAGTATAAAAGACTTGTATTGACCTAATATCAACAGTTCAACCTTATTCCTTTAAATCACTTTTTTATACACAGTAAATATATATGACATAAGATTGTTAAAAGGGGAAGTTATGTTTGACAAACAAATGGAAGTAATATTCATGAAAATTGCTAATTTTCTTGGGATAAAACCACTTAACTAATCAAATTTAGATAAAATATTTGGTATTTTAATAATTGATTATTGTAAATTCAAAAAAGGGTTTTATCACTGCAAAGATAAAAAATTACATTTTGAATTTTTATAGCATTAAGGGTGTACTTAAGGTGAAATTAGAAAAATCTAGAATTTAAAGTTGATACTATAAGTCAGCAGAGCATTAGTTAAGAAACAAAATAAGCTAAAAATATTGATAGGTTATGGAGCTCCTTTTCGAGATATTTGATTTTTAAAAATTGGCGGGAAAAGGCTGACTCTGACTTTTACTTTATATTTACATTGGCATTATTTGGGTCTCAAATCAAAAGAAAAGAAATCTAAAATCTGCTTAAATTTTGGTGATTGAACTTTTATGAGCTATTGAAGTCTTATATGAAAAGAAAAATGGGTGTTATGGGGCAAAATATTTTACCCTGTATCTTAGGGAAAAAACCAAGGAGTTTTCTGTTGTTTGTCAGATTATGGCTTTTCTGTTGAATGAGTAATTTGAAATTTGCTTGACTGTCTTAGGATGGATTGGATTTTTCAAGGGAGTACTGCTTAAGGTGGTGCTTAGTGAGGTCTTGACCTTACTATAAAGTGTAAGCTTTTAAGTTCGTTGTTGGAAATCTTTTTCAGCGCAATTTTCAAGATTACGAAGAACAGCAATATAAGAGGGGCCTGATGGGGGGTCTCATCACGATTCACGAGTCGATTTTTTTGTCAATCACGATTCACAGAAATTAAATTTCCATGATCACGGATCACAAAAATATAAAAAAAAAAAAATATGTAGAAAAACGGATCACGATAGCGAAAATGCGCCGATCACGAAGAACGAAAATAACCCATCAGGCCCCTCATATAAGGACTTTTACTTCAGTATAAAGATAATTTTCAACTATTTTATGAAATTTTTGTCATGTCTGAATAAAACTAGATTTGAATCTTATGTCACTGATGATGAGACAGCAATTCAATGATTAAAGAATAAATAAAAGAGTGGTCAACACATTACAGGCAATCCTTATTGCTTATCATGCACACCATATGAGCTGCGTTGGATAGAAATCGACCTTATGCAAGTGCACCTATACAGTTACATGTGTAAGACTTTGATTGATTTTGGAACATTCAAATACCAAATAAAAGATGAATTTTGGTCTGTTTTGTAGGGCTCTTATAACAACTCAATTTTCAAACAGTAACAGATTTTCCGTAGAGATTTTTTCAACCTGAAACTGGTTAACTGATGTATTGATATTCATTTGCATAAGGTCGATTTCTGTCCAATGCAGCTCATATATCTGTTCTTTTTCCTATTTAGTTATTCACTGATCAAACTATTAATTCTGTATGAAATTTTTACAGGACTATGCATTTGATTATATTGGATCAGTTGCCATAGAGATATACACAGGATGTTGTGACTATCCTGATGGACATCAATTACTTCAGTCTTGGCATCAGCATCGTCAACCCCTTCTTCATCTTCTAAATGAAGCAGGGCGAGGGTTCACAGGAGTGGTACAAAACCAAGAAGAACAGAAACCCATGGAAAATGCCACAGTCACAATAAAAGGGTCTTCAAGAAATTTCTCTGTTGATGCTCAAGGTCGTTTCCATGTCTATCTACCTCCAGGTTATTATGACCTTGTATTCCATTGCCATGGTTACCAAGATTTTACTCAGGTTAGTATCTAAAAGAGGAATCAATTCTAGGGACTGTCCAAACCATGCTGTGAGCTCATGATTGAAAAAGGATTGTGGCATGAGGACTTAAGGCATATCAACTGTATACATAATATAAATGCTGTATTTTGCATTTGTTAAAAAGGCAATTTTGCCAGATAAAATAATATTAATAGAAAAATAAAAATAAGGAGAAAAGAATTTAAATGATGTGGATGTAAACAACTAGAAGTCACTATATGGTCTTCAACAATGAACAAATCTTAGACTGTCTAGTACACTATAAAAGGCCCTAACTCTACAAAATGTCAAATAATTCAAACGAGAAAATCAATGGCCTTCATCAAATAAAATGCTTTATATGCAATGAAATTAGTTTTTTAAGCTATTTAGACTCAAGATAGCATTCTTTACTTTTCTCCATACTTTCTCTTTGCAACAAGAAGAATTAAATGAATTAGATAAGTACAAAAGAATTTTTTTTTGTAATATTGTTTGAGTTAACTAAGGTCAGCTAAGGAATAAGATAAGCAGTCCATTGTATATGTTTACATGGCCAATATGGATTCAGATATTCATAGATACTTGTGAAGGTTTAATTGTTCCATCATTATGAAAGGGGGTCTCATTGTGTGTGGGGGGGGGGGTGGTCTGATCCCGGATCCCTCTTATTGTTTTGTCAGATTCCCTTATCCCGCTTATCATTGTAATAATAACGCTTGTAATTTCATGTGTCCCGCCCGACTTTGTTTCCTGTTTTCACACAATGATTTGAATTTCTCGAGTCATGCTTACAAAAAATTGGCCAATCCCAATGAGACCCACATGAAAATCTTAAATTTGAAATGAGGTGCAAGGTTCTAAGGTTCCTGCTATACAATGGCAACTGTTATGATATTTGCAATTTACACCAGTATGAGTGGGAAGAATACCATTGTCCTCTTAAAAACTTTAGTATCATACATGTTTATAAATCAATTATGAAATTGGAGGCAACACATATGTTTACTTAACTTTTTCAGAAAATCAAAGTATCAAAGAATGAAGGAGAAGAGAAAAGCTCCAGCATGGTGGTGTTTTTAGAGAAAGAAGAAAATATTTTAGGACTGTCTCGTGCAAAAGTGATGATAGTTATTGGTAAGTTTACAATTACAGTAGACTCCACCTAATCGGATATCGGCTAAACGAATATATCGGCTATTGTAATATTATTTCAAAACACCAAACCCTTCCCTATATGTTTAATTTTAATTTTATCGTGTAATCGAATATCGGATATAAGAATATATCGGCAAATCGGATAAGAATATTCAGGTCATTTTGTTCAAAACCATGCACAATCGGATATTTTCAATGTTTTTCTGACAGGAAATGGACCCGGAAGTTATGAATTTACAATCTTGCAGACAAGAAGATTTTGTTTTTACTAAATAAAAGGAACTATTTCTTAATAAATTGTTGTCTTTAATCATTGTCTTCCTATGTCATGTGAATTAGATGCCCTTTTACTTCAAATGGTTTGAATTTATTTATAAAATATGCAAGATTCAGTTGACAAGTTGACGTTGCTGTTGGGAGAATTTTGATTAACTCTAAATGTTCACAGAATCAGAAATATAATCTAAACTGAATGTACCTCCTTCTGAATAATTTATTGCAATATAAATATAAATCCCTTTTGACAAGAGAAATCTGACTTTTGTCAGATATATTTTTTTCACATGTGCAAAAGTAACCACATGTCTTGGACGCCATTTTGGATGTTTACAAATTTGTGAGAAAGCCTCTAGAACTATGACCTAAATATAAATAGTCTTCAGAAAACATAAACTTTATGCAATAATATTTTATCAATCATGATTATTTTCATAAATTTAAATTTGATTATTTAAAGAAATAAAATTATAACAAATACGATTTTAGTTTGGAGATTCTACACAGACATGCTTAGATCTATTTATAGCCAAATTAGTTTACCTGTGTGATAATGTAAATAATGGATATTAATTTGCTTACAAAACAAATAAAGACAAACTATGGATGGTAGATAATAATTCACATAAATATTTCAAGACATTTGATTTATTTTAATAAATAAAGGATTTAAAAACTGCAAACAAATTTAATCATTACATAATCAGCTGATAATTTTTTACACAAACATTGTGGTGATGTAAATGATAAAAATCACTCCATCAATCCTCCAGCCCTTTCACATATTTAGCAATTGTCAGGGTTAGTAACATCTCAGGATTATATCTACTCATTATTGCAGAATATTCAATGAATATACATTCATCGTCTAATTGAATATATCGGGTAATCGGATATTTTTAGCTGACATTTTGGGTATCCGATTTGCCGGAGTGTACTGTATAGGGTGACATATTTAGTGGAATATTTAGAGGCATACCATATACTGGGGTATTTTTGTGTGTGTATAATTTTACCTATTAGGCATTTTACTGCAACATTTACTCTATGCAAACATTTTATCTATTTAAATGCTTATAGCCTCTTTTAAGACAACAAAAACTATGTTCAAAAACTGATACAAAAATAATTTGATAGACAATAAGAAGATGTGGTATGATTGCCAATGAGACAACTCTCAACTAGAGACCAAATGATGTAGAAGATAACAACTATAGGTCACTGTACAGCCTTTAACAATGAGCAAAACTCATACCGCATAGTAAGCTATAAAGAGCCATGAAATAACAAATGTAAAAGAATTAAAACGAGAAAAGTAATGACCTGATTTATGTACAAAACAATAACTATCAGAGATGCGAACAAGAAATTCAAAATACAGGATAGTATAATTGCCAGAACAAATGGAAATTGGTTGTCATATTGATAACTTGCAACAGGTACTTAAAATATCTGAACAGTACTCACAGAATGAATCAGAAAAGTAATGACCTTTTACAGTGACTGCTGGTGATTGTGAATAATTCACTCTGAAATAATGCTCAGTAATTCCAAAGGTAATATATTACAGGGTCATAAATCAGACTGTTATCACCTCAAAATAGCAGCTATCACTGGTGATCACAGTTAATCACTCAATGCTATCAAGAGTGATGTAATTGAAGTATCCTCATGTCCAAAAGGTTTTAAAAAGCCAAACACGGGTTGAGAGCATAAATAAGAAGAGAAAGAACTATATGAAACAGTCTGCCTGAAAAAAAAACTTACAAAGACAAACAACAACCAACAGCACACGAACAAGCTACTTTACTTGGTACAAACAAAATGTGGTGGGGTTAAACCAGTTTTACATGCACAGAAACCTTATTGAAATTTTAATCAGTTTTTGTCTTTTTTTTTTCTAACAGCTGTTGTAGTTTTAGTACTAGTCATACTTGTAACCATAGTGATGTGTGTCAAAAGTCGTTATACACCACAGCACAAAGGGTTCAGTAAAATTAGATTTGACGATGACGAAGAGGATGATGACTTTAACCAGCCCGCCAAATCCAAATTGCTTAACGGCAGATTTGAATATCACGATGAAAGCTCAGACGATGAAAATGTTCATGAATTGTATAATAAGAACTTATTAAAGAGTCACCATTGATTGCCTTAAAAGTAACTGTACTTATTTTCAAGCTGTTTTTTATTGAGTATTTTTAAATATATAATGCATATCAACTCATGATTATTTTGTCATTTGTTTGCTCAACTTTTCAGCTTCAATTTTTCATAAATATATAAGATATAATATATAAATGTAAGAACAAAATTGTATTTTGAAATTAGTAAAACTTATTTTATGGTTTTTGAATAGTGTTGTGCAGAGAAATTTGAATTTAAATACTGTAAATTCAATTAACCTGTAGTTCTTTTCCAGAACTAGTTCTCAATCTAAACAATATGTTGGAATTTAATTTTTTAGGCCATTTTTCTCTTTCTTTAAATTTTCACACCCCATTATTCTCGTCTTATTGTTTTTTTTTATCCTTTACCCTTTATTCTCTTTTTTCCAATTAAGGCAATTAAAAATGGAAATATATTTTTTATTTACATGGTAAATAAGCATATAATAACCACTTAAAACTGATATTGCGAAAAACTTCTTGCTTTACAGTGTGAATGATTCTTTATAGATATATTGTGCCAAACAAAGACATTTTGAAATTCTCATTTACTAGATTTGTATCATATTACATAAAGCCAAATAAAAATATGTGTGTGGTTCCAGTTACCCGACCAACCCTTGTTTAAACCTCCGACCCTAGAATTTTTTTTTCCATTTCTGATAAGAAATTTTGAATGATCCCATTTTGTGGAATGTGAATTTCAATAATTAAATTCACAGACTTCTGTCATCTGAATATCCATTAGAAGTATCTACTACGGATACAAATGCAACAAATTCTTAACAGAATGCAACAAAATTTACTAAAAACGTAACATATCTGTTTATTTTACAACCAAACATATAGAAAATGGCAAACTTCTGGTAGGGGCGTATATAGTACCGGAATCAGACTTGGTGAACACATGTTTTTTTTCTGGATTTTGACAATCCAAAAAATGATAAAAAAAAAAAAAAAAAAATGCCTACCCACCATCCCTCTATTTTTTCAGGATGTAACTGGAACCACACATATATTTTTATTTGGCCTAATCATCATATCATAGAAAGAATAACTTTTACATTCTTAGTTTTCTGTAGCACAGAGTAAAAAAAAAATGAAAATAAATACAGTTACAGGATTGAAAACAAGATCTATGCAGAATATATAAGGCTTCCATATTGTTATTGCAGTTTCATATATATAGCTGTCATGTTTTTTCTTTATATTGTTTAGAACTTCAGTATCACTTATGGGACAAAAAGACTTGTTCTAAAAATCCAAGCTTTTTTTAATGGTGTTCTTGAAATTAAAAATTCTACTCCATTTATTCTTATAAAGCAATAATTTTACTCTTGTTTCAAAATTCCAAAAGGGGAACACATTTTACATTATTGTAGTAATTAAACCATTGAAAAATTGTTTTACTTAAATGTTAGATTGTTGTGCAGTTTTCTATCTGTCCTTTTGTACCATTTTTCAAGTTTGAAGAATTTACTATGACTAACCTCAATTTTATGACAATTTACCAAATAACGTTTGCAAAACAGTCATATCTTTTACTTTAGTATCATATGTTTTCTAAAGTGACAATGCAAAACTATGTGGAAATTCTTTCTTTCAATAGCTAAGAAAATTGAATTTGGTGTTTCTACCACAAATTATATATTTTATGTAGAATCATCTTATTACATTTTAATCCATGCACAATTTTGTACTTCTTAACACAAGATCATGAATGTGCACCGAAGGAACATTCATTCCTTGATTTGTTTCACGATAATATGATAATTATACATAAACCCTATTTATACAAATTTACTGTAACATATATACATATATGCTGTCTCACAAAAAAACTGTTCCAGATTTTTTACCTCTATTATATAGGAAAAATCTAGAGAAATTATTAACCAGAAAGAGCTGAAATTGTATAAAGTTATATGACTTGTATATAAAGATCTAAAATTGCTCTTCAGGTTTGAATGAAATTTTGTTGTTTGATAGGGTAATTTGATTGCTTAAAGTTATTAAATTTGCCAACCTTGCCTTGCAAGACACATTATATAGGTACAGGACAACACCAGTGATTTCACACTCTGTTGTCTTGAATTGGTGTTCCTCTTATACATAGTACTAAGAAACATAGAATTCTTTAAAAATAAAGCCATTGTAAAATCTGTAATAGAACTATGATATCATCTAACTCAAATATCATTTCATTGAAAAAATGAATGCTATTTTCTTTGAAATATTTATAAAATTTGAATGTGCACAACTACAAAGGCAGCCAATTCCAAATTAAAAGAATTACTAAGAGGATTATCATAAGTTCAGTAAAAAAAACAACAACCAGGGTATTTATTGTATGCTCCAGAGAATGAAATAATGTTTATTTTTTGACATTTTTATTTTTATTAATGGTTACCGGGAAAATAAATCAACCGGTTAGTTTATAGTAAAGAAAATGTCATCTCATGTGTATTTTGAAGATAATAAAGATTAGACAAAACACATTTCTCTATATGCTGCATGTATATATAAGGCTATCTATAATATTATATAAGAATAACCTTAGTCTGTGATCTAACTATCAACATCAACCACCGTCCAAGAAATTCTTATTTTTTGGAAGAAAAGTAGATTTTGTATTTTTTTGTGCATTTTGTGCATAAGCAACTGTTTTCTAAATTTTTGTACATAGAACATAGCTGAAGTTGATTTTCTTATTGATTTGGTTGTAGAATTTAAAAAAAAATGTGCCATTTTTAATTGGTTGCATAATGTACTTATAAATTTTCATTTCTGTACTAATATTGTTTTAAGAATAATATTCTTTAAATAGGGGTTATTACAAAAGTAAGTAGGTAAAAACTCTTTTTTCTTTGCAACAAAAATATTCAAAAGGTTTACAGTTTAGTGTAAACAGACCCATTTGTAATAAATGTCAATTACAAATGATGTATTAAGATGAATGTAACAAGTATCAGTACAATATTTGATTGAATTTCTTTATGTCTAGATTTTGAATAACGCTTATATTAAAAATGAAAATTTATTACATTGTAAACCATTCAAATTGTGTCAAATTTTCTTGCAAGTGGTCAGTTCAATTAGGATTGTTGCAAAAGTGGTTGTTTTCCATTTTGAAAGTTAAAATTAAAATTGTCAAAATGAAATTTAGGCAAATTTTAGCTCGTTTTGTTGAGCAATTTGATTTCATCAGCTGATAGTTTTTTTAAATCTCATCAAAATATATTTGACCACTTTCAGGAAAATTGGTTAATAGAAGGAAGGCTTAAAATATAGGTTAATCTATAATGCGTAACCTATGAAATATAATAGGAAGGTATGACTTTTGCAATTCTATGTCAGCATTATAGGTAATTACAGAAAAAGTAGGTCATGAGATTATAGAACTCATCGTTTTACAATTTAATGTGTTGTAATCAGCTGTTTATGTGTAATTGCTCACGTTATAAATCACAGCATTAACCAAAGTTAATATATTAGTGATATTTTGTTTTTTGATTTTTATAGTAAACATTTGAGAAATGATAATAAATTTGTTATCATATGTTTTGCTTAATTTTGCATTTGATTTTGTACATTGTTTATATGTGTATTTATTTTACAGCTTAATTATTTTAGCGTGTATTTATTATTCAACAATTATAGTTTGCTTACTGAACCATGACCTTTCTTATAAGTGGTAAATATAGAAAGATATAGTTGGTCAAATTGTTAGCCTGGCATCCTGACCCAATCTAATACTTTGTCGATAGGGCCAGGCATAATACAATCCACGTGACCAACTATCAGCGCTGAACAGGACTGAATTACTACGCATGTGCATGTTCTATAAACAAGGAATATATCGATCAGACCGTCAGTTAACAGTTGATTCACGATGTTTATCAATAACGTTTGAATTATATGTGCTAAATTCTTCAAAATTTGCATTTCATATGAAACGAAAAAATTATTTTCAATAAATTCGTGACAATATAAATATTTCCCGCCATGTGTCAAGAAATGACTCTATCCCACGATGCATCATTCTATCATCCAATTGACGAAACCATGTCTTTGTATTCCGCCTGGCTCTACTGTCGAGCAGTGAACCAGGATCCCAGGTTAGTCAAATTGTCTCCTTATGCTTCTGTTTATTACCTCTGTTCAATGATTTGTTAAGCAATCATGACACAGCTGGTAGTAAACAAAGCTTCAATTGATTTCATGGTTCACTGAACAAATAAGCAGTCATAGATTTATTGTATTTTTTACACACTAAAATAGATAAGCTGTAATATGTTATCGATATATGATCAGTAAGATCCAGCATTATATTTATTTGTTTGTTTGTAAATTTATTTCTTCTTTGTTCCTCTTGATTTATTCTTCTGTAGTATCCAAGATACATACAGATTCATGAAAGGAGATATCTGTATTTCTGATTTCTTTACTAGTTTAGTGTGGTCATGGCCATTTGCATGCTTTGCAAGTTGGATCTATATTTGTCTATTGAAAAGTTTTACTAACTAAAAATAGAATCTATATTAATGTTATGAAGTATTTCTAAATAATGTTCTGTTTTTCTATCTTACTTTAAGTTCTCTAAATTTACTTAACCTGTTATCAACTATAAGGCCACATGATTTTGATTTATTGTGTCTTAACCTTTTTGATGAAACATTTTCCTTGCATTTTGCAGACCAAAAAAAATTTAAGTTAATGATATTTCATAACTTTAAAATGTTATGAATTTTGAACACAGTAAATAAAATGTACATGTAAGAAGTAATTCACGATCAATTCAGAAAATGATCAATAAAAAATCTTCATAAAAAATGCCACAGTCAATGATACTTTCAAAGATAAAAAAAAATTGAATTAAAGTTGTGTTGTTTAATCCTATAAAAAAATTAATTTGATGGCTGAATAATATGTTGACAATGTCTCATCTTTCCATAGTTCTTAACATCATCTTTATGCTGAATTTATGAAATATTTTTTTATCCCTAAAAAATTATAAGTATATCTTTCTAAAAGATAACGATGGGTTTTGAAAAACAAAACAACTACATGTATGAGAAAGTACTTTTATTTCTAATTTCCTGGATTTTGTGTTGGATCAAAGTCATTATACAGAAATAAATATATTACCTAAAAAAAATTCATATTTCCAACCTATCTGTGATAAACCTGAAAGCTTGAATTAAATAACTTACAAAACTAATGATTTTTCAACAAACCATGAAACTTGAATCAACAAAGAAAAGTGATTTCACAGTATTTATTTCAATTGGTTGATTGACAAATAAAATTTCATCAATAAGATAACATGATATAAATTTAAAATCATTTTAAAATAATACAAGAAGTTTATTTCAATTGGCCTATAAACATGATAAAAGTTGTTTTGTTATTATTTTATTGTTGTTGTTTCACTTTGTTAACATTTGTACATTTTGTATATGAAAACTAATATTTTCAAGATCAGGGTTGGGAGAATTTGTTTTTTATTCTTACATCTTCACATTTATTAAAAAAAATATATTATTATGCTTAAAAATAAATCACATTAAAATGTTTCTTGCTGCCTTGCTTGATATAGATATAAATAAAGAAGAATGTGTCTGAGGACACGAATGCCCCCACTCAAGCTTTGCAATGAAAATGGGAGGGACGGACGGAAAGATGGAAAGATAGACGGTCAAGGGTAACACTTAATGTCCATGTCGGCATAAAAAGATGAATGTTTCTGAGGACAGGAATGTCCCTGATCAAGATTTGCAATGAAAATGGGACCGACAGAAAGACGAAAGATGGAAAGACAAACGGTCAAGGGTAACACTTAATTCCCCCGTCACCTATGGAGGGAGGCATAAAAATAGTTTCAAAAGTTAATAGCTCCATGGATATTCAGAACACATTACCACAAAATGAAAAAAGAATTTGTTTTTTGATGTTGTTCCATTGCTGTGTCATTATTTTATATCCCATATCTCCTCTTTAACCAGGTTTTCTGAGAAATTCTGTAATTGATCAGGGTTGTACACCAGGCGAGGAGAGGGGTGTGCCACTTCAATTTTTTCTGTGCCATGACTTATGAATTGTTCAACCAATGCTTTTTAGATTTTGATATGTTGTTACTGATGACGGGATAGAGGTTATTTTCAATATTCATGGTTTTGACTTTTACCGATCAAGAGGGTTCTTGATTGATCTGAAAATGGCACTTTATGTTGTTTCAGTGTGATAACTTATGAAAGGTTCAACCAATGCTTTTCAAATTTTAATATGTTGTTACTGATAACAAATTGGGGTCAAGTTCGATATTGATGATATTCACATTGAAATAATAGAGGTCATACTGCTGACTTAGTCCAGACATTTTCATTGGAAATTATTTTGTAAAAACTTAATTCAAGTTCATCACAATGAAATAGGAGTAACCTTAGTATTTGTCTCCAATCTAAAATAAGGAGATGTGGCATAATTGCCAATGAAGCAACTGTCCAACAGAGTCAAAATGATGTGGATTTTATCAACTATACGTCACTCTGCTGCCTTCAATTATGAACAAAATCAATACTGTATAGTCAGCTATAAATGGCCCAGACATGACAAAATATGCATTTGTTCAAACAAAAGCCTAATTTATGACAAAACAAGATGCAAAAAACAGATATAACAGACATGATCGAACCAGGACCACTGAAAACAGCCTCCTGACTTAGAACAGGCACATACAAAATGTGGTGGGATTTAACTTGTTTGCGAGTGCTCCTTCTAACCTGGGACATTAACAATATAAGGTCAATGTCAGAAAAATATAAATTTTTTTGTATGAGGCTTAGAAACTGGGTAAGGGTGAGATTTTCCTAGCTCCGGCCTTCAACAGTCTTGTGCTAAATACAAAAATTAATGATTATGCTTATTATATATGTTGCAAGGTGAAATTTCTGTACCCATTAACTGTGTGTGAAGAACATAAAAGAATGTCACTGTGGGTTGTCCATTCATACCAATAAAGTAAATGAATGATATCTTATAACATTCATCAGAAGAAATGAATGTGGTCCATTTAATGCAAAGTGTTTAACTTTTATTACTTCCTTTTAGACACAAGAATTATGTTTTTTAGACTATTTTGAAAATGCTTGTCTGAATTCTACTTCTTTTATTTTAATCAGAAGCATAAACATAAACATGATGTGTAGATGCTCATATTTAGTATGATTTAGGGTGTAATACCACCATTGATTTTCTCCTATTAGTCTCTGTTAAATTTTCACTTTTCAAAAAATTGTGCAGAATTTAACTATGTTTCAAATAAAGAAATACTTGACATGAGTAAAGCTTTATCATGTCCAGTACTATAGACAAAATTTTAGATCACATTTCATTGCATATAAGAAAATAACCGTCACTGGAAGTTAACCAATCAAATTTTCACTCCTTTTTTTCCTGTGTACAAGCTTTAGTAACCATGTAAGCTCAAGTTTCCAAAATATTCTATAGAAACACCAAATAAAAAAATAATGGTGCTTTGAAATGTAAGCGTACTTTCATTCCGGCGTGTATTATTTCCGGGTAACTGTTTTTCACTAGAGAATATTGGATGTAAATAGTGTGAAAGCGTCGATCGTGATATCGTTGTTTTGTTTATATTAGACCGGTTTATTGTTTACATAAATAAATGGGTTAAAATTAAAATGATTTTCAAAAAAACAGTTTAATTAATCTGAGTCAATCTAATAATTATAAATAATATTGATGATGATGAGGAGGTTTTTTTATAACTCAAAATACTTTATCAATGATCAGGACATTGAACTTGATATAAACCAAATTTAAAGAGCAGATTTGTTCTTACATAAAGTTTCAATTATAGAAGTCGACCGAAAAGCAAATACACAGAAAAACTTCGGCAACCCAAAAATATAAATATTACAATTAGTGACAATTTAAAAGCATATGATTTTAAAGATTTGCATAGAAAAAATATTTAAATCTTATTCGTTAATAAGCATTATTGTGTTATCGTGTGTTCAAAATGAGTACTAATCATTTCATCAATGTATGGATCTAAAGCACTAGTGTAATTAATTCCGGTATAAAATAACTAGTGCAATCATTCCGTTACAAAATCACTAGTGTAATCATTCCTTGTTTAAAAACACTAGTGTGAACATTCCTTGGATGAAAACTCTCCACTTTTTACATAAATTATTTATGCAAGTTTCAAATACACTAAAAACTATTAAGCCACATTTCATATATGTTTCCCCTTCAAAAAACCCTTTTTAGAACCTTATAACGACTGGTGGATGTTTTACACTGGATCCGGATAGAAAAACCTAGTGAATTTATGTTGGTGGATAAAAATCACTGGGGATTTTCTTCCTCCGGATAAAGTACACTGGCGGAATCAAACCACTGTTACAGAAACACCCAAGATATATGTTTATGACTCAGAAATTTTTTACTGCAATGAAATGTAGGATTAATTTCCTACAACTGTCAAACTCAAGGGAATATTTTTTTTCGACCCTATTTCGTATGCTTCAACTACTTCAACCGGATGTGACATACTATGATTTGGTGGTATTACACCCTAGGTTCTTCAACAGTGTAAATAAAACTCCTCAGCTTTTACCTGATAAATGCAATCATACCACATTATTCAACATGAGTTTGAGAACAGGATGTTAATGCAACACCATTACAAATATCAATTGTATATAAAAAATAAACTGTTGACACAGAGATATGTCTCACCTTTTTGTAATTTTGATAGTATAATGAAAGTATTGAATCCAAATGGCAATATTTCAACATGTAAACTATGCAAAACATTCAATGTCAATGAACCATGATTTATGGTGAAGGACCAATTATATATACATCCAATGGAAATGAGAAATGTCAATGCTTATAGAACTGCATACCAAATACCATTGACTAATCATAAGTGGTTCCCTTTACAATAACCTGAATTCAAACTTTAATTTTGATACAATGTAAAAGTTTCCTAGTCAATGAACTATACCTGATGGGTGGGGCCATATAATCGCAATGGAAAAGAGACTTGCAAAGGCTAATACAACTGCATACCAATTATCATCAACTTAACATTAGCGGTTCCTCATAAACTGATCTAATCACATATTTAAAATGTAAACAATACAAAACATTCAAAGTCAATAGACCATGACTGAGGGGCGAAGCCAAATAATTTCGATTGAAATGAGATGTGCCAAAGCTAATACTTCTACATAACAAATATCATTGACCTACCACTAGTGGTTCCCCTTAAACTGACCTAATCACAAATTAATACATATAAAGTAAGCAAAAGTTACAAAGTCAGTAGACCATGACTGAGGGGAAGGGCCAAACAGTCTCCATGGAAATAAGATGTGCCAATAGTTATGCATCTACATACCAAATACCATTGACCTACCACAAGTGGTTCTTCTTAAACTTACCTTATCACAAACTAATTCATGTAAAGTAAGCAAAAGTTTCAAAGTCCACAAAGACCATAACTGAGGGGACGGGGTTAACATTCTCCATTAAAATGAGATGTGCCAATACTAAGGAAACTACATACCAAGTATCATTGACCTACCACTACTGGTTCTTCTTAAACTTGCCTAATCACAAACTACTGTGGATTCATTTATTTTCGTGGGTACCAATTTTCGTGGATTAGGGAAAAATTGCATGTTCGTGGATATTTAATTTCGTGGTTTTACCGAAAGTCTGCGTACAAGCCTATACAAAATATGTCATTCGTTGAACATTTAATTTCGTGGTTCACTTGTACCCACGAAATCCACGAAAATTGGTATCCAACGAATAATAATGAATCCACAGTAATACATGTAAAGTAAGCAAAAGTTTCAAAGTCAATAGACCATGACTGAGGGGGAAGGGCCAACTAATCTTCATGGAAATGAGAAGTGCCAATGCTAATACAACTGCATACCAATTATCATTGACCTACCACTAGTGTTTCCCCATTAACTGACCTTATCACAAACTAACACATTGTAAGATGACTCTGTCGGTGCCGGAAACAGCATAAGTAAATCTCATTTTTGGAAACCGTCAAAACAAGCTTAAGACAAAAAGTAAGCAATTGAAATTTTTATGTTTATGTGTGTGTGTGTTTGTCTGATGCTTATAATGACATTGACATTTGGGTGTTAATAAAAACATTCACAACTTAAAATCAGACAATTTTATGTATTGCTGTTTGAAACAAGACTATTAATGCCAGATTATTAAAACACCCAATGTCAAAAACTGTATGCTACCCTCTAGATGTCTTAAGGTTATTTTTTTTTTTGGTGGATTGCTATCTCATTGATGAACACCTCACCTTATCTTTATGTCCATTTCTCTACATTTCAAATTCAATTTGAAAACAGTAAAAACAATACAACAAGACCTTCCTTCCTGCTTAGGTTAGGACACATTACTATGATCTACTATAGTGGCCATCTTGAATAACTGATTTTTACTGAAGTGTTAGAATTATTAATTTTTCAACACAATACTACTTCATTAAAAAATGATGGTGACAACTTTTCTGTAACATAATTTATTAAAACCAATGAAAGCATACAATATATCAGCAACTATATACATCTGGTAACAATATAACAAAGCAGGGAAACAATAATATATGACCCTGGTATTATCATCAAATTCATCTTCATTAATGCTGGAGATTTCTATCGCAACAAACAAAATTGCTGACTGAAAAGTTCAGGAAAATATGAATTTGATAACATTCTTGATTCAACATTTAAACTAAAGCAGCATTTATATTTATTATTTCAGCAAAGGAAGCAATGGGAAACTTTTTGATTATAATTTTTTCATGAAAAACAGAGAAAAAATAATTGTATATAAAATAAATGCTTTAAATAAAACTGCTGACTTGCGAAAAAAATATCAAAATTAAAATTTTTTAACAACAGTCAGTTGTATGGATTTTATAATCTATAAATGCTGTTCATAACCATTTAGATTTTAAGATAACACCTTCCAATGAAGTCATGCCAATATCCTATTGCTCACCTCATCCCAGAATTGTCAAATCATGTCTATACAGTAACAAAATTCCAATGGCAACAATTTTTTAATATCTATATGATTTAAAGAGATGTGTCAAAAGGTCAGTTTATATCAGTGAAAAGGTCAAGCTATATGGAGTGAATAGGTAAGTGTTCAATATTACTCCTTTGGCAACATGGGGGTGGGGGTCAGTACAAAAGCATTTAAATCCAGAAAAATAAAAAAGCACTATCGTGTGAAATCATATTATATAAGCAGTCTATAGTACCAGTATATAGCTAGTACAGAAATTAATAAATTGCAGAAAAGACAGTACAATAAAAATATGCTTCAATATAAAAATAAGCATATGTGGTATGATTGCCAATGAGACAACTATCCCCCAAATGATTTAACTTTTGTTTACTTATTAGTTAGACACACAGTAACATAACAGAATCTTTAAAGTGGTTTGTACCAGATATCTGATACTCATGCTGATAAATACCAGGGGACCTTTTGGTTCAAACCCCTACATGTATGTTGTTATAAAATGGCTTATGTTCTAAATCAATTTATAAATGTATCCTACACTTAGAGGGAATCCCATTTTCTTAATCTAATGCCTTATTTTTAAGAAAGCACTAAAACTTTACACTTCTGTTAAAGAAATGGAAAACAGACATGGACAGACCGACATAATCCAAAGTATCCCTACAGTCACTTAGTTCTATACTTAATTAAAAGCGGTATACACAACCCTACAAATTACATAAAATACTATTAACACAAAAGAAAACATTCAGTAAGAATGTAATCTTCTGTTTCAAGAACATATAAAACAAATTTGATTAAACATTACTACCAAAAGAAAACATTTTTTTTTTAAATGTAATCTTTTGTTTCCATAGCAAATAAAACCAACTAGGTTAAAACATTAATATAGTACATGTTATAAATAATAGTTGCTATGGTTACTGTTGTTGTAGCAAAAATACTAATTGTTGCTAACGTAATAAAGCTTTAAAAAAATACAACCATCGCTATATTAACAATGCTCACAAAAACAAAATATATATAATAAATAAGCCTATACATATCACATATAAACACACACAAATATGGTTTTACATTTGCTAAAAGCTGAAACGTTGGTAGTTTTTCTTAAAGTCTTCAACAAAGGGATGTTCATGTTTGAAACTAATTCCAAAAACAGACTGCTCATTTTTTCAAAGCTGCTTCTTCTATCAATATTGGGAGATGATAAAATTATTGTTTAAATTTAAGATACTTAGACAAAAACATTATGGAATGCAGCTAATGTCAGCACTTACCTGGGGTAATATCTTGCTAGAAAATGGTTTATGATCATTATAATCATTAATTCAGAAATGTTAATACCAACTCTTGCAGAGTAAATAAATACATGTACATTATAATATAAATCATCTTATTTATTAAATGTTCCCTTGATAAATGCTTGCAATGCAAATTCATTATATTTCATATTTAAATTTACATCACTAGAAAATAATCAGTAAATAGTCATTAGGATAAAAAAAAAAACATACAGAAAAGCTTTTAGCACTATGAAGTAATTTACACACATGAGATACAATTTGTGCAAATTTTTAACTGGAGATCTTCTTACTTAAAATACTTTTTCTAAAGAAATACTGTACATTATCAGACAACGCTACGACCTCCATAAAATTATACACCAATGCTTCATGTGTACAGTATATAAAAAAATAGATTACTATGACAACTGTGTCAAGGATATATTTTTTACATCATGGAAAGAAAAAAAGAAAAAGAGAAGTCACACACCTACACAAACACACACAATATAATTACATCTTCTGAACACGTCATTAGGAATCAAATTCCTGCACTCTTGAGGTAAATTACAGTAGCAGATAGTAGATGTCTTAAGGAAATATTAATTCAAACAGACTTCCCAAATTTATTGTATTTTTCTGCTTCAAGTAATGTAAAGAAGCAAATTTTTGTGAGGGTTCTATTTTCCATAATTCTGGGAATAAGATAGAAACATGTAAATTTGATGTGAAAATCAGAATTTGGGACACAAACAAATATGAAAATTAATCCTAGGAAATAGAATTGGCCCTAGAAGTTAGGAAATTTAAGCATTCAGAAAAAAGACCACTTAATATCGTTCAAGAGTTTTAGAACTGGTTTAAGGGGGAGCTAACTTTAAAAATCAGTAATGTGCTTGTTATAGTATTTAAAGTCTTTAATTCATTTTAAGCATTTGAGTGAAACAGAATTACAATTTTAAATCTGTGATACTTTGAGTCTTACACAGGGCTTCCAAAATTATTTTTAGCCAGCCGGACATTTTATATATTATCCCGATTTTAATCCCTTAAGACTAAATAAATAAAAGGCAATTATGGAAATCAGTTGCCGAGTTGGCCATCCCAATGATTGACATTAAAAAAAAAAACGATATTAAACTTTCTCTGATGCAAATTCGAAGTTCTGACATAAACTGTTAAATTGGCAGTGCATCATTCGAAGTGTGCAACATCAGCGTACTTATATTATCTGCTTAGACTCTTTATTTGTGCAAACTAACGTTGTCAAAAACTTAACTTTCGTTTTTTAAATCTAAACCGGATGTTATCTTGACAATGGTAAAACATGGACCAGAGACGGATACGTAAATTCCGTGTACGTTTGCAAAGCATGAATGAGTGTAAGTAGCTCTTTCTACGTTAGTTCTTCAAGAAAATATTCGAAATAAACGTGAGATAAAGGTATCAATGACAATTTAAGCATTTTTTGAAGAAATTAGGATGCATAAATAAATTTCACACCTGAGCACATGCACACACGTGTACTAGTTCAAACAGAGATATGTCTCTGGTTCAAACAACGTGGTTATTACAATTTTTCATTTTCACCTTTTTAAATTTTTCATCAAATCATATTTGTAAACATATTTCTGATAATTTTAATCTTTTTAACTAAATTAATTAGATGCAAACCGCTGAAATGTAAGAAAATAAGTTTGAATAGACCGATCAATGTCCGGTTCATAATAGTTTACCTGTCACCTACACAGGTAAATTTCAGCTGTTCGACAACTAATTAGCCTTGATTAAAATGAGAATGTATTAAAGTAGGGGTTGTTTTGATAGTACTTAATGATCATGTGACTTTTATGACCGGAAATGTGTTGCTGTTAAAGGCAAAAGGTTGGGTCAAAAAGATCGCGAATTATGTTAAAATGACCGTCTCTTAAGCATTGAAAACTAAAAAATAGATGTCCGTTTCATGCTTTGCCCAGCCGGACTTTTACCGGACATTATACAAATGTCCGGAATATATGACCGCTTTGGAAGCCTTGGTCTTACAAGATATCTATGAAATGTTAAGAAATAAATGTACTTGTGATTTTTATAGACTTATATCCCTTCGCTCATTTTCTACCTCCTAAAATTTTATAAATATATGTCATTTAAGGAAGGTAAACATCTTCATCTTCTCCGTCATTCCAATGGACATTGTGTATCAACGATCTAAAGCCTCTAAAAAAATATTGATTTTAACAAAAGTCAAAATGCTTTATCAACTTAGCAGATATTTTCCACAATATTACTAATGTACATAGTTCATCCACTTAGTGGATCCTCTCGGCAATTTATAGCATATAATAATCTCTGAGTCATCAATTCTTGTGTAGAATACTGTGGAAGTTTAACCATAAACATACAAGTTTCTACTCTGATGAACCGTGAATCTGGTGGACCTAAAAATACAAATAGTACCATAAGTATAAAAATATAAATAGTAGCATAAGTATAAAAATATAAATAGTAGCATAAGTATAAAAATATAAATAGTACCATAAGTATAAAAATACAAATAGTAGCATAAGTATAAAAATACAAATAGTAGCATAAATATAAAAATATAATTAACAGCATAAGTATAAAAATACAAATAGTACCATAAGTATAAAAATATAATTAACAGCGGTCGTATAAAAATACAAATAGTACCATAAGTATAAAAATACAAATAGTAGCACAAGCATGTAATGGTAAACTAGCATTTTATTTCTGTTGCAGTTTCCATTGCAATGTATTTAATGGTTGTTTTACTTTGATGACTAATAGTTTTTCTTAGATTGTAATGCATAAATTTCTATAATCATAATGCAATACTATATTGTTTCAGAATTGTACTGCATTATGTTTATAATTGTAATACACTTAATGTTACTATTATAACACATAATTGGTGTTATTTCGATGATTTATGTTACAACAGTAAAGTATTTAAATGTTTTTGTGTTACTTTTGCAATGCATAATATAAAGAGAATAAGAGAAATATCATGTAGAGGGCTTAAGTACAGAGAGCTGATATCAATAGAAGGTTGATATAATTAGATTCAAATATTGGTAAAGCCATGAAATGCCATAAGTGTGTAGGTTTTTGTATTCTATGCACTATTCTTTGCATATAACATTTTTTGGTTGTTGAAATATGCCTTTCATTGGGCATAAGAATCTTATTGAATACAATACAGGAGAAAAATGAAAAACTACTGGTACATTTTTGTTATACAAAAATGTAATACATCATATGTGATTTCTGTAGTATTGCATTTTGCTTTTTTTTTTATCATTCAAAATAATTATTCATATTTGATGTTTTTGTTTAAGTGTTTTGTTGTTTGTTATTCTTTCTTTTATTGACCATGGATTTTGCTGTCTTTCTTCTACAAACAAAATTACAGGTTTATTCTTTGACTCATAGGACTTAAGGGATATAAGATATATAACTGTATTTGACAACTTATGCCATAACTACTATGAGATGACGATAGGGCAGATGCAGCAAGTGATGGCTTTAACCCATTATAAAGTCTCATTCTATCTTTCTCTATTTATTTCCTCCTGTGATACCAATGATAAAACAGAGAAATCTTCATTTGATAAAGTAGCAGAGGGAAGAGGATGTTCCTGCTCACCAATTTTAAATCAGAAGTACATCACTAATATTATTACCTGGGCCATCTGGAGGAGCAATTTTCATTGGATAAGGAGGGACATGTGTGGTTTCTGCCCCACCCTCTTTACACGGACAGGTCTGTGGAATTCTTTCCTGGTTGCAAGAAAACTTGATAAATTTACAGAGATCCTCCTGACTAAGTGTCTCCAATGTATTCCAGAAATATTCTATATGTTTGTCACTCTCCATCAGTCCAACTTGATACATAGTGTGTGCCTGTAATACATGGCATATTTTACTAATATATATATAGATATATATATACGTACTTTGACCTATAATGGTTTACTTTTATAAATTTTGACTTGGATGGAGAGTTGTCTCATTGGCACTCATACCATATCTTCTTATATCTATAAAGTTTATATCAAAGTATTGCACCTTGTTGTTTAAAAAGATATAACCTATTGAGTCTCGTATAGTACACACTTTTTTACCCCCAAAATGTGGTTGGCAGAGGGGGGTGCGTATTATACACAACTATAGACAGTTTTGATTTTTTTTTTTAAATGTTGTTGTTTTTTGTTTTTTTTTTTAATATTGTTTTTTATCTTCATTATTGTATTTTGCAAGACGTTTTTTTATTTCTTTTTTTTTTTAATAATGTTTTTTCCCTTCATTATTGAATATTAAAGGTACTGGTGTGACATCCTGCATGAGTGAGCTTCAAATGAAATAAAGGATTAAGTATGGGTGTGTAGCAATTGAATAATCATGTCAACTTTTGACAGGTGTTCAATATAATAACCTCAGGCAGTGCTCTAAATCAACATGATCAATGAAAAGAAAATATGGAATTAAAGAGTTATTAAAGTTTAATTACTGCTAATCAATTTAGAAAAATGTTTGAGGTCTAATTTCTTTTGTTCCATAACATTACAGTTATTTCTTTTATAATATTTGAACAGTGCATCAGCTTGGACAAGCTTAAACAAACATTGATTTCAAAGGGAATATTTAATCAATAATTTTACTTTTATAAAATTAATAAATGTTAATTACATGATAAAAGCTCTACCATTTTGTTGTTTATTACTTTAAAATTATTTAATTAAACAATTTGATTGAACAATCAGTCTTATACATTATTTTTATCTTTCAATAGACTTAAATGAAGATTAAATACATGGTTTAATTTTTTCCCTATTTACAGGTTTTTTTACAGTGAAGAAGACTTTTTAAAATTTTAGTTTTTTCTTTTTTTTCTCTTCTTTCGATTTTGGAGGGAAAAAGTGGTGCATATTATACACAACTGCATACTATACATGGCTAAATACGGTACAGTTCGTTTCAGAAGCATGTACCACATACAGTTATCCCTATTATACAACCTTTTTTTCTTATAAATGAACTCATCATAGATACCAGTTACCACTTAAAAGAAAAAAATGCTTGCTGTATTCATTAAACTACATGTTCTATAACAGGGTTGATTTAATGTTCTTGACCACCCATAAGGGTCTTACATAGTCAGCCACCTCTCTGTATTTATAACACTTATATATCTCAGTTCTAATAAACAATGAGCTATTATATGATTTCTAAATAAGGAAATTCAAAATATTTTCAAATGAAACAAGATATTTCAAAACATGAAATTGGGAGTTTTGAAAAGAATTTTACTAGTTCTAAATATGTAAGACGTTTAACACCATCCCTGCTCATTTTTTTTTACTCTAAAAAAATCCAGATCAACCTCTGATAGTCCTTATTTTCAGAAAGTTTGTTCATTTATTTACCTTAAGAAAAGCTAGGTCGACCTCCGGTAATCCACAGGTCCTGATTTCTAGGTCTAAAGGTGAGAGTATATTCAATAACTGTAGAGGTATAATTGATGCCAGACCACAATGTAATGACTGTATTCTATGTTCTGGTAATAACTCTGTCATTCTCAATCTCTGAATAGCTTCAACATATTCTTGTCTATTCTCCCAACTGAAAAAAAAGTGCTATTGATTATAGTTTTTGTATATTTTTTTTTCATTCAATCATTTTATGAGTTTGCTTAGATTTTAAAATGAAATGCTCCGTTAAAAGAGGTCAATGTTTGTTTTAAAAAAAATATGGTACAAAGCTGATCTCTTCCTTCATGAATCATGGCAGATGCATATCTCTAATAGTCTTCTTTGAATTCATGAACAACTTTTCTTTTGTTTTATAGCTCCCCAGTATTTATAAATCTTTGGCTTTTCTACTGTGGTGGATCTGGAGAATACCTTTAAATGTAGTAAAGTAAGTACTGTGGATTCATTATTATTCGTTGGATACCAATTTTTGTGGTATTTTGTGGGTACAGGTAAACCTCGAAATTAAATGTTCCAACGAATGACAAATTTTCTATAGGCTTGTATGCAGACCTCAGCAAAACCACGAAATTAAATATCCACGAACATACAAGTTTTCCTTTATCAACGAAAATTGATACCCATGAAAATAAATGAATCCACAGTATGCAAAATTTGATTTAAACAAAAGGAAAGACTTAGTCTGTTTTTGAAAAAGTTTTTTTTTCTTCTCAAATGAAACAGAATAGCTATATAAAATTTTCTGTCAACTTACCAAACAGAAACTTTGTGTCCATTAGGTATCAGTTCAACTTCTTCTCCAGACAGAGTAGAATAAACAAACTGTGGGTAAACATCTGAACATAATGCTTGAAGTTCACTTTCTGTCTCAACCTACAAGTAATTATAAAGCACAAAAATTAAGGTGGTATCAAACACCTTGACTAAAATTAATTTGGCTCGTTTTAATTTTCATAAAATTTTGACAAAATATTTACTTTGACCCTTTGACAAAAATATAAAATTTTTTAAAAATTTGAACTACACACTTTATCCAAAAAATTTCATTGCATATATAGCAGTTTGACAAACACTAGTTTTGATCAATAGAACGTGATTAAAACGTTCAGCTGATTTTTACAGAGTTATCTCCCTGTAGTGTTATGTACCACCTTAATAAGATTTTCATGAAATATGATTGTCTGTTGATGTTTAAGGCCACTATCAGCAACGGTAGCTATATCACAAGATCAGTTTTTATAGGTGGAGAAAGCCAAAGTGCCCAGAGAGAACCCTCAACTTTGGAGTTGACAGGCAAGTGATCCCTGTAGATGGACTACTAAGACCACTTGGCCACTGAGATCCTAAGACATAAGTAGTAGGATGAATGGATGTTGTAAATTAAGCAGGGAATCTTTCCACAATATTCATGAAGGAAACAAATCAATATGATTAAAATATAAACCCTTTGAACTAGACAAAAATGGTGAACATATGATACATACTAGTACAAAATTAATGATCCTCAGAAAGACAAGATCAAATTATTCAGACTCTGAGACAAAAAGTCTGAATATTCACCCTAAGTACAAATGACTGCTGAATGATAGCACTATCACAGAAGGAAAACGGTTACGACTTGGGTGATACTAAAGGTATAGTACAATTATTTGTTAAATAATTTTTTTTTGTATAACAGATTTGAAGAAACCTCTATTCATACTTTAGTCAAAATGAGCAATGGCTGATAAGCACTCAAATGATTTGTAAAGAAGCATTTAAATTGATTTTCTAGGATTCAGTTTCAGATTTATTTGGCTTTTTTTATTCTGACACCAGATTAAATATTTCTATAAAGGTACCATTTCAATCTTTTTCATAAAGTTGTATGTTAGTGGGTCTGCTTCTTGCAGATTGGTATTTGGGTCTTCATCATCAGATACAATGGCTTCCCACAAAGACTTTAGTAGATCTAACCCCAGAGGTATGTCTGCTCTTATAGTTATGCCTAAAATCTGAAATGAAAAGAAAAATAATGCATAAAGGAGCAAATTCTTATTAAACTTTTATAAACAAGAAAATCTACTTGGACAGTAATATGTAAATATACAATGCACCCAGGAATGGTACTAACTTTTTATAATATATTTGGATCTTTATAGATCATATGAACAAATATTTGTGTCAAAATTCAGACACAAAACATTTTCTCTCAAACCGTGGCAAAGTTCACATTTAAGTGTGTTATCAACTACCGTTCAGAACAAAAAAAGACATGAAAATTGTTAAATTGCTTCTAAGGATTGATGACTACCATATTTTCATCCTTGGGTATTATTTACACTAATATGAAAGAATCCCCCTGTAATAATCTATACCCCTGCCAGCCCAAACTACTTATATATACCTGTCCAAAGAACTGTGTTAATCTTTCCTCTGGGAATGTCATCTTCCCTGGATGTAGTAGACATCTACTTTTGTAATTACTATTGTTACATGGGACTATCAACTTCAAAGAGTGGAGCTCTTTTGCTATTTGGCTCAGGAACTGTCGGAAAGAACCACCTGAAAAATTCAAATAAGTTCATCAGTCTGTATTTCTTACCATGACTTAGTTTATAGTACATTCAGCAAAATTTCTGAATTTCTTTGATTTATTTCACTGTTTTAGTATAATTTCCATCGAAAAGTATGTGCAAACCCAAGAGACAACTTTATATATGGTGAGAATGATTAAAAAAGCAATACCAAAGTTTCCTTAATTTTTATCAAGCTGTGCACAATTTTTTCACAATAAAATTATGGATAGAAAACTGCATAAAATCTGCATTTTTCTTCAATGAAATAAACACATATCATGACATTACAACATCGAATAATCTTAACTAATTCATTCATATTTTTTCATTTTTTGCATTTCCATACATTTTGTGCAAATTTGAAGTAGTTCTGTAAAAGTTTTTGAATGAATTTAACAGAAACAATCAAAGATCTGTATACACATTCAATCTTGTGCTGATGGTTTGGCCTTCAGCTGTTTTCTGCTCTTTGGTTGGGTTGTTTGTCTTTTTGACACATTCCCCATTTCCATTCTCAATTTTATCATCAAAATATGCCCTAAGACTCTATATCAATGCAAAATGCATATTCATAATACTACAGAATTACTTTACTTGATTGTATTCTCATCTTTGAAAAATAAGCAACGTTTTCCTCAATCAGTAATAACATATTTCATTCCTACATCGACATTTAAACAAGTTGAGCAGAAAATAAACTTACTTGTTCCATGGACTTCTTCTCCAGTCAATCGCACATTGAAGGAATAGGTAGGATCTCCTCCACTAGCTAGACGTACACACAGCTGTTTGGATGGAATATTAGATAATTGTCTGAAAGTCTGACAATACCATGTTACTAGGGAAGCTTTCTCATCACCTGGAATAGACAAAAAATAAAATCAAGATAAACATGATAACTATGTTTATCTTTTGCTGTTTGTCTCATTTGAATTGTTTTACATTTTGTCATGTTAGGGTTTTGTTCATTGTTGAAGGTAGTATGGTGACCTACATCAACATTTATTTGATCTCTGATGGATAGGCTTCTCATTGGAAATCGTAAAACATTTCCTTATTTGTATATGTCGCAATATAATCACTTTTCATAACTAGATACATTAGGAACTCTTAAATCGAAAAAAAATTTTGAAAGCAATAGATGTATAAATGTTTTTAATCAGTCACTTTAACAATATCAAATTTTCAACAGGATAGAGGGTAACAGTTAGCCATGCTTAGTCTGGTACCCTTCCTTACCTGATAAATTTTCCAAGGGATCCAGTGTAACTTCTGGTGCAGCTTGATCTGGTTTTCTCTTAGCTGTTGCATTCATAATACGATTTACAAAGTTCACTTTTGAGTCATAAAATATAAGTCCTCTGATTTTTGACAGGGCAGAGGCTGTACTGCGGTTGTAAGTTTTGGCAGGACGTAGATCCACCATTGGCAAGAAAATGGTTTCAAGAGTATTATTTAGCGACTGTAGGAATGCAAATCTTAATCTGACACTCTCAACAGGAACACCTGAAAATTAAAGGAGACATTGTTGTTATTAGTAAAGGTATACACTTTTCACATGTATAATAATTTTTTTGGTCTTAAAGTAGTAAAGTATCAAAATTGTTGCTGGACCCTTTTAAAAATTTGTTTTAGTTACAAACAGAAAAACTTTAATTTTGATAATTTGCTACAATTAATATTTGTGGGGTAAAAATGTAGATTTTTTGTCTTTACAAATGATTCTTAAGAGATTGATTTTTGTGATTTACAGATTGTAATGTCCTTCATAGTTGACTTGTCATTGAAGTTGAAATTAAATCGCCGCAAAATGGGCTAGTAAGGGCTAAACGCGAAATAAAGTATCCGCAAAAATAAGTTGGTTTACAGTACATATCAATGAGACAGCAAACCCAAGGATACAGAACAACACAAAGTCATATAAATGTCAAAACAGATACAGCAAAAGCAATACTAAATAAAACCACATCAAAGAAATGAATACATCTATATTATTTACAACAGATAAATTATCATGATGAACATTATTTCTATATACATATTAAAACAAACAAACATTCATTCAATAACTGACCATCGGTAAAATCAAGGAAATATGTTTAGTTTGTGATCCTTTCAAACTGAATATATTTCCTTGATTTTAACGATGGTCAGTTACTGTCTGCTGCTTAAAAAAAAAACCCACAATTTTGAGCGACTTATATAAGGGTCAAAACTGAATCTTTAGATTTTAAAGCCGAAAAAATAAAGCATCAGACTTATAAGCGGATCGACTTTTACTCCAGTACCAACGGTAATTCGTTTACAAATATAGTTTATGCAGTAATTGGACATATATCATATCTTCTTCAGGACAGAGCAAATATTTTAAATCATGCGAGAATAAAAAAAAATCAACTGAAAATATTTTTCAGAAATTAGATGACTTCCAAAATGTAAAACTAAAGTACATGAAGCACTGTTAAAATATAAATCAACTCAAGTCACCCAGCCATGGTAAAGTTTATTTTCAATGGAGATCCATAAACAACTATTCTATTAAGTTTTTTGGAATATTTTTTTATTGGCTACTGCTTTTAAAATCATGCATACATTTCACTGGTCAACTCAAGCATATGTTTCAATGTTTGATAATAATTTCATACCTTGTAAACAAGCATATGTTTCATTGGTTAATATCTCCTCTGGTATATTCATCTCATGTGGATGTAATCGTGAGGGTGCCACTCCTAATTTCTTAGCTGACATGTTTACATACTGGACCAAGGCAGAGTCCATTTCTAATGTCCACTGTGTGGTCATCTGTAAAGCTTGGTTATTGTCAAGGCAGGCACACCTGTAAAAAATCATATAGCAGTTAATAACATTGTACAGTAATTTTTAAGAACACTAGTGTTCCATTGTCCCCCTTAGCACATCTAAAATTTTAACTGACATCAGAAATGTAATACAATCCTTCTGGATCACTAATATCAAATAATTACTTTTATGAGACCTTGATTATCCCTAAATTTTTTGGTGTTTTTTTTCACTTTCAAGGACTTGGTTATATCATGCCTCAGAGTTGACAGGATACTGATCAATGTAGATGAAGTACCAAGACCACTCAGTTTTCGTGGATTTCGTGGGTACAGATAAACCACGAAATTAATGTCAACGAAATACACATTTCCTATAAAGTTGTATGAAATCATTGGCCAAACCATAAAATCTAATATCCATGAAAATGCAAGTTTTTCTCAATCCACGAAAATTGGCACTCACGAAAATAAATGAATCCACAGTATTTAAAGAATCAACAGTTCTTCAAATTCATTTGGGAAGACATTCTGTTTTTGAAATACTAGCTACTAGTATTTAGGAATACTCATAACATGTTTGGAATACTTATAACACTTACAATCGAATATTATTTAATATAGAAGAGCTATGGATATGATATGTTATTTACAAACCACCATTTTAACTCTGTGTTCATATCCCTAACCAAAAATATTTAAATTTGGATCAATTAAGTTCAAATCTACAGGTTAACTCATTTCAAAATGTAATATAAAGTTATTTTTTACACATTGGTACTTTTAAAAGAGTCCATACCTTTCGAAGAAAAGATCAAATCCACAGGCTAGGACAGCTCTCCATACTGATCGTATATCTTGCTTTGCCATGTCTATGACATACTGTAAGAATCCTTCCAGGGTTAAATGTCTTGATTCTTCAACAGGCCAACTCTACAACAATAAAAATACTAAATTACAGTATTCTGACAGCCAATTTATATAACTTATAACATTAAATGCAAAAGGATAAAACATATAACTCATGTTGTGCTGATATTTCAAACAAATTAAATTTTACACTACTTCACCTATATCCTCATGATAAACTTGCCTATAAAAAAATTTCTTGATTTATTCAATTACTGGTAGTCTTCGCCCTTTGTTTAGTTCTTGTATGTTTAAGCTAACTGTCTTACCTTTCCAGCCTTGGCACCTTGTTCTGCTCCTTCCTTGTGTGTTTTCTCTGGCATGTCTTTACCCTTTGGCTTTTTGTCACGGTGTGGTGGTCTAAAAACAGAATAGTTAACTACCAGTTATGACATTGAGAGAAGTTTTGAAAAAAGTTAAGGTAGAAACCCTTTGATAGCCATGATTTGCATATCATTGCCATTGACATTAGAAGGTACTGACATTCTTATTTTTAACTTTGGTGTAGCTACTAAAGGTCATATGTATTGATCTTAATAGTAACCAAATTTGATTTCCATTATTACCCTCACAAGAAACTGTCCTCCCATATTTGCTTTCACCTATTCAAAAAAGATTCTACAATGCATTGGTTCACTGTCGTCAACATTTAAGGAAGTATGTATGAATAGTTTTCTTGAAATTTCTTTTTACTTCCTAAGAGTTCAAATTATCATATTGTATCATATTCTTTAACCTTGACAAAATGCGAAAAATGCAAAAACATCATTGAAAATCGTGACACAATTGTGAATCTACCATAACTGTAGTTATGCCAAAGTCTATTTAAACTGGTTCAGTCTGATAAAAAAGTGTATAAAATTTGGTCCAAAAATAGACAACAAGGTTGTCTAAAATTGCCATTAAGCCTAATTTTCAAAAGTATGTGTTGCATTAAAAAATACTAACTTTTCTGACACACCCATGACAACTTTTTCTTTGGATGATTTTGGCGATCTCTTGGGTCCTTTCCCTTTGCCATTTCTATCTCCTGGTGATCTATAAAGTAACAAAAGGAACTGTAAACTATTGTATACTTTGGTTTCATTATTATCCATAGGATAACAATTTCTGCGGATTTTGTGGGTACAGGTGAACCACAAATCTAAACGTTCAAAAGGAACTGTAAAATCAGAAATTATTCCTGGCAGTGATTAATACTTTTTTTAATAAATGGACAAAAATGGGAAATTAATAAATGAAATTCAGTATGGTTTTTAACATCCACATCATTTGGTCTCTGAAGGATTGTTGTCTCATTGGCAATCATACCACATCTCCTTATTTAATTAAAGAACCTTAGTGAGCGCGCTCACATACCCCACGTCCTCACATTGTCATTGGAGAAATAAAATATGTGTAAGAAAAAAAATTGTATAAGAAAAAAAAATTGAATCATAATTTCCTGTCGATATGCACATCTACATAGTATGTCCTTATTATCTACAAAGTTTCATGAAATTCTGTTGTGTGGTTTCAGAGGAGTTGCGATGAAAAACTGTTGCAGTAGCACATTGAAGCAAATAAGTTCAAAGGGGCGTAACTCCTAGAAAAAAAATTGAACCGTAATTTCCTGTCGATATGCACATCTACATAGTATGTCCTTATTATCTAAAAAGGTTTCATGAAATTCTGTTGTGTGGTATCAGAGGAGTTGCGATGACAAACTGTTGCATAGTACATTGAAGCAAATAAGTTCAAAGGGGCGTAACTCCTAGAAAAAAAATTGAACCGTAATTTCCTGTCGATATGCACAACTACATAGTATGTCCTTATTATCTAAAAAGGTTTCGTGAAATTCTGTTGTGTGGTTTGAGAGGAGTTGCGATGACAAGAAACAGGACTGACGGACTGATGGACTGACAGACGGACGGGTCAAAAACATTATACCCTCCGCAACTCGTTGCGTGGGGTATAATTAATATTATATGTTAATACTTATTATTGTGTTTATGTGTGACATATATCCAATTAAACTTTGGCAATAATAAAAACATAACAGTATTCACAATAACAAAAGTAATTTGTAAGTGATTTTTTAATTAAATAAACTTTTGAAGTACTTAAGCATGTTTTTTCACTTTTATTTTTTCGAGTTAAATTGAATATTGATGAGTAACCAATAATTGTTTGCAATATTTCTAATTAATCTTTGCTATTGCCTTTGCATTCAGAAGGCTAAAACATTCCTAATATAAAATCTTCATTACACCATATTATTTATAGATCTTTATGTATAATTTTAATTTTCTTCAGTTTTTACTGCTCAAGTTCTTTCGTTATGAATATGGAAACATTTATTAAAGCTCTTTTCTTCTACTTATAACTGTCTCAAGTTCTATCAACAATTTGTTTCAAAATTAAGGTTTTTTGCATATATGTGTAGACATTTGTCATGTTTGTGGGTTGGACCTGAAACTTACCCTTCTTTATCAGGTGATTTCAGCATGCCATACTTCCGTAACACCTGTGTGACTTGTTCCTGTAATGACTTACCCTTCTTTATCAGGTATTTCAGCATGCCATACTTCCGTAACACCTGTGTCACTTGTTCCTGTAATGACTTACCCTTCTTTATTGGGTGACTTCAGCATGCCATACTTCCGTAACACCTGTGTGACTTGTTCCTGTAATGACTTACCCTTCTTTATCAGGTATTTCAGCATGCCATACTTCCGTAACACCTGTGTCACTTGTTCCTGTAATGACTTACCCTTCTTTATTGGGTGACTTCAGCATGCCATACTTCCGTAACACCTGTGTCACTTGTTCCTGTAATGACTTACCCTTCTGTGTGACTTGTTCCTGTAATGACTTACCCTTCTGTGTGACTTGTTCCTGTAATGACTTACCCTTCTGTGTGACTTGTTCCTGTAATGACTTACCCTTCTGTGTGACTTGTTCCTGTAATGACTTACCCTTCTTTATCGGGTGATTTCAGCATGCCATACTTCCGCAACACCTGTGTCACTTGTTCCTGTAATGACTTACCCTTCTTTATCGGGTGATTTCAGCATGCCATACTTCCGTAACACCTGTGTGACTTGTTCCTGTAATGACTTACCCTTCTTTATCGGGTGATGTCAGCATGCCATACTTCCGTAGAACCCGTGTCACTTGTTCCTGTAATGACTTACCCTTCTTTATCAGGTGATTTCAGCATACCATACTTCCGTAGAACCCGTGTCACTTGTTCCTGTAATGACTTACCCTTCTTTATCGGGTGACTTCAGCATGCCATACTTCCGTAACACCCGTGTGACTTGTTCCTGTAATGACTTACCCTTCTTTATCAGGTGATTTCAGCATGCCATACTTCCGTAACACCTGTGTAACTTGTTCCTGTAACGACTTCTTTGGAGGTTTAATGTTGTTGAAGAAACAGAAGAGCATATTTTCTTGTACATGTTGCAGGATCTGATCTTTACTAAGACATATAAATCCCGAGTCTTGTCTGAAGTCTTCACTACCGTGTCTCTGATCCATGATAAAACAACTATGGAATATTTCTATGAGAGCCAAAAGACCAGGCTCTGTTACTTCCTCGAGATTAGAACCGTTAAAAAATTTATACTGTAAATATTCCTCTAAAGTGTCATTAGCTTGGGGCTCAGCGGTAACCAACATGGCATTGACAGTTGATATTGTCATCATTTCATCAGGAACTTCTACAAGCTCATCAACGTGATCAAATGATAAACTTTTTACTAATGACTTTTTAATATTTTCCACTTTGGACTTGGAACTGATATTTATTACTGCTGTACCTTTAATGACAGCCTCTGTCCTTTTTGGAGCAGGTGCTTCTTCTGTTGCCTTGGCAACACCTGCTGCCTCGGTTGACTGTTCTGATACACTTTCACTTTCAGTTTCAACTTGACCTTGACTCACTGACTTTTCAACAGCTCTGACCTTTGGACTTACAGTTTGAACAGGAACGAAAATATCATTCCTATCGATTCCCCCATTTGACTGACATGCTTTTTGAACAGCTGAATGCACATTGTCTTTGGATATCTTATCAGGTATTCCTGTGATAACTAATACTCTATTGTATGCGGATGGTACTTGAAGAATGTGTGCAGCATCCAGAATGGCTGTGTGTAAGAAACTTTCACTCTGTTTCTCTCGGAATGCCAAATGACGAATAATCTGAGACACAGTCAAAGTTCTCTGAAACCATAATAAATCTTCTGATTTAGTTCCAGTAAGAGATGTCTTGCTAGATTCAGGTGTTGGGAGTGAGGAAGATGATGAGTTTTCTGATGTAGGTAGCGATGAAAATGATGACGTAGATGTAGCTGATGTGCTGGCTGACACAGCGTGAGAGGCATCACTCTCACTCACACGAGGACTGGATACAGGAGTACGTTTTGGTACAGCGCCACCTCTTTCTTTATCTCTTTTTGCCTTGACCTTTTTCTTCTTGGCCGATGAAGTTGGACTTCCTAAAGAATGAGAAGATCCTGAGGCTGAGGAACCGAATGCACCTGCAGACATCAACAGCCCAATGAAAGTCTTTGATCTTTCATCATATCTTGTTTCAGCAGTAGCCAAAACCACTTCTAACAATGAATGAAAGTATGTAGAGAATCGTCCTTTATCACACACCCCAATACCCATCCCAACACCACTAGCTGTTGACATAGACTCCCATCCCTTGGTTTCCTCCTCATATAATTTTCTCAACTCCATCTGTAGTTGTACCAGTAAACCAGTGTTCAAATTCAGATGAGGTTGCAGAGCCTGGAGAACTGACCCATTACAACCCTCGCTGTAATTCAGAATTCTCAAGGATTGTGCCAGAAGGTGGAACATATATTCCTTAATGAGAGACGGAATACTACACTTCCATAAATATCTACACAACAACTCAATCATGTGCTTAAATACCCCTGGTGTAATCTTGATGTTATCCACATTCCATAAACTCTGGTGGTTATCCTTACTCAGCAAGCTAGACGTTGTACCTGCATGTCCTCGCATGCCACAACTTTGTGTTCCACAACCATATTTTTCTTCTATTAAAGTCTCTATGTAAGCCACGGCCAGTAAGAACTGTGGATATAGAGCATGTATTGTCAACATGACACCTGGGGGTGGAGACACACCCAGTTTGACATGGACCCTATCACAGGGTACTATAGCAGGAGTATACTGTTCATTCTGGTTACTGGTTGAGCTGGTATCCCTTGGATAACTAACACAATCCAGTTTGGTTGGTTGTCCTGTCTTCCTTACATGGTTACCATTGTACGATAGAACTTTTGCCCATGGAGATTTGTAGAGCGATGTGCTGAAAAAAGGAAAAGTGGTTTTACATTATCTTTAACAGTTTACAGAATCTTTGTATAAAAATCTTTAAAGACATTCTGTTAAAATTCTGATATTGTTATGATTAGAGATTTATGTACACGCCAGTATATTTCACTGAAATTTTTTGTGCTGACTGAAACTCATACCCAGACTATTCTTCACTTTCAATTGCATATTTGGTAAATCAAAATTCAGTGAATAAAGTTTTTTGTTGTTTGGTTCTACACTAGTTTTATAGACCTTAGAAACCACTGAAGATGTCACCTTACAGCCAAGGTCAACATTGATTTATAAGGTCCAATAAATCTCATATCCATCTTTTAAAAAAACACTGGTATGACAAAATTTCTTCAAAATCTGATGTGTCAATGATTTAGTAACTGACTGTTTATGTCTTTAGAAAAGTTCATTATAGACTTGGACGGAGGCAAACATAATGAGGATGCTGCCCATCAATGAAAAGTGACTTCTAGGTGAAAATTTGATTGACATGTATTTTCTGGTTGCTTTCTTATTGGTGTTTACCCCACATCAAATTTTATACATAGACATAACTCACTCTTTCTTTGCTACTTTAGGATCAGTTTTACAAGACACAACCAAACATGATGCCCCTGGGAAATGGACATCTGTGTTGACCTTAACCTCTGTTACTGGAAACTCTTCATATGGGAACATCTCTGGTGCAATCTAAAAAAATTAAACACAGAAAATCTTGCAAACATAACTTGTTTATACAATAGAAAAACAGCGGATAAGGGGAATCCGTCCAGGACACAAAATCAGTACATGCAATAAGTCAATTTGTCTACACATGTTTTTCTGTTGTTTGCAATTTGTCCTTTCCATTCATGTTTTCATTTTTTTGTAGTTTATCCTTTGTATTGGAAGGATGACGAATGATTCAGCCAATTGTTTTCCATCCACAAACATTTACAATGAAATATATTTTTTTTTAGTTTTAAATCCCTCTATAATACATAATACATAATAACTAAAAAAAATATTTGAAATAAAATAAAAATTTGTAAGGGTTCCGCAGAACCCAGTGTCTCGCCTACTTTTGCTGTTAATCGCAGGCTCAACAAAAATGGGGAAAAAATTATTAAAACTTTTCCTCTAGATATTATCTTTTGATTGTAAGAAGCTTCAATCCAAGTTTGGTAAAAATCCAGGATGGTTTATGAATCTAATAAATGTTTTAAAAACTTTAACTGCAGACTGTATGTAATGTTAACTGGAAGAAAAACTAAGTTCATTTATAAGTAATATACGGAAAAACAGGAAATAGATTTTTACAAAATTTCCTTCTAGATACTAGCTTTTGATCATAAAAAAGCTTCTGTCCAAGTTTGATAGGAATCCAGGATAGTTTAAGAAAGTTATTAAAATTTTAAAAACTTTAACCACAGAGTGAATGTTATGTTAACTGGCAGAAAAACTAAGTCAATTTATAAGTAAAATATGGATAAACAGGATTTTTTTTTTTACAAAATTTACTTCTGGATACTATCTTATGATCATAGAAAAGCTTCTGTTCAAGTCTGGTAGAAATCCAGGATAGTTTAAGAAAGTTATTAAATTTTTAAAAACTTTAACCACAGAGTGAATATTTGTGGACGCCGCTGACGACAAAATGTAGGATCGCTATGTCTCGCTTTTGCGACAAAAGTTGCAGGCTAGACAAAAAACATATAACAACCTGCAAACAAATACAAATCTGATTGGTAAGCTCAGTCAAGTAATCTTCTCCCTGATTGGCTGCTCTTGCAATGGCCACTGATAGCTCTCTTTTTAACTTATCTTCATCGCGGTACAATAACTTTGTCAGAGAGCAAGAACTGATGGCTAGACAATGTTCTAATGATGAGGAGGTGATCAGAGAGGCATTCTGTATTGTTCCATGAGGTTGAGGAGGACACAGGAGCTCCTCTGACAAGAGCTGGAGATTTTCTATGTCTAACTGCTGCAAGAGGGCAGCACTGGCAGCCATTCCAGATCCCAAACTGGCAGAGCATGAGTATATCTCCATTGCTGGTGAGTTACAATGGTCAATGAGTTTTAATAGAGCAGTTCTACAATACATCCTAGATAATATCCCTTCACATCTTAGCAGCTCTCTGAAATAATAAATTAGTTTGAATTTAATAAATAAGTACAAATTTAATTTCAAAATACTTACACAAACATTAGAAAATCAAAGTACCGTTATTGTTGTGAGCCAGCCAAACTGTCTTGATCACAAAAAACAACTTCTCCATACAAGTTATTGCATTAAATCATTTCTTTGCAAAGCAGATGTAGATGACTGTTGTCAATTGTGTACCTAGATGTCTTTTAATTTTTTTTTTGTATGCTGCCTCATTAGCATTGAAAAATTAATAAATTATGGAGAAACTAATGTTCAAAGTCCCTCAGGCATAATTGCCCTTAGACAATTGACTTTTGTACACCAGACAGCTATAACAGCATGCCTTTTTAACCTACCTATGAATGTATATGTTTGAAGTATCCAATATCTGTCCTCCTGTGATTGAAGATTTCCTCAGACCTTGGCCTGGTCGCTCTAACATGTCTATAGGGTACCAGAATCGTACCAGTACACCTTCACTCCGCAGGTAGGTTTCTACTTGTACCAATTCATTCGACTTAAAGAAAACCAAATATACAATGAATACTATGTAAATAGTCAGCAGTTATTCAAGTGTTTCATATCAGTTGGGAACAAAGGGAATGTTTGCACTGTTAAAGCAGTAACAATTTTGTCAAACATAGATGTATTTCACAAAATTTTTTCTCTTCTAGCTTTTTGCTATGTATCTTAATTACATCTATATTTAAATCTCACTTTATTTGTTTGGATTTCTCTTCATCAGAAATACTCAAGACCAATATTTGAAAGCTGAGGATGAATAAATATGTGAGGCGCTATAAGACTAAAAAGATCCTGAAAAGAATAGCCAAACCAACTTAGATCACAACTACTCACATTATCAACATCCAGAACAGTCCCTGTCAGACCAAATGTCCTAAGCATACTTCTCACAGCAAACATAGGCAGCATGGTGGTCCCTGCTGTACTTGTCTCAGCTGTATTTCTGACCACTACAACTGTCCCCTTTCTGACCCTCTCTATTGTGAACTTTGCTAGGTCCTCCTTTATATCTTCTGTTGTGGGAAGATGAAGGTCACGTGGGATTCCACCATTTTCTTCATATAGGAATTCTACTGTTTGTCTGGCAATATCAGTCATACCTATGATCAAAGTAATTGTTTCAATAAGTAGATATTTGATTGTACCCAGAAGTTATTCAACTGTTCTTGTAAATAGAATGCCAACACCTGACAGTGTTAATTATAACCTAATGAACTTATTGCAACTGACATTAGAAGAAAAGTTACTTTGTAGGTATTTAAAACTTTAAAAGCGTAAAAAAAAAGTTTCAATTTTATTACAGAAAATCAGTTATGCCCATATGCTAGCCTTCCCAAACAACCTGACATCACTGCATTTGTTGGATATTGTATTTTAGGCATTGCTACTGTTGGTTGTTTTAGTCTTGCATTGTACTCTTGGTTTTTTGTAAGATTTTAATTTACTTTCTTTCCCCTTATTGTTATTCTTACTTTACTTGATCATCAAATAAACATATTTTATTTCAAATTCAGTTTAAGAAATTGGCACATGTATTAATTACCCAGCTGTAGTGCTCCTTTAATTTGTTCCAGTCCATCCTTTCTCTCAGCCTCATTTCTAAATCTTCTCCTGATAACAGGGAACACCTTCTGTTCCCATGCCTTTACTAGTAGAGCATAGTGGTCTTCTGTCTGTGCATCATCTTCAACTGGTTCCTCATCAGACTCATCTTCCTGTGTAGCCGTTGACAGATAGTCAGGGCCAGTAGACAAAAAGTTGTCATAGCTACTGAACAATTTGTACTGTTTACATGAATCTGTATCATATTCTGTGAAACAAAACATACGAAACAAGATTTGAAATTACTCTTAACGACACTACCCTAAACATGATATTTACTAAAAGTGATGCTTTCTTCTATTATTTTCAACCCAATTCTTTTTAAATATTAAGATGGTCAGTTCGGCATGTTTGAAACAAAGAATGGAAGTACAAAAGATGCTATACATTTATTTGCTGGGCTTTCCTTTTTAACAAGCATGTTAAAATAAGTTATGCAGCAAGTCATTTTTAATCTAGTGTATATACCATATGTAAATGATCTATACATTAATTATATAAGTCAAGATCACTTAAATATTGTAAGGACCTTCTTAACATAACATAAAAGAGAAATAAATTTTTTCAGTTGAGGTATGAATCACTTTGTTTAACCTTTTGTGTTAAGATCTAAGCAATTACAAATCATACAGGAATGATCGTTTTGTCAGCTGATGTATCAAGTTTAGTAACAAAGATCCACACTAAAATTACATGCCATGGATTTTCATTAATGATTTAAAAAATAATCGGCAAAGGGGCAAGCTATTGCTCATATAACTCTATTTCTTAGTTTGATATTTATGAAACTTTGAAAATGTTTAACCCTGAGAGATTTTATTTTTCTTCAGTTTGAGTTTGTCTATATGACTTTTCATGAAGAAAACTGGTATCTCTAAGACTTTACAATGAGGACCCAGAGGGATTATACCTTTCTGTGGTTTTGGTATCTCTGGGACTTTACATGATGGACCCTGTGGGGATTTTAAGTCCTCCTTCTGTGCAACTTCTGGACTAGCCACTGTTGGTTCTTCATCTTCACTCTCTGAGGCATGATGGAATGGCAGGTGTCCAAAACTCTCTCTAATTTCCCTGGTTAAATCATTTGCTTCATCAGCAGCATCTCTGTGCTGTTGACCTTTGGCATAGGCAAATGGTCTGGTTCCAAAGTTTGCTCTTAATCTGGTGCCCTAAAGAATGCAACACATTCTGTATACATATCACATTTAAAGCATATTATCCATATAGTACTTTTACTTCATATGATGATAAATAATAAATATTAAAGAGCAGTAAATAACATCAGATCCTCACATGTTTTATAATCATAAACCTGGAATAATCTCATCATTTTGAAATACTTTTTCATTACACATGACCTTTTAAAAGCAAGTAAAGTGGCCCCATTTTATGAAATGGCTACTGTTTGGTAAATGCATTTGAAATACATAGGATTTTCAACCCAGTACTATACAAGAACCCATATACCATCTTTTTCTATAAACAAACAAGAGTGAATACAATATGTAATGTGTTTTGTTTAAGTATCATAAACATTACAAATGATCTTTTAAGCATGAAATACTAGTAAGACTATTGGCTAAAGATAACTGTAAATTCAAATTATTGCAAGGTTTTTATTAATGCGAATATTGCGACTGGGTGAGTATTGCAATAATAAGAACTCGCATTCTGAATTTGATACATGTAACTGAATGCCTATTTTCCTGAAATTGCAATAATTAATCTTTCATTTTTTTCCATTCTTCTTAAATCGCAATAATAAGTGCCTGCAATAATTTCTGAATTTACAGTATCTCTATATGTGCCACAACTAACACTTTTCCATATAGAATACAGAGGTCTCCTTTTGTATATGGGTTCAAAAGATATTAGAAACCTGGTAGAGTACATATGACCTATGACACTAACCTTTTTCTGTACATGTACAACAGGGAACATGCCTCCAGACACATCCTCCATATTGGAACTCAGAAGTCTTCCTCTGTATGTAAAGTACACACGACCTTTAGGTGTCTGACCTTGGACAGGAGATTCATCAGTTCTCTCCCAACCAATACCAGCAATGTCTCCAGCATTAAGGGTAACATCCAGGCGGACACTCCTCCACTGCAGCAGGCTGGCTCCATTGTAATGGACAGATTTACCATTACTGAAAAGAAAAAAATTATCTCTGTAATGATAAAACACTGGTACCAAGAAAACTAATTAAGATAAATTTTCTTTGTTAGTGTATATCCTCTCAGGAGTATTTACAACAGGAGCTAGATTTTTTTCAATGACAAAAAATTGGAGAAATCTTTTATGAAAGCAGTTCAAATCATAAAGACGAGTCTCCTTCTTCTTGGGGAAAGGCTAACCAGCACATTATCTATTCTGACCATCCACTGACAAATAAAAAAGAATGACAAATCTTATTCAATTCTAGTATGACTTAAGATTAGATTACTTTTTTCCTTTTACAAATATTTTTATACTGTATTCTACTATTATGTAAACTTGTAGAGCTTTATTGAAACTTATCAAACTACCTCTGAGTGCTTGCATTGGCATTAATGAGAGTTACAGACGAACAGATCAATGGACAGTCAAAAAGTTAAATCTTAAAATCTCAGAAATATTTTTGGAGGTACATTTATTCAACAGTTCTACTTACTTAAGGAACAGACAGGTACCAATAGGATTTGTCCATGCTCCTTCTTTTTTCTCAGCAGAGGGAGCAAATCCAAAAGATATAACAGCCCCACTCTCATCCTGGCTGTCGCCAAAAGATAATATCTCCAACTCCCAATAAAATGATGGTGCCTTAATTATAAAAAACACTTTTCCATGTTCAGTGAATAATTTGGCATATATCTTAAAAAGATCACATCATAATGAATATGTAAAATAATCTATAAGGCTGTTGTGACAACAACTTCTTGATATTTGTTTTTCTTTTTTTGTTGGGGGGGGGGGCAGAAAAAACAAGTTTAACTTGAAACTTTAAAGGAAATTACCTTTTTCTTTGTCAAACTTGTGAATATTCTCCATTGTATAGCACAATTACAAAAGAAATGCATGATTTATTTTTTTTTACACTTTTGCAATTTTTGCAGGAAAAAAATGATATTAAGTAATACTAATTGTTTTAAAAATGAAAAGAATAGGAATACTGACTAGGACAATTTACATGTATATTCAAAGACTGTGTTGTTTTTATTTCCTTGTTCATGTTAGTGGCCATCTTTATAGTAGCCATAGTAGCTGCACTGTGCAGGATTTTTAGTGTTTGTTTTTGTTTTATGAAATATGGTTTACATAGACAAAGAAGGAGGTTTGTGCACACATAAAACTGGTTTAACCCAACCATATTTGTAGCCTGTTTGTGTTTAAGTCAGGCTATCTGGACCATATGTTGTTTATCTCTGTATGAATGTCTATTATTCTGATGCATTGGATATTGGTGGTTGATGAATAGATATAGGAAGATGTGGTACTAGTGCCAATGAGACAACTCTCCATCCAAGTAACAATTTATAAAAGTAAACCATTATAGGTCAAGGTACGGCCTTCAACACGGAGCATTGGCTCACACCGAACAGCAAGCTATAAAGGGCCCCAAAAATTACTAGTGTAAAAACGAAGTCTGTTATACTGTCCAGTATTATTTGTGATTCTTGTTATCTTTTTTGGGTTGATAAATATAATATTCATGTATAGTATTTACCTGTTGTGGAAGTGACTGGTTGGCATAAACAATAGTTCCACGAGGTAATCCACTTCCTGTATTAGGATCTCCAAGAAAGGTAACTCCAGTCATACTATGGGAGAAAACACATGTCCGTACTGGTGGAAAAATTCTGTTTGGGTCCCATAACATTTCTTTATTCTGTAAGCACAAAGCATTCATTAGTGAAAACGAAAGACAATTGTTTTAATTTGATCCGATAAATTTAATCGACAAAAAGGAGATGACACTTTATGAATTTGCTGTGTTCAAAGTGCTTTTCTGGATTTACTCTCAATAGGACACTCAAACCCCAAAAAATGAAAGCCAAGGATGTAAAAGTAACTGAAAAAAGAAAAATACTGGAAAAAATAAAAATATTCTATTTGTTGCTTGACTTTAATTTTCCTTTTTCGGTTAGTATCTTGTAAACGTAAAAACAGTCCTTTGAATTTTGTAAGCTTAAAACACTACACCTACCATTCTATTATCCACTTTGCTTGGAGGAGGTGGAGGTTTAGCACAGTCCCTGTAGAGCAGCCTCAGTCTGGTGCAATGGTCTTCTATCACAGCTAGTCTGTCACCTAATAAAGATATAAAACAGTTTTGGTGAAAAAAGTCTCCTGAATTTACAGCAATTTTGATATTTGTTTAAATGCAATGTGTAACTTTAGCTTTTTCCAACAAACTATAGGTATGTGAAGAATTAAGAGTCATGTGCATATAAATTCTACTATATCCAGTGGGATAAACTTTACCATGGATGAAATTTTCTAATTTTAATTATATATTTGAAACATTTGTTGCATGTGGGGGCAATAACTGGAAGTAACAATTGATTTTGACCATTTGAATTCCAAGAACAAGAGAAGCACATGTTGTAAATTATAAAAAAAAACCCAAAAAGGTTAGCAAATGGATAAATCTGGCAAAAAAAATTCTTAAATATCAATGCAATATATGTATAAAAAGCCAAATAACCTGTATTGCACTCCTTTGCAAGGGACTTCAAAACATCTATAGTACTGCCACAGTGTTGTATAAACTCCTTGGAAAAGCTGAGATCATTCAGGTAAGATGCCAGGACCATACATGCCCTTGTCTGTAACTCTCCTATGACACGACAGGTCACATTGTTTATTGTATTACCATCTCCTGTCACAGGGAATGTCTTCTGTAATGTGGATAGGTTGTCATCCTGAGGAAGGAGTATTGATTTGATTGCCATGACAACAGCTTCTGTACTTGGCAAGTGGTGAGATTTGTAGATCTGAAATAATCAAATAATATTTAAAAACATGTGATTTGATTTATTACTGTTGTTTAAAAATATTTCTATAAGGTAAATATAAATGAAAATGTGTATCAGGATGATGATTCAAGGTCAGAGTTCATCTTACCTTATTTCTGACAGGTTCCAGCCTGGTAACAGGAACCTGTATTGTATCACTGTATCTGGGTGATGATTCAAGGTCAGATGTCAACTGAACAGTTACTTGCCCAGTCTGTTCAGAAACACATAGAACTGTTCCTTCAGTATTGTGGATTCCTGGACCAGTTACCTTTAAAAGAGTTTATATATATATACAATAGTTGACTTTCCAAAATGAATTGTTGGAAAAGTAAAATGCAAATTAAACATCTAAGTCAGGAAAGCACACAACTTAACATTCCAATCTAATTTGACTCCTGTCAAATAGTAATTGATATTCTATACCTAAAGTCTTCTCAGTTGTGAACTTTTTATGCAAATTATTTTCTCAATTTGAAATCATTATAATAATTATCTCGCTTTTTTCATACAATTTACAAGATTTTTTCTACAATTCACTGGTTCCAAAGCTAATGCATTTAGAGTAATATTTTTAAAAACATTCACTAAAACATTGTGATTGGTAAAAAATGTCTTGTTTTCATTTTGGTGTAACTGAATTTTAGGTTCTGAAACAGCGAATCAAGTTCAAAAGTTTTGTGGTAATTCAAACTAATTTCTATAAAACCTACTCTAACATCACAACCAGGCTTGATTATTTCCTTAAATCCTCCTAGTGAGCATAGAGCAGCATTTCCTAACTTGGCCATAAATAGTAACTGTCGACTGCTACATCTTGGTGAACTCAAGCTGTCTATTGATGTCAGAAGTAATGGCAGACAGGACAGTGCATTATTCAAAACCTGAAATTAATACAAAAGAAGTATTTAATTTGTATCTATAATTACATTACAATGTAAAATGTTTATCTGTTAACTTAGTTGCTTCTAAGCGGCCAATTCTGTTTTGATTGATGTACAAGCATTTTTCTAAAAGTAAGCCGCTGAAATCAATATTGCTTTAAAGGAATTGCTTGACAGAGGTAGATCACCTCACATAAACAAATCACAAATCTTCACAAATTTAACAATAACAAGGTTTTCTTGCAGCCATATGGATATAAAAGTATCGACATTCCTAAGTTTCGATGTAAGTCAGATGATGTATGAGAAAAGAAAAATAGAAACTAAACAATCAGAGTAAATATCGCTATTGTGATTATGTTGTAACCTTGTTGACAGATCACTCTAGATTGTATTGTTGATGACAAGATTATTCAATTAAAATCAAAATTTGGTATATTTTCATTGACAGCCATGCTGAATTTCAAATCAGCATGCAATTATACATTCAAATAATGACTCACAAAGGTTCATTCATACAAAAATCTAAGTCCATTTTTCCTGGTCTTTTATGTGAAATAAAATTAAACATATGAAGTTGCTGTAAATTGTTCATAAGCTAAAGGAGATAATCTATAAAAACATACATACCCTCTGTACAGCATTAGCCCAGGAATGAGCTGTGTTAGATTCTGGAGCAGTCAATAAGCAATGTAGTAAAGCAATCACTTCACCTGCCATGCTATTAGCAACATGTCCACTTATAAATGGTCTCACTGGATCAGTTCTACAAAGTAACAAAGCGTGATATTTCAAGCAAAATCCATGGTTGCATTACTTGCCTGGAAATGTTTTCCCAAACTGGGAACATTTGAAAGCAATACTTAATCTTATTTCACAATTTTTATCAATATTTTTAATATTTTAGGATTTTAAAATAAGCGCATTATCACAAGCAAAATCCAAGGTTGCATTTGCCTGGAGTGATTTAGGCAACATTTTAAAACTATGTTCAATCTTATTTCAGTACCAAAATCACTTTCACAGCATTCCATACAGTGTCAAGATTTTAAAATAAGCTGTTGATAGGGAATTGAAAACCTCTTATTTAGTGAAACATTAAAAAAAAATCCAAACTATTACACATTAAACGAAATGAAACCCCAATGTTAAAAAAAAAAGTACCTTGCTAACTCATTATTTTTCTCTCTGCAAACAGTAACAGCATTCTGTTTTTTCTTGTCCCCATTAGTGGCCTCTGGAGGGGTTGAATCGACTGGAGAACCAGTAGAAATCACCAGTCCAGACTGTGCCCACTTTGCTGCTTTCTTCAAAGCAGTAACTGCATCCTCTGTCACAACATCTGCTTTCCCAGACTAAAAACAAAAAGATTGTATATCTGACAAAACAACTTTCATATACTTTAAAGAATAGTGTGGATTTACTGATTTTCATGCATACCAATTTTTATGGATTTTGGTAAAATTATTTTTTCTTAAATACCGTTACTTGATTGCATGTTATAACAAATTCTGCATACAGGTCTTATGCAAATTTGTATTTAATTGAACATTTGAAAGGAGTAGGACCGGTAAGACCACTTATTGGTCCCAAAATAAAGCATTTCAAAAATTTGTTAAAAATATAAACTTTTAGCTATTTATTGGAAAGCAGAATACTTTTGTTACATAAATATGGGCTTGTTTTTGACAATACACTGCACATGCATCAGGTACTAGCACAATTAATTCATGCAAAATCACTAAAATTTTCACAATTTTAGCATTTGCGCTTATTTTTAGATAGTTTTTGTCTAAAATGGAAGTGGCCGCACTTGTGTTCAGCCTTAATATTTAAATATATGTTGTATTTGATTATGATACATAACATATATAAGGGTTGAGACTGAACATGAATGCAGCCACTTCCATTTTAGACAAAAAACTACCTGAAAAGTGACGTTTTGTGGCATATTTGATATTTTTTACATATATATGCTTGAATTTAGGCATCTTTTATGACCAAATCAGTTCAAATCTTTTACATAAACTAATTGAATTGATTGAAGAAAACACTTAAGTGTTTAAAAAATATAAAAAAAACTTTCATCAGATGTACTTCAAATTTTAGGCCAAAATACCGGATCTTCTCCTTTTAGTTCAAAGTTACCCTTGAAATCCACATAAATCAGTAATCAATGAATAATAATGAATCCACAGTATATAATAAGTCATATAAAATATAGAATTGTACTTTTATACAAGTTTTATAATAACATAGCAAAGAAAAATACTGATTACATGCACAATAAAAAAAAAACCAAACCACAAAAACATTTTTATAAAAGTTCACTTAGTTTGGTCAAATTGAGATTAATGGTTGATATTAAGAACCTTGCAATGTAGCCAGCATATTTAATTGGCATAATTGTAATGATACCTTATGTCTGTAAATTTTCAGTTCATGACATCAATGTTATTCAGCTAATACTAAAGTTGCAAAGCTGACCTTAAAATTTGCTATCAGTCTGTTATGATTTTTTAGTTTTTATGCCATTAAACTTTTTTTATATTTCTTTTGGTCTTCAGCATATCATATGATGGTAACTCCAAAAACATGTGAAGTGAGCTTGAAAATAATATCTGTTTTTAATTTCTAGGAACGTTTTTGGACAATATATTACATGTATTTTTTAGATGTATCTCACTCCTTACATCTAAAGTTTATTTTCTTATGACAGTTTTCATTTATAAATATAGAAAGATCTTTTCTGGTGTGTTGATAAGCAACTAAACAACTAGAGGGTGTATACCTTATTAAGTTCTCTGTCCATTCTCACAGCTTTCTCTGTCAAAAGACTGCCGAGTCTACTCTGTCTTGTGTCAGAACTAAAACCAATATAATGGAGGTCAGTAATAAATCAAGTAAATCACAAATCATACTGAATGCATCAACAATATTTCTCTTTCATGAGAAAGAAATGTCTATTCTTCTTGCACTGGTAAACATTCAAATGCCAGTTTGATAAGGAAAAGAGCTTGAGAGGTTAACACTATCAATAAATATTGAAACAAGAATGTGTCCATAGTACACGGATGCCTCACTCGCACTATCATTTTCTATGTTCAGTGGACCGTGAAAATGGGGTCAAAACTCTAATTTGGCATTAAAATTAAAAAGATCATATCATAGGAAACATGTGTACTAAGTTTCAAGTTGATTGGACTTCAACTTCATCAAAAACTACCTTGACCAAAAACTTTAACCTGAAGCGGGACAGACGGATAAATGGATGGACGAACGAACGGACGGACAGACCGAAAAACATAATGCCCATCTACTCTTGTAGGTGGGGTATAAAAATAAAAGTCTTAAATGAAATATAGTGACTGCATGTGCAACACTATACATACTGTATCCCTAAAATTGAGAACACTGTTATCACTGATTTTCCCATGATGATTTTCCTTTTCTGAAAGGGATATATCTCTGCCACAAGCAAATAGTGTTTACATATTATAATAATTTGGTTTTTTTTTAAATTTGAAAACAGGAACATTTGATTGACTGTTTTTGCAGTTGAAAGTATATAGATCTTCCTTTTTTTTCCATACATATATTTCATCAATTTGCTGACAGATCAGAAGTTTCTCATTGTGAGTTGGTCCTTATCATGGCACCTGAGATAAAATAGAGAATGGAAATGGGGAATGTGCCAAAGAGACAACAACTCGACCAAAGAGTAAAAAACAGCCGAAGGCCACCAATGGGTCTTCAACACAGCGAGAAAATCCTTGCAACCGGAGGCGAACTTCAGCTGGCCCCTAAACAAAGATGTGTACTAGTTCAGCGAAAATGGACATCATACTAATTTAAGAGAGCACATTTATAATTAACTTGAATGTTGGTGGAAGTAACAAACTTTTCTTTCTACAATAGTGTTTTCATGACAAAGATGGTATACTGATCCTTGCAAATACTAAAAATTCACCTCAAGATAGCCTGTGTGATTTCTTGTGATAACTGATCACTTCTCTTATGTACAAACACTGTTAGTCTACCACCCTGTATGTCACAGTCTTCATTCTTATCTCTTTCTCCACTGGTGTTGCCATGGCTACTACTAGGGTCAGTTGAAGGTCGTCTACTACACACTGTACTGTAGTCACCTTAAAATTGAATATAAAGTATTTCTTTCCGTCTTTGATAGCAAAAACATTGAAACCTTTTTAACCTAAAAGAGGTAAAAACTCTTTCATTCTGAATAATATCTTAATTTGAAAATACCCTTTCAAGGGTAAACCAGTTTTCCATAAAAATCTTGCAATTGTTGAAATCATCTAACATATTTGATGTCACATTCTACTGCAGTGTTATTTCCACAGTATATCTCACTGTCTTGCTTTTCTATTTCCATTGTATATTCCTTGTTATCTTGATTGTTTTTGTTATTTCCAATGTTTTTTCATTGTTATATTGTTTTAATTTTACCATTATATGTCATTAGATATTATTTTGTTACTACCAATGCTAATTCATGGATTGTTTGCTTTGTTATTCCTTTATATGTAATTTGATATTATTTGTTATTTCCATTATTTCCCATCTACATTAAAATTATAGTAAAATCTGTTTCTTAATTTTTAAGGTGGAACCATACCTGGCACTAAGAAATCTCCAAGTTTGGCTAGCAGCAGACTGACAATCTTAGCAGGTGGATCTGATATAGACTCTGCATTACTCCAGTGTGATGACTGCATGTGTTGTCCCCAGGAGGGAAGTTCTAGATAGTCACAGTCATCTGTACTCATCAGTGGCAAAGCTACACGGCATAGCTGTAGTATGATTAATACCAACTTAGGTGATGGCCTATTGAAAAAGAAGTTCTTTTCTTAAAAGCTTTATTCAAATAAGCTTTTTGTAGTACAATGTAATTAAAAATCTTTCCTTTTTTATGTTCAGCATTTTTAGGGAGCAAAATTATTAAAATGCACATGTGACCTGGGAATTTGATCTAAAACTTTAATCTGACATGAGTAAAACAAAAATAAGCATATATATGTAGGACTCGGAGGTGCGATGCGGACGCTGAAGTGTGTTGGTCACGCTGAAGTGCTATGGTCTACGCAGAAATGCGATGGTCCATATGCTGATGTGCGATGGCCTATTTGACGCATGATTGCTAGTTTAAAATCTACAGACGTGCAATTATCATGAGAAGTAGACGTTTAATATAGTATATAAATTTGCATTCATTATTGTCTACGGCTGTCCTTAATTACAGTTGCATATTAAATGCGAGATCGTCCTCTTTGATTTTCTACATGTGGACATAATTCTGCATTAGCATTTTATCTATACATTGTTTCTCTCATGAGTTCCTCGTTTACCGTAATATTGTAATGAAGAGAGTCTGTCTGCGGATCCGTATGTATTTAGAGAATGTCACGCTCCATCGTACGTAAAATAGAACCTTTTGTAGATATCGAAAAAAAAATCACTGCAGAAGGTTAACTTTCCACTATCTACCAATCCTCCCCGTTTCCCGTAGTATTAAAAGTTTATAAGCTCCTTATCAACTTAAAAACCATAAAAACTGCTTTAAGATACACATTGACTTCTACATTGACATGAAAAGCATTGCAAATGTAGTTTGTGTAGACCATTGCACTACAGCGTTACCACGATCGCACTCCGACGTAGCTATCAACAAGATAGCGTAACAATGCCACCATCGCACTTCAGCGTCAAACCATCGCACCTCAGCGTGACCATCGCGGTTCGGAATACCATCGCGGTTAAGAGTCCTACATATATATATATATATATACATATATATATATATACAACTCGTCTAAACATCAGCCCAACAATGTTAGATCTGTAAATTTGCTTTCGCAAATTTTTTGTTCTTCCCTCGCCGGGATTCGAACTCATGCTACTGAGATATCGTGACACCAAATCGCCTGCACTGTATCCGACGCGCTAGACCACTCGACCACCTAGGCTTCACAATAATAAAGCTTTCGGTGGCCGGGTGTTACCTTTCCTCGTCAGTTTTAATCTAGCTTTGTAATACAGTACATGATATATAAGGCATGAAGATGGAATTGTTACAGATCAGCTGAAATATCTATTGTAAAGGATCCTACAAATTAATGCAAGATACAGTCACAGAAATAATTATATTCATAAGTACGTCTGAACCAGTGACAACTCTACAACAGATTTATCCATCGGATCACCAGCAGTGATGGTGATACATGGCTGTGTACATTCTGTATATACAACTCGTCTAAACATCAGCCCAACAATGTTAGATCTGTAAATTTGCTTTCGCAAATTTTTTGTTCTTCCCTCGCCAGGATTCGAACCTAGGTCGAGTGGTCTAGCATGTCGGATACAGTGCAGGCGATTTGGTGTCACGATATCTCAGTAGCATGAGTTCGAATCCCGGCAAGGGAAGAACAAAAAATTTGCATTAACTTGTAAACTATGTAAAAGTTTCAAAGTCAATGAACCATGAAGAGGGGGTGGAGCTATATAATCTCCATGATTAACGATACTTACAAATGCCAATAAATTTGCATACCAAATATCATTGACTTAACATTAGCAGTTCATCTTAAACTGATCTTATCACAAACTAATACATGTAAACTAAGCAAAAGTTTCAAAGTCAATAGGCCATGACTGAGGGGATGGGGCCAAATATTCTCCATTGAAATGAGATGTGCTAATGCTTATACAACTGAATACCAATTAACATTGGCCTACCACTAATGGTTCCCCTTGAACTGACCTAATCACAAACTAATACATGTTAACTAAGCAAAATTTTCAAAGTCAATAGACCATGACTAAGGGGGCTGAGCCAAATAATCAAATACATGTGGTTCACCACAAACTAGACCTAATCACAAACTAATACATTGTTGACGCCGCCGCCTATGTCGACAACGCCGGAAACAGCATACCTATGTCTCGCTTTTTGGCTCTGTCAAGAGAGACAAAAATTCAGCTTTTGGTGGCCAAGTGTTACCTTTCCTCGTCAGTAGAATCTAGAGTTGTAACACAGTACATGATATATATGGCATGAAGATGGAATTGATTGCAGATTAGCTAAGAATATAATATGTGTTAAATACCCCTGCAGAAATTTTAATAACTCTCCGACCATTAGGAGCCTACTACAATTTTTTTTTTATAGTTAGCTATAGACAGTAACTCACTTTCAATGTTAGTTTTTCAGGGCAGTTCATTGTAATGTTTCAGTCTTGCTGATGTTTACCCAACACCTTTTATTTGTACCCTTATAATTACCTCTGATCCAATAACAATGACAGAAGTTTAGACACACATGCTGGTTGACTAAGTATAGCTTTTCCCATCTTACTACGTGACAAATTGTTCAGTAAACTTAGCACATCCTGTAATGCTTCACTGCCTGCAGCCTCATTTCCACTGCATTCTGTTGCTCGGGCAAGATGATTGGTTAATAATACTGACACCTGTCTAGCCAATCCAGAGTGTTCTAACTGTTCAAAATGTGAACCTGTAAATAAAACATGAGAACTGATTAGTTAACTGATCTGGCACACCTACCCTTCCATCAAAAAGGTCCCATTGGGTGATGGACAGACTTGCGTTTTCAATTTATAAATAGACATGATGTAATCTTACCATCTTCTGTTTCCCACATGACACATCTGTTGGCCAAAACTTGGAAGCCTGCCCATGCCATGGCTGAGACTTTCTGATGAGTTGATTGTGTTTCTTTGTTGTCTAATCTGTAGTTGGCTAAACTACACAGTTTGTCCAGAAGGTGCACTAGACCAGATCTTACTAAACATTTCTCTTCAGCTCTAGAAAAAAAAACATACTAAAGTGTTCTTAACTATTTAAACAGTAAAATAAGTTTACTTTATGCAAATTCACTGAATTTCCATATTGCACGAAACTTCATAAACAGTCTATTTACATGGAAATTCATAGATTTCAACGAAATTTCCAGGCCTTGAATAACTGAAATAAAATTCCAAGCTTTTTGTAGTTTTCAAGGTTGGGTGGAAACCCTGAAAAATTCACATGAAACACTGAACGTGTAAATGGAACAAAACACATTAGACACTATTTCACCCTAACCTTGTAAATGGAATAATACACATGAGACTCTAACCTTATTATTGGAATATATAATACATATGAGACTCTTACCTTGTATATGGAATAATACACATAAGACCTATACTGTTACAGCAGGCTATAGGATATCTGGCTGCCAGCTGTACAAGTGATGTCATGGTCTCAGAGAATGCCTCTCTAACATGGTCAACCATACCACCACAAGTCAATTCATCAACACTGTAAAAAATAGCGATTTGATATTGTTAGTTTTTTATCAACTTAATTTGAATAATGTAAACAGCTAACAAAACTTCATCATGTTGTCACTTTTATTTTTACAAATAATTTTTGCTACCAATTCTTGCAACATGTATGTAGGGTAATGTTTTTTTTTTTATTTTACTCACAAAACCTAGACAGACATATTTACATATAAACATTTATTTAACTGATAAAAATCCTTCATTAAACAAGTCTAACTACTGTGAATTTTTCTGCTGTTGTTCACATTATTTTCTTTTAGACTTAAGACTTATTTTTAACAGAAAACTGCCTATAACTATTAAGAGGTATAACTAACCATGGTCCTCTTTGTAAAACAGATGTCACTGCTGCCACCAAATGTGTTGTGCCACCAACTCTTGCTGCAGCTGTCAGCAGTTCTTTCATATGAACTAAAGCTTGTTTCCTTGTGTGTCCACGGCGCCATCTTGTCTGTGCAGCAGATAGAAAGTCCTTGCTTGAAATCTAAAAAAACATTTATAAACCATGATAATTTAGCCTCAATAGAACATCTTTTATTAAACATTGGCTACTTACACAATACAACTTTAATCATGAAAATCTAATTGGATTACTCTTTAAAAGCTACATAGAAATATTTGTTCAATAATTACGATAACTTCTTTTTATGTCAATAAGATATTTCTAACTATAAAAGTTTAGGGATAACCTTTTCTCCTAAATTCTATTTTACTGGCAGTTTAATGTTTAAATAAAAAAAACACTAATATCTATATATAAGAAACTCCTAGGTCAAAAGTAAATTTGTACGTCCATTCCATTTTGATGATTTTTTCTTACACTTGATTACAAATCCTTTCATTTCATCATTTGAGGACCAATACCTATCAAATTCTGATAACTTTTTGTTTGTTATTGTGTCTGTTTTTGTTTTGTCTGATTAAGATATTATGCAGTTTGGAATGACTAAAACTTACAGTATTTTGAGGATCACTACCAATGAATGAGAATAGCTGCTCTATTACTGTAACATATGGTGGCCTGTCTTTCTCTTCCTCTTCTACCAAGTCCTGTAAGATGTGGACCGGTCCTTTCTTATATTTCTGCTGTCTTCTGTTTGAAAATAAACAAAAGCCAGTTATTAGAAAACAAATAACATTCATTGCCTGACATCTTAACCAACTACTTTAAATCATTTTATTCCCTGGAAACAGGGAGAGATTTGCAATTTTGCACATTCTATTTTCACTTTTTTACAGTACAAGATCATTTGGGAATACTGTTTCAAAATAAGATGTTATAATCAGAAATGTGAAAATGCAAAATAAAGAAAAAAGATATCAAGTACAAATTTATGAGAAAAATAAAATAAAGGGATGCTTTCAATGTATCCCATACTATAAAAAAGGGGATGTGGTATGCATATTTAGTGGTAGTAAAAAAAGAAGGTTGTTCAGGTGTATTTTATATAAATGCCAGATTTAAGTCCCCATTCTCATTTTGATTGTCCCTTTAGAACATGTAGTATTTTCTCCCCCCTTTTTCATGCTGAAAGTCTGTCATATGTTGTGTTATGCAAAAAGGTAAACATTCATTGTTCAAGCTTATACAATTATTAATGTTCATCATGAAATCAAACTTTTATTTCATGTTCAATAATGCATAATTGCATATAACCCCTTCTATGACTCCAATAAATAATTAGAGCTTATGATATTGTATAGATAACTGACTATTGTTGAAAACCATATGTTAACATCTAGATATCTTTTGGGTTTTGGTGTTGGTAAGTTGCCGTCACATCGGCATGTACCAACATCTCCATTTATTCTTAGAGAAATGTATTCCCTTAAATACTTGGGACCTACTTGAACATATTGTAAAGAGACAGATATACAGATAAACATAAAAAAAACACAAACTTAAGAATGTTCGCTCCTCTTGTTTTTGAATTTTTGTCAGATATTCGGAATCCTCTGGTTTTATCCATATAGTGCCATTAAAAATTTTGCCCACTAAGCCCTACTTTTCTTTTCATAATTTTATAACATATAGTTTAAAAAGCCATATTTGAAAATCTTGTAAAATCCTTGTTATTTTTTCATAGTTTTTGATAGAAAAACAGTGCCAATGTTAATAGTATGAAAAATCTAGAGAGAATCATTTCCCGCCAAATTTTCAATGGCTTATATCTCAAAAACAAGCACACGGACCCTTCATTTTTTTCTGCTTTTTTAGTTTTGTTATTTATATACTATCAATTTATAACAGTCTTTTAAAAAGCTTGTTATTTTGAAACAGAGTAGCTAACATCCTTAAAACTAAACCGATGAGATGATCCTTTAATTTCACTGGATATTAAATATTACTTACTTGTGTTTGACATCTTCTCTAGAAATATCAACTCCATTGGGAGCAGACATACTTCTTGATAAGCTGTATGATGGCAATAAAATGTCTGTGTCTGATCTCACCATCACACCTGAAAATTGCAATGAAAGACATTAGCAAGTCCTGCCAATTTATTTCTAAATTACACCTTGAAAAATCATTGAAATTTTCTGTGGTTGTCTAATACTAAATGTGATTTTTTATTTTAATATTTTGGTAATTTTCAAATCTTTATACATTTTGTTACCAGTAGCACATTCAGGTGGAGACGTAGATAGTACTAAATGTATGATTTTTTTATTTTAATATTTTGGTAATTTTCAAATCTTTATACATTTTGTTACCAGTAGCGGATTCAGGTGGAGATGTAGATAGTACTAGATGTATGATTTTTTTATTTTACTGTTTAGTAAATTTTCAAAGCTTTATACATTTTGTTACCAGTAGAGGATTCAGGTGGAAGGAAAGAAAGTCTGATAGAAAAGTAGATAATTTTTTGGCACAAAATTGTCAATAAAATGATGCCTACATTTTACCCTATGGACAGTTACGCCCCTTTCTTCAAACCATGAATCTGCCTCTGATAACTGAGAATACTATGTGTTTTGGATAGCAAACAGATAGGATGATACACACTGTGATGTAAATACTGTAAATCAACATATTTTCGCTGATACCATATTTTACCCTGAGCCCTTACTAACCCATTTCGTGGCGTTTTAATTTCGCGATTTTCAAATTTGCTTGATGTTGTTAAATAAGGAAAGATCCAAGTTTTATATATTTGCGACAGTTTATATCCGCGTTATTTTTCTACTTGTGAAAATAAATTGCTCGTAAAAATTAATAGGTTTACTGTATGTCGTAAAGTATAGCTTTTAAACCTAGATGAAACTTGTTACCCAATATTAAGTTAAACTGATTGCAGCAAAATGTAACAGAATTTAGAACTTTAACTAATTACCTGACATAAGGTTAGACAAAGTTGAGTTCTTATTTTACCAGCATTCTATACATCAACATATGTGATTAATAATCATAATTGTACAATATTTGAAATTAAATAAAAGAACAGAGTTCCAATGTCCCCCACATTGCACATATTTTATCTATCCAAGGGCAATAACTAAATAAATGGGGAATGTGTCCATAGGACACAGATGATGCCCCCACTTGCATATAACTTTATAAAGGGACATAACTCAAGAACGGTAAAAGTGATACTACCCAAATTCATACTTGATCTGAGTTTTGTGGTAATAAGCATTGTGTATAAGATTCATAACATTTGATTGAGGCAAACTTAAGTTAGAGAACAGAAACAAAAATTCAGCAAATTTTCCATTTGTAAAGGGGCATAACTCTAGAACGGTAAAAGTGATGACAACAAAATTCAAAAGTGATCTGTGTTTTGTGGTTATAAGTATTGTGTATAAATTTCATAACATTTGGTAGAGGCAAACTTAAGTTTGAGAACAGAAACCAATTTCGGGACATAGACTTACGGACGTACAGACGGAAAAGGGTAAAACTTAATGGCCCCTCCACTACGGTGGGGGCATAAAAATACTTTAAAACTTTACAAATATCTTAGAGAAATGAAGGCTTGAGAGCAAATACAATGCAATTTCCAATATAATTAATATTTCCAAGGGGCATAAATCCTTTAAAAATATTTTATTGGCACTGATTTTCGAACTTGTCCTAGACATTGCTGATATAAACCTATGATATAAGTTTCATAAAAATCTGGCAAGCTTTGTACTCATGAGAGCGCTAACAATAAAATTTTCCATATAATTAATATTTTCAAGGGGATAACTCCTTTGAAAATAGTTGATCGGCGCTGATTTTGGGACTTGTCCGAGACATTACTGATATAAACCAATGATATAAATTCTATAAATGTCGGACAGATGCCTGGTATTTTTATGTCCACCGCAACACATCATGCGGGGGACAATAATTTGAATCCAAGGTTGCACAATCACAAACCAGCTTTTAATGTAAGGTTCTCTTTGTTAACACTATTAAAGGTCCAACCAATTTAAAATATGTCAGAGGTCATATGTCAGAGATCGCTGAGTGTTCAAAGTCATACCTGTTTGTGTGGGATCCATCATAGACCAGTTTCTACTGTACAGCACTCCTCCTTGAGGCTCAATGTTAACTTGTAACAATAAATCTAGTCTTGACAACAGACCTTTGACAATATGAGAGGTGAAGGTCATAGGACAAGTTTCTGCAATTTCACTACTTTGAACATCAGCATCAAACTTTTCTCTGAAATTAAAATGTTTTACGCTATTATTCACTACAAACTTAAGAATTATTCATGATGTTCACTTATTAATTAATAAAACATATGTCCTCCAGCAGAAGTTTAATAAGGATCTGTTTATAATAGCAATTTTCTTTGAAATCCTAGCAAAAAAAACGTTTCTCAAAATTTTTGATTTTTAAATTTTTCTTCTCTAATTCTTATCAAAATCAATAGGGACCTTCTGTTTATACATATATAACACAATAAGACCTCAATAATCCAAAGATATTAAACAAAATCTTTCTGTTGCCATAAATATATTTAGATTCTACTATAACATCCAAATGATTACGAAGTTTATCCACTCAAGATAGTTAAAATTTGAACATCTAACTATTGAAAGTGGATAAATATTGTAATCAATGGAGTAAAGTGGTAGAATTTGTTACTCTAATGATTTATTGGAGATGCCAATAGTAATGTTCAAAATGGATATGACAGGAAATTACACAAGACAAACTTATCAACATGTGGTTTATCAAAATTTATCAAACTGGTCAAACCGAGTTAAATGCAAAAGAAATTAAAATAAATGGGGAATGTGTCCATGGGACACAGATGATGCCCCCGCCTGCATATCATATAAAGTTATAAAGGGACATAACTGAAGAACGGTAAAGTGATGCTACCCAAATTTGTACTTGATCTGAGGTTTGTGGTAATAAGTATTGTGTATAAGTTTCATAAAATTTGGTTGAGGCAAACTTTAGAGAACGGAAACGAAAAAATCTCATTTGTCTGTTATCTTCAGAACACTGCTCATTTACAAGATCCCAAGGGGCAATTTTTGAAGGCCTTGCGCGATTACTTAAGATCTTTGCGCAATTAGTTTCTCTGTTAAATTAATGAGATGAAAGATTGAACTCTAATAAAAAATAAATGGGGAATATGTCCACGGGACACAGATGATGCCCCGCTTGCATATAACCAAATTTTGTGGTAATAAGCATTGTGTATGAGTTTCATAACAATTGACTGAGGCAAACTAAAATTGGAGAACGGAAATGAAAAATTCAGCAATTTTTCCATTTGTAAAGGGGCATAACTCTAGAAAGGTAATAAACTGCTACGCTGAGCGCAGCTAGATACGCCCGCAGAGGTCCAACCCTGAACAGTTGGGACAAAAATGGACACAATATTCAAGCTTGATTCAGGTCCAAATTTGGATTGTAATTAAATATTTGACATATTATAGGTTTCTGAATAAATGTAGTCAAAGATCTTGAAATTGGTTATATGAATTGAATTTATATTCAATTAAAGATTTCTTGCTGTTGTGCAATACTTAGTAAATCTGTTGTCAGACTATAAACAAATAAAGTTCAATTAATTCTCAATGTCATATTAGAAATTTATGAAAATAAAAAGGGAGCTTACATCAATAGATATAAACAATTCACCAAAGTTTCATGAGAATTGGTGACAGAATTTTTGACTTATTGTCCGAAAACTGGAAAATCACCCCTTTTTTTAATGAATAAAACCCCATAACTCAGAAATGTAAAATGTAAAATTTATAAAATTCTAAAGGGAGCTTACATCAATACATACAAACAATTCCCCAAAGTCTCATTAGAATTGCTGAAAGCATTTTTGAGCTTTTGTCCAAAAACTGGAAAATCCCCCCTTTTTTCATGAATAAAACCCTGCAACTCGGAAACGTAAAATCTAAAATTTATAAAAATTGAAAGGGAGCTCATGTCAATAGATATAAACAATTCACCACAATTTCTTGCAAGTTGGTGAAAGTATTCTTGAATTATTGTCCAAAAACTGGAAAATCCCCCTTTTTTTAATGAATAAAACCCCATAACTCGGAAACGTAAAATCTAAATTTTATAAAAAACGAATGGGAGCTCATGTCAATAGATATAAACAATTCACCAAAGTTTTATGCAAATTGGTTAAAGCATTTTTGAGTTAATGTCCGACATGTTGACAACGGACAGACGGACGGACGGACAGAGGTATACCATAATACGTCCCGTAAACGGGCGTATAAAAATTCAAACTTGATCTGTGTTTTGTGGTAATAAGCATTGTGTATAAGTTTCATAACATTTGGTTGAGGCAAACTAAAGTTAGAGAATGGAAACCAATTTTGGGACGTACGGACAGACGTACATACGGACAAGGGTAAAATTTAATGCCCCCTCCGCTACGGCAGGTGCATAAAAAGCCCATTAACAAACATAAATCAGCTAATTAATCTAAGGGCATGTTATGCAACTCTTTCTACCATCCGAAACATGTATATAACTGATTGCTACAGATTGTTTCAAAGTTCTCATACCTCAGAGCTTTGACTGACTTTTCATCATCTCCATGATCTGGTTGTATATTCTTGACAAAGCATAACATCATCAATTCTTTATATTGTGACTGAAAAGTATTAAAATACAGTGAAATATATGTCATTCATTATCTCTCCTTCTGATATTATTGTTAGTAGTGAATACATTTGATCTTGATTGTTGCCAAGAGACTCAGTTCTGGTTTTTACACCCAATTAATTCTATTTCTCACACATTAAAATCATAACATTATTAATTAATTAATTATATCTAGGCTAAAAAATAATTAATTACTTTATCTAAAAATCTAAATATCAAAATATAATTATAAGCAACTTGAAAATTTCTTTGTAGTTAAAGAATGCAAATTACACAGAAAAGTTATCTACACCATAAGTTATACTGGGATATTTTTTATTCAAAATTAACAAGTAATTACTGTCAGAGAAAGATGCAAATCTATTTTAAACATAAAATTAACTCAGCCAGATTAAGGCTGCTTGATGACAAAAAAAATGTTCATTTTCAAATTTGGCAATAAAGGAAAAAATCATTTGTTTTTAGCTTCCTTAAAAATTTCATCCAATTATTAATTTAAACGACATTTTCTACATAAGGAAATGTCTGTAACAAGTCAGGAATATGACAGTTGTTTTCCATTTGTTGGATGTGTTTGAGCTTTTGATTTTGTCATTTGGTGAGAGATTTTCCGTCTAGAATTTTCCTTGGAGTTCAGTATTTTTGTTATTTTACTTTTTAAATTGTCTTTTGTTAGCTATAGGCCATTAATAACATTTATAGAAAAAAAATCATCAGCTGTTTCCCATACAAGTAATCAACAAATATTTTCTATAATTTTTTTTTAAATCTTCAATGAAAGAAAAACTTTTTTCATATATTTCCTAAACAAAACAAAATATTCAAACTTAAAATAATTTGTGGTGAATTTTTTACAAAAAAAAAAAATGAAATTTTATGAAAAACAGAATTCCTATTTACAAAATTTTTTTTTCTTCAAATTTTTTTTTTTACAACATCCCCTACATTCCATGTCCTGCTTTTCAAAATTATCAGTTCTTCTATCTCTGAATTTGCTACTAACCTCCTGTAAATGATAATCATGGAAAAATGGAGGTGTATCCTCTGTGTTTTCCTGTCTATGGTCTAATACATCTGTATGCCAATGTTGTTCCTGGCCTGCTAAACTCTATAATCAAAGCACGAAAGCGCTGTAAAGGCAGTTAATTACAGGTTGTGTGTATTTTAAGTCCAGTTATATCATTATCTTGCATAGTACAGTGTACTTATCAGAGGTGGCTTTCAGTATTTAAGATTTAGAGTTCTCTAATGATATTGAATAAGTTTTATGAATGTCATATTCTGAGCACTATATGAAGGCGATTGTTCTCACTTGTTTATGAACTAGTATTATGTCCAGTTTGTACCCTTTTTATCTATGTTTATAGTCAAATTAGTTATCAAAGGTACCAGGATTATAATTTAATACGCCAGACGTGTGTTTCGTCTACATAAGACTCATCAGTGACGTTCAGATCAAAATAGTAACAAAGCCAAACAAGTACAAAGTTGAAGAGTATTGAGGACCCAAAATTCCAAAAAGTTGTTCCAAATACGGCTAATTTTAAGGTAATCTATTCCTTGGATAAGAAAATCCTTAGTTTTTTCATTGGCAATCATAACACATCTCCTTATTTATATAATGATCTATATTCAACGACCTCAGGTACAAAAAAGATGTATGTAACTAAACTATGATGGGAAACCTTTGACTTCTTTCTTTATATAAACTTTTGATTTGGTACCATAGAACTATGTAGAGTAAATGTACATTGCAACATGTCAACTCTTTCAACTCCAAGCAAAATTATATTTCCAAGCATAAAGTAATTTATGAATGAAATAAAATGCTCGGCTGGGGCGCAGCTTGATACGACCGCAGAGGTCGAACCCTGAACAGTTGGGGCTAGTATGAACACAACATTCAAGCTTGATTCAGCACTGAATTTGGATTGTAATTAAATATTTGACACAGCATAGGTTTCTGACACAGAATGAAAGTGGTCTAAGATACTTAAAAAAATTTAATTTACCTATTCAAACCATATCATTATTATTTGCTTTTATATATAAATCAGAAATAACCAATTTAAAATGGAAAATTTTAAAGAAAAAAAAAGGAAAAAGAATCCCCCCCCCCAAATTTTTTGAACCCCCTTATGATTCATCACCCCAAAACTCAATCCCAGCATTCCCTTTGTGGTATGGTACCTTGCAGTACAATTTCAGAGAGATCCATACACTTGAACAGTCATGTTATTGTCTGGAAACTAGAAAAATGCTTATTTTTGGCCCCTTATTCCTAAACTTTTAGGGCAATTACCCCCAAACTCAATTCCAGCTTTCCCTTTGTGATATGGAACCTTGTAGTACAATTTCATAAAGATCCATACACTTACACACAAGTTATTGCCATGAAACTAGAAAAATGCTTGTTTTTTGCCCCTTTTTGGCCCCTAATTCCTAAAATTTGGAGGCAATTACCCCCAAATTCAATCCCAGCATTCCCTTTGTGATATGGAACCTTGTGATACAATGTCAGAGAGATCCATAGACTTGCACACAAGTTATTGTCATGAAACTAGAAAAATGCTTGTTTTTTGCCCCTTTTTGGCCCCTAATTCCTAAAATTTGGAGGCAATTACCCCCAAATTCAATCCCAGCATTCCCTTTGTGATATGGAACCTTGTGATACAATGTCAGAGAGATCCATAGACTTGCACACAAGTTATTGTCATGAAACTAGAAAAATGCTTGTTTTTTGCCCCTTTTTGGCCCCTAATTCCTAAAATTTGGAGGCAATTACCCCAAAAAATCAATCCCAGCATTCCCTTTGTGATATGGAACCTTGTGGTACAATGTCAGAGAGATCCATATACTTACACACAAGTTATGTCTGGAAGTTACAAAAATGCTTATTTTTGGCCCCTTTTTGGCCCCCAATTCCTTAACTGTTGGTACCATAACCCCCAAAATCAATCCCCACTTTCCTTTTGTGGTATTGAACCTTATTTTAAAATTTCATTGAGATCCATTCACTTAAACTAAAGTTAGAGTGCGAAAACTAATGTGTCTTCGGACGACGACGCCAACGTCATACCAATATACGACCACAAACATTTTTTTGCGGTCATATAAAAAGGAGTTCTTAATTAAGAAATAAACTGATTCGCTGAGCGCAGCTGGATACACCCGCAGAAGTACTACCCTGAACAGCTGGGGCAAAAATGGACACAATATTCAAGCTTCATACAGGTCTGAATTTGGATTGTAATTAAATATTTGACATATTATAGTTTCTGAATAAATGTAGTCAATGAACTTGAAATCGGTTATATGAATTGAATTTATATTCAATTAAAGATTTCTTGCTGTTGTGCAATACACTGTGCTGTTGTGCAATACTTAATAAATCTGTTGCCAGACTATAAACAAATAAAGTTCAATTTCTTCTCAATGTCATATTTGAAATTTATGAAAATCAATAGGGAGATTACATCAATAGCTATAAATAATTCACCAAAGTTTCATGTGAACTGCTTAAAGCATTTTTGAGTTGTTGTCCAAAAACTGGAAAATCCCCCCTTTTTTAATGAATAAAACCCCATAACTCAGAAATGTAAAATCTAAAATTTATAAAATTCTAAAGGGAGCTTACAGATTGATAATTTAGTCTTAGATGCAAGATTTTTTTATCAGTTGTTAGTGGCTTTGAACTAGCTATCAGTAACTGCGAGTACTCTCAGATTTGTACTTAGTGTCTTTTTGTTGTTTGGATGTACAACTACCTGACCACGTCCACTTGTATTTGTATTTATCCATCTGACGAGTTTAGCCTCTTTCAACTGATTTTTATAATTCTTTCTTATATTGTACTGTTACACCACTGTCCCAGGTTAGGGGGAGGGTTGGGATCCCGCTAACATGTTTAAGCCCGCCACATTCTGTATGTACATGTATGTACCTGTCCCAAGTCAGGAGCCTATAAAAGTGTAATTCAGTGGTTGTCGTTTGTTTATGTGTTGCATATTTGTTATATTTGTTCATTTTTTTACATAAAATAGGCTGTTAGTTTTCTTGTTTGAATTGTTTTACATTGTCATTTCTGGGCCTTTTATAGCTGACTGTGCGGTATGGGCTTTGCTCATTGTTGAAGGCCGTACTGTGACCTATAGCTGTTAATTTCTGTGTCATTTGGTCTCTTGTGCATGTGTGGAGAGTTGTCTCATTGGCAATCATACCACATCTTCTTTTTTATATTTACATCAACAGATATAAAGAATTCACCAAAGTCAAGGTGAGACAACAAAACTTAGTTGTAAGATCTCTGAAATTTTTTACAGGGTACGAGTTTTTCTCATTGTTGGAGATTGTACGGTGACAGTAACACCTGTAACTGCTTAAACCCATTTCTTATGCACTTTAGTTTGATAAACTCACTGAATATCATACCACATCTCCTTATTTTTATATGCATTACAATTTACATGTGCATGTAATTGTAAATATATATATATCAGAACAAAATTCATTGCATCACTTTTATTTATGCATCCTTTGGCACAATACAAGTTCTAAAATTACACAACATAAAACAACTAAATGTTATTTCAGATGAAAGTTTTGTTTCAGTTCCATGCATAGGATTTATTAGAATTTTGTATGTTTTGCCAAGTCCAATAATTCGCTCTATGTGACATAGAGACATAGTTGACTAAACCACCAGGTGTCGAACATTCAAGAATTTTCAGTGTTTCTGTTTTTATTTGATGAAAAGGTTGCCTGAGCTCTAGGAGCTTTAGGTTTTATCACGGGATATTCTGTGCTGTCAATAATAATCCAAGTCGTAGGAAACTTTAATTTGAAGTTGGATGGTGAAAAATACCTGACTAAACCACTAGATGGCCAAGTGTTAGCCTCACACCACTGTTTAGACATAAAAACAATCCATGTATACACAATATTCTTAACACTAGATTCAATCTAGAATCTAGACAGTTCAAAGTTGGTTGTATGATGCCTCAATTTCATCAAAGTCATAAAAAAACTGATTTTCAACTGACACCCTATCAATTTGAAAATATATGTATCTCAAACAATGTGCTGCTGGACCAAGTGTGGTCAAAACAAATAAAAATTTAGTATACAACTCTAAACCGGTATAAAAATGCATGGCTGTGTCACGTGTCTTCATTTCAAAATTCTCTGCTGAAAACATAGGCATTGATGGTGTTTGCGTAATTCCATCTGTGAAGCTCAACATTAGCTCGGCAGTTGGTGGTGGACAGTCATAAATCCTTTCTGCAGTATGAATGACTTCTTCAGGAAAACCAACTTTACAATCAAAACTTTCCTCTAGATTTCTACTACAATATTCATCAAGTTTAGTTCTTTTGTTTTCACAGGAAACTGCCCTGATTTTTCTTTTAGCGGACGATTCAGTCTCTTGCTTGGTCCAGGAAAATAGGCTGGGAATTGCAGTAGACTTAAGTCTCTGTATGGTGGGTTTGCGCCCTGAAAAAGGTTATAAAACATTAGTTTTTTTATAATTGAATGAACTTCCATTAGCAATGTATACTTTGTTCTACCTGGCGAAATATTAACTAGATTTATTCATTACAATCTGGATAAAACTATGTTTGCCTGATTCAATGTATGTTATGTAAATCCAAAGGACAAACAATGAGAGATTTATGCAACAAACGTACATTGTTTGTACCTAAATAACTATAATATAGATGAGAGCATGTCATTGTTTTGTTCCTGTTAACATTGTCATTGATATTTTTCAAGAAAGTCTATGAGGCATAGCTTATGCATTCCTGTCATTACTACATTAGCATAATTACTGCTAAAATAATTCTCAGTATGATATACCTCTTGTAAGAAATCATTATAATTGTAGCAATCACCAAAAAATCTCAAACAGATCACATTGAATCGTAATCCAAAAAATTATGACGTCTTGAATTACCCACCCCCTTTTATTCTAAAACGATAATTGCGGTTGTAAACAGACTTTGGTTTATTCGCATGGCGATTACATATATAACTATATATTTCACAAAGAAAATAGAGTTTTACCATGAATAGTTTCCTGCACGTAGTCTTTTTCAGTAAAACGTGCCTTGCAAACAACAGCTGATTGAGATGGACACCACGATATCATCGTGTTCTCGTCCAATCTGCGTATGGGCCATGGCGTTGATCCAACTTTTCCTTCTTTTTAAGTCATTTGGAAATGCATGTCCTCCTCTTAAATGACATCCAGGTACACAACAACAAGTACTTGGCATCGTTAATTAAAAATATAACTGAAATAGTTGCACAGTGCAGAAACCGGAAGAAGAGGAACAGGATCCGCTACCACGGCGCCACCTATTCAGGAACGATAATTTGCTACTTTATATAACTGCGAAAATAACGTTAGACGGGTTCACGTGCATAAACAGAAATGCGCTTTAAATTGTGTAATATAATTCATGTTCAGTCGACCTTTAATTATTATATCAACGACTGAAATGATTTATAAACATCTAGATTGCAGATAACACTCGAAATTAACCCGAGCTCTTTCCACACGGAATTCAAATAATAGTTTGTCAATCGGTTGACTGCTTATAATGCAAAATACTAATATATCAAAAGTTTTTAAAACTAACAAAACACAATGATCGTTTCTCTATTTCCCAATGTAAATGAAATGAAACAAAAAACATTTTATATCGCAATAAGAAGAGGAGAGAATTCAACATTTCCGGATCTACTTGGAGTCTAATGACCCCCCACGTAGATAAGTTGGATATCGCGGAAGGAAGGATTAACCCGGCAACTAGAAAGGCATTAAAGCACTGCCTTTAAAAAAACAAAGCTTAATTTTTAAAAAGAAGTTAAGGACTTTTAAAAAGAATAAAAAAAGTTTTTAATTCTTTTTTTTTTGGTAAAGCTTGTCTCAAGTCAGGAGGCTGTGATTGAGTGGTTGTTGTTTTTTGCTGTATATCATATTTGTTTTTCGTTTATTGTTTTGTATAGTTTGTTCTTGTGTTGTGCAGTTGCACCACTGTCCCCGGTTAGGGTGTGGGTTTGGCACCATCTAACATGTTTAACCCTGCAACATTCTTTATGTGCCTGTCCCATGTCAAGAGCCTGTAGTTCAGTGATTGTCGTTGGTTCATGTCTTTCATATTTGTTTTTCGTAAAAAAATTTTGTTATAAATTAGGCCATTAGTTTTCTCAATTGAATTGTTTCATATTTTTCATGTAGGGACCTTAGGGGCCTTTTAAAGCTGACTATAGGGTATGTTTTTTTTTTCATTATTGAAGGCTGCATGGTTGCCTATAATCAGGGATGGGCACAATTACTGACAAATGTAATCGATTAATAATCGATTACATGAAGGATTTTTGTGCAATCGATTAATAATCGATTACTCTGAATGTTTTATGTAATCGATTGCAATCGATTACTCTGAATGTTTTATGTAATCGATTGCAATCGATTACTCTGAATGTTTTATGTAATCGATTGCAATCGATTACTTTATCAAAAGTAATTACATTACTTTTCGATTATTATCAATTACATGCTATAAAATATTGAAGAATGTTTATACACACAACTTATTTAGAGTGGTAATTTGGAACTTTACAAAAACAGCTTTTAAAGTATTGTTTTCAAATGTTTTCAAATCGTTTTTCTAGATAGACACTCTTAGAGAGGATCTAAACTATTTAAATATTCTTGAGTGAGCGATGATAAACATGAGAACATTCTTGAAATGAAATCGACAATTGTATCAATTGCTTCTTTATATTGTAGGTCATTTTCTCCATAGTTTGCGCATTTTTGATGTCATACTGACTTAATTTTGATATTTACTCTTATTTAACAGGATGGTATATTTGAATATAATGAGTATGAGAGGTTTCTTATGAAAAAAAATATATTAAAAAGAAGAAGAGTCAGTTTAACTAATTTTAAAAGATGGAAATTTATAATTTATAGTTACATGAATGAATTTATCCTTTTGTTTGGATAATCCCCCTAATTACAGGTTATAAAATTGCCAATGGCGAACAATTTATAACCTAAGGGCAACAACATGTATTAAATCTCTCATTTAATTAAACATAATTGAAATCAAAACATAGTCTGTATCTCATTGATTAAAGGTCTTTGATCATCTGATTAGTAATTATAAAAACAAGAAGGTTTTTGTGAATTCTTTGTTCTCTTTTCAAAATCATAAACAATTTACATTTTAGTGACACAATGGGATACACGTATTTATTACTGAACAAAATTTTCAATGCATTGGTTCATTGTAAAAATGTTTTGTATTCTTTCCTAATTTTGATGTCATAACACTATGATGAATCAACAGTTTATCTACTCTAAGCTAAAGTTCTAAATATAATTGAAAATTAAGCTTTAAAAAATGTTATTACATATATAAAAGCATTCTTCTTTAGTATAGTACAGAACTTAACCTAGGACTACAAGTACATTTATGTATTTTCCTATTTTGATTCTATTTTCTTATTTTTAACATTTTTGTGTTTAATAAAAAATATCTCAAATTATTGACAAGCATTGGAAGTCATTCATTTCAAAAGCTGGAAATAAAGTAAAATTTGTTAGCCTAGGAGATCTGGTTTATCATAATGCAGCTTGAGACAACAGATCTAAATAAGGTATTTGATAAACTCTCAAGTAATATAGATACATTCTATTTTATCAGTACTTTAAACTGATCAATACATGCAGTTGTCTATTTTCATTTAAACTAGGTTTTATTTCAAACTATATTACTAAAGTAATCGATATGTAATCGAAAAGTAATCGATGATTACATCATAATTTTTGCTGTAATCGATTAAATTACGATTACATGTAATCGAAAATGTTGTTGATTACAGATTACTGTCGATTACTTAAAAAAATGTAATCAATTACAATCGATTACGATTACAGATTACGATTACCCCATCCCTGCCTATAATTGCTTACATCCACTTCATTTGAACTTTGGTGGATAGTTGTCTCATTTGGCAATCATACCACATCTCCTTATTTTTCTATTGCTAAATAGAATGTTAATTTTGTTTCAGAAAGAAGATATAATGAAAAACAATATCACCATGGATCATTCATTTTTTTAAGTATGAAGTGATGCAGTCAGCTATTAAATTCATTTGAACATTATGATACATGATCTGATGTAGAACCTGTTGGGATAACCTAACCTTAACTGATACAATTAAGTTTTTAGGTCTATAATCTTCATATCCTGATACATCTGTTATAAAACTGTTCTATACTATAACTGTGTGTACCCTCTTGCAAATGGTCACTTACATATATTTGCAACTATTAAGTGATCATCATCTGCTCAAAACATTACGATGTTCAGTGCTTATGCCAGTTGTTCATTCAATTTGAACAGAATGATACAAGTAAAAAACTTTAAAATCAATAATATTGTGACAAAACTTAAATTTTGAATTTACAAACACTTAATTTATCAACTGTTCAAGGTCCTTTCTTTGGATGCAATACATTTACATGGCTATTGAGTGTTTCTATAATATTTAATGACCGTTGACCCTTTTAAACTTTTCTGTGGGTCAAACTGGACATGATTAACTGTACCTGTAACTGTCTAATCAGAGCATCCAATCTTTTATAAACTTCTTGTAGAACGGACTGTAGCAATGAGAATTCCTCAGGGTTTTGGTTTTCAGCAGAAGGTAGTTTATGAACAATTTCAGTCAGAGATAGATGTTTTATAACTGTAGAGATAACTCTTTCTTCAAGTATGTCTGGTTGAATAACTTCTCTGAAAGTATAATAATAATAATTTATTCCACTGAAATTTGCTTCTCAGCTGTACCCAGTTGCTGAACTATTTCAGACTTTTTAAACAAATGCTCACATACACCACGCCCCCACATTGACACTGAGCAAACAAAATCTAACGAGATGCCTAAGTGTCACAGACTCAAAACTCCTACAAAAGTCAATTGATAAAAATTTCTTGTGGATATGCACATCTACATAGTACGTCCTTATTATCTATAAAGTTTCATGAAATTCTGTTGTATGGTTTCAGAGGAGTTGCAATGACAAACTGTTGCAGTAGTATATTGAGGCCAATAAGTTCAAAGGGGCATAACTCCTGGAAAAAAAATTGAATCATAATTTCCTGTCGATATGCACATCTACATAGTATGTCCTTATTATCTACAAAGTTTCATGAAATTCTGTTGTGTGGTTTCAGAGGAGTTGCGATGACAAGAACAGGACTGAAGGATTGATGAACGGACGGACAGATGGACGAACGGACGGGTCAAAATCATTATAACCGACCCAAAAATTTGCATGGGGTATAATAATTATTGGAAAACATGTTTTACCAGTTTGTTTCTACATTGGCTTGGAATTCATGGTACCATAATTAAGCAAACTTAAATTTTATTCACTTTGTACACATACAAAAAGTTCAGTTGTAACAACCTAGACTACACAAAGAACCATTATTTTACAGTCATTAGATCTATCTTACCTTATACTTGGTAAGTGTGTGTGTGTGGGCCTCTGGCAGAGTTTTCTCAAGTTCTGTATAACATAAGCTGTAACAACCTAGTGTACCGGTACATAAAGCACCATTTAACAGACATTAGATATCTTATCTTATTCTTGGTCTGAGTGTGTGTGGGCCTCTGGCAGAGTTTTCTCAAGTTCACATCAGCTGTGACAACCTAGTGTAACGGTACATAAAGCACCACTATTTTACAGATATTAGATCTACATGTATCTTACCTTATACTTGGCCTGAGTGTTTGTGTTGGCCTATGGCAAAGTTTCCGCAAGTTCTGTATAACATCAGATGGCAGCTTGATTCTGGGTAGAGATGTGTCGTCTAGAATGGTGATGTCGTGTGAAGAATCAGGTGAGAATCCTGGGATAGGTTTCCCTGTATCTGACTGCCATACACATCTGTTACAGAAAAAAAAAAACAGCTTTAGAAAGAATTTAAGAGTACTTAATGATATGCCTTTTATTTATCTCTTCAACCGGTGACTATTTCTTATTTTTAGTATCAGACAGATAATTGTTAGTAAACAAATAAAATAAAAGGGTATATCCGGATACAAAGAAGTAACAGTTTAAAAATATTTTACTTTGGCTACAAGGCTCTTTCTCTTTATCATATTTTATCTATATCTGATTTTTAAATATACAAACAAGCTTACAAAGATAACAAATGTAAAAACCTTTGTAATAATTTAGATCTGAGCAAATGTGTACAACTGGTTTCTTCTTTAGATTTATTTGGTCCTTCATATAATAGTTGTAGCATTGTACAGGCCAGTACTGATAATCCTAGAGCTAAATCTGCTAAGAAAGGAAGACCAATGGATACCTCTTCTGTAGATTCCTGAAAAATATATATAATATAATATTTTGACACTTTCAATTCAATATTTTAGTAATTTTTTTCACCAACTGTTGAGAAGATAATTGAAAAGTATCCTTAAGTTGATGTTGAGCAACTAATCAGACCACATGGCCACCAATACTCCATTTTATTATATATAAACCTCTTTATTTAAAGAGGGTAAACACAGTTAGTTACACATGTTACAATAAACTAATCTTCCCTGAGGCCCTCACATACAAATTACAATACAATCAAAAACAGATATTTACACATAGTTAATTTACAGTCAAGTAGTTCAATGTAATATTATTAACATGATAAGATATAAAGCTGTTCAAGATGTACATGTAGTCAAAAAAATCAAATAAAAGTAAAAAAAAAATATACAAATACATTGTAGAAAACATAATCTTATCAGGACTGTGTTAAGTACTTCTTGATACTTTGTTTAAAAGTGTAAGTATTTTGAGCTTTACGCATTTTGTGTGGTAGTCCATTCCATATTAGCCTTTAATATGTTGTTGGTTATTTTGCTTTGTCCAGCTTGTTCTATAATTTCTATTTTTTTATTTTTGTTTGTTAGTGTGTTGTTTTTAAAGGGAATGGGGACTGGCAGAAGGAGGAATGGAGCTTTGATAGGACACATATTTCACCATATGGTCTTGTCCCCAACTGTCTACACACATTTCTGTAAATCTGAAACATGACTGTATGAATACATCTCTTGTCTGGTGTATTATGATCTCTTTCATTCCAAGTAATTGAACGAGTCTTGACAGTGCACATTTTTTTTTCAATTTACAAACACCCCTATATGTTTTAATATGGTGTTCTGTGTAATTTTTAAATATTTATTTTGCCTTACCTGAGCCCTGACAGTACACATAAAACCCCACATGGCCTTGTCAGGTGTGTTATGCTCTCTACCACTTCTCATCTCAAAAGAAAATGTGACTGTATCTCCTTCAACCTGCAAATAATGTTGTAAAGTGAGTTCATCAGTCAGATTTACATGTTTACAAAGTTTACCTATTTCAATATATAAATTTCTTTTTTAAACATTTAAAACTTGACAGACTTCTTGCCTTTCAAATTTCTATTTAGACAAGGTTTATTGCCTTCAAAATGCCTATATATACGTTTCCAAGGTTGTTTTTTTTAGACAAGTTAAATTGGATTCTATTTTTGATGATAAATAGATATTTTCCTTCAAAAATCTGCAGTAATTATAGAAATGAATATCATATATTTGTTCAGTACAAACAAAATGTTCTGTTAGATATTGCTCACAAATTATACCCTCCGTCAATGTTTTTGCTGTTTGATGAACATCCAGTGATAAATATTTTATGCATATTCAGGATGATTGTCAAATAGAAAAATAAGATATTAATGATTTCTACACATATGTAACATTTAAGAGAAGTAAGTTTTTGTAAAGAGGAAGTAAAACATGTAATGAACTAGAACATACCTGTCAACCTATGACAATGAAAATGCAGGTGATGACCTGCATAGAAGAATGAAATCTCAGGTCATAATGCGTACAAACTTTTCGAGCTGAATTTCAGTATTTATGGGACATTTTTCTTATAATTTATATCAAAGTTTCCAAAACATGTCCACATGGTTAAGTAATTCAAAATTGTACATATTATTATTTCATTGCACCTGAAGGCCACTGATAGATTTGTGTAACATTGCCTTAATTCCTGTTCTTAATCATTCCATGACATACAATGTGCCATTTTGTGTTTTCTTCTCATACATTTGTGCAGCTTTTAAACAGTATGACATATCATATGTTGATATTAGAGTATAATAAAATAAAGTTAAACAATTAAAGGAGGTTTGGATGAAAAAAGTAATTTTCAAAATTTTTATTTTTTAAATGTTCTAAAAGAGGGACGAAAGATACCAGAAGGACAGTCAAACTCATAGATCGAAAACAAACTGACAACGCCATGGCCAAAAATAAAAAGACAAACAGACAAATAATAGTACAGATGACACAACATAGAAAACTAAAGACTAAGCAACACGAACCCCACCAAAAACTGGGGGTGATCTCAGGTGCTCCGGAAGGGTAAGCAGAAGGTAAAACAATAAGTAAAAGTATTATTCTGATATGTTTGTGCATTCAATTCATTTTAGATTTAATCTTTTTACAAAAAAAAAACATAAGTTTAAGGAGTATATTGTAAATTGACAAAAAAGGGGAAGTAACTCAAATTGTTTTTAAAACAACTTTGAAATACACAAATTATTTACGACCTAAAGCTAAGGTAATTGGTGTTAATTAACAGTGTGTTTGACACCAAAGCTGTCAAGTGAAGCCATGCACTGAAATGGGTCAATTGAGCTGAGTTTACACAGCTAGTTGAACTTCTTGTCCAGGAAGAATTACCAATTTGCCGGTATTTCATTGAAATCACTTTATATCTAATCAGTCTGAAGGTTAAGGAATCTGGGTGAAAACGGGTTATTTTCTGAATTCCCGGGTTATTTGGTCACCCGGCGGATGTTCCGGGTGACCCCTCAGAATTGTGAAAATCTCGGGTCACACCGGCAGGATCCAGGTCAGTTGAAAAGGTATGCTAGAAGTGTATCACAAGGTATGGAATAACTAAATGACGCTATGGAATAACTAAATGACGCTATGGAATAACTAAATGATGCTATGGAAAAACTAAATGACACTGTGGAATAACTAAATGATGCTATGGAATAACTAAATGATGCTAGGTGCAATATATAAAGAAGCTATTACATGTAGCTGCTGAGAAAATAGATAATTTTTGGATTCCAATAAATATGGCTAAAATGTAAAATAAATGGTGAGGTCAAGTACTTTGACAAGATCTTTCGGCCATCCTGATCCCAGAACACTACGGCTGCCAAATCCATATGTATTACCACCATACTCAGCTACCTTCTTGGAGTTTGTGGTTGGGCCAGCATACAGTACTAACTACAAAATAAATATCAGCTAAAGGTATATTGAAAGTTTGAACTGTGTACAGAACATAACAGAAAAAAAAACCATAAAGATCAAAAGAATTTAAGTGTTAATCAATTTGAGGATTGTCATACACAAAGCACAAGCTGAGAAAATAACATCTATGAAAATATAATGTATTTTTCAGTTAAACTTCCATTTTGAACTAAATGTCCCTTTTCAAGTATTTTCAGGTCAGTGCTATTTGTTTCCTAATTGTAATGTTATTATTGTACGTTCCAATTTGATAGGTTAAATAGGTTTGCTCCTAAAATTTAATATAACAAAAACATCAATAGTATCAGCATGATGAGGAAATATATAGTAATTGGTAGATTCATATCCATAATTGATAATTGACAATCATACTACATGCATCTTATTAACAAATTTATTAAATTAAAGAAAAACATAAGCTAATCATATTGCCAAGCACATTTATTATGAAACCTTATCCACAAAATCTGATGCCTGATTAAATTATTGCAATGTACATATTGACTACACATGTCAGAAGGCCTTTTTACCTTATCATAATCATATTGTGAGGCACATCTGGGGTCAAATCTAAGGTACAGGCACCTTGCCCCGGGGATATGCACACTCTCCTTCAACTTGTAATTGTCCCTGACAGGATGTATACTCTCTATAGCCTTCCCTGAAGACCAGGGGGCAGGGATCTTAAGTCCAGCAAGGAATCCTTCCTCTTCTTTCTCTTTCAGATCACAACTAGTTATTAAAAACAAACAATTAAAATTAAATAAGGATAAGTCTTAAATATCATGAATATAAAAAGAGACAATAGACATAAGCCCATTTCTTTCAAACATTTTTTCTAAACTGTTAAATATTAATAGATTACACCATGTCCTTTATCCTACGCCCCCTCATATCATCCTGGACTCCCATATTAACCCCTGGTGCAAGTCAATGGCTTATAGAGTCAGGGGATGATACCAGGATTGATATGGAAAAAAATTTCTTATAATCTATTGTTAGATATTTAACCAATGCAAAAAAGTTGAATTAATCTCTGGCAAGACATACATGTTCCCATCATTCTTACTAAGCTCTCCAACCTTTATTTGTACAGCTACCAACTTCTTGAATTTAGCACAAAACTGCCATATTTTGTTATCTTGTCATTAATGTTTAGATATATACAACAGCACTACCCCAAAAGACATATTGCTACAAAATGTATTTTACACAGAGTTTTAAAAAGTGTGTAAATTTTTTTTTATCGGGTATGGCTGTTGCTCATATCAATTTTGTCCAAAAACTATGTGTAAAATGGTAATTTTGGTCAAAATACGTCAATTTCAACATGTTTTTAACATCACAAGTGAACTTTCTGCACTTAAGAGTCCAGATTATATTAATCTGTTCATTTATCATGTAGATTAACATTAATTTGAAAGGATTGAGTAATATTCCTTTTTTTGAAATTTCAGGGACCAAATAATGGCTTTCATCATACCACCTCCTTTCAAAATTATCTCCAAAAATTTTGATTAGAAATATAATTTTCAAAAATAAACTAATGTTACCTCCTGAAACCCTTTAAATTTAAAATTTTCTACAAAGGAGCTTGACTCTGGATAAGTGCAAACGAACTATTTCAATAAAATATTTACATAACCTACTTTTCTAAATTGACAGCCTGACCAATCAGCTCTGCTACATCTATATCAGCATCTTTTTCAAATATCTCCTGTTGTACTGCTTGGACTTGACTTTTCAACAACAGAGCAGCCTGATATTAACAAGATAAAATATTAATAAATGCATCATATTTCATGAGTGCTGGTCTACAAAAGAATTCTGCAGAGGTTAAAACAGTTTAACAACATATACACAAAGAACTGTACTTCACATACTGTAGATAATTATTGTTCATGGAGTACCAATTTTCGACTTGAAGGCAGACTTTAAAAAAATCATGAAAAACAATTTTTCCTCAATCCACAATAAATTGCTTCTTCCAGGGCAGCTGGATATGACTGCAGAGGTCCAACCCTGAACAGTTGGGGCAAAAATGGACACATATTGACACAATACATATCTGAATTTGGATTGTAAATAAATATTTGACACATAATAAGTTTCTGACACAGAATAACTGTAGTAAAAAAACTTAGCATTGGTTATATGATTTGAATTTATATTCAATTTTTTGCTTTTGTGCAATACACTATGCTGTTGCGAATTGACCCCACTCCCTCCCCCCAAAAAAAAATTTACCTCCTTTTTTTTTGCTTTTGTGCAATACACTATGCTGTTGCGAATTGACCCCCCCCCCAAAAAAAAAAAAAAAAAAAATTTACACCCCCCTTTTTTTCCCAAAAAACAAAATATTTGAAGAAATTTTCTTTTTAATTTCTAAAATCTGAAATGGAAAAAATTGTGTCCCACCCTCACAATTTCTTTTTAACCCCCCTTTTTCCAAAAAAAAAATTCTTTCCCTCAAGATATGGTCATAATCTCAATTCAAATTTCCAATGGCGTTTGCAACCATAATTACCCATTTAAATACATCATAAAAGTCTTAAAATAGAAAATGACATACATTATCATGGTTAAAACTAATATTCCTTAATCAGCATTTTTAAATAGTAAATTCTAAAAATAAATTGACAGCTTATCACCTCAAGACAATACAACATTTCTTTATACATAATTTAAAAAAAGTGTAAGAGAGGTAATCCAAACATAACATTGTACTTTTTTTGAATTGCCCATTAACCAAGAAACCCTTGTTTTTCCCCCTTTTTTGCCCCTAATTCCTAAACGGTTTGATCCATAACCCCCCAAAGCCAATCTTAACCATCCCTTTGTGGTATGGAAACTTGTGGTATAATTTCAGATAGATCCATACACCGTTCCACAAGTTATTGTCTGGAAACTAGAAAAATGCTTATTTGGGCCCCTTTTTGGCCCCTAATTCCTAAACTGTTAGGACTATAACCCCCAAAATCAATCCCAACCTTCCTTTTGTGGTTATAAACCTTGTGTTTAAATTTCATTCTATTTACATTTACTAAAGTTATTGTCCAGAAACCAAATGTCTTTGGACGACGTTGACGATGACGACAACGTGATACCAATATATGACCGCAAAAAAATTTTGCGGTTGTATAAAAATTGGTTACCACGAAAATAAATGAATTCACAGCATGTTTCACAGCAAAAGGACATGGAAATAATATGGTCTAAAATTTTCCATCTTAAAAGACTGGTGAAGAAAGTTGTGATATGGAGAACATAAACCAGAGAATCCAGTAACACCTTTGCTTCCCAAACAGGACAAAATCTTAGAATTATCATATACTTTCATCATCTGTTTACTTCATAGTGAAGTAAATGAAATTGTTTTGTGAGATAGGCAATTTTAGAATAAAACTGAAGATTGTAGCTCAAGTTTGGAATTAAGGAAGGAAAATTGTGAGGAAAATATAATGCTAGAAAAACTTTTGTGATATGTTTATCAAAAGATTGAATGTATATCATGAATGACAGACAAGCTCGAAGTTGTCTTCAGTGAGAAGTACCATCCTTTATTATGTTTGTCAAAACAATACACACAGATTGTGGCACGTCCACAAAACTATTGACCACATAAGACAAAATATGTCTGAGTAAACAGATAATCAACTAATTTGGCATTTATCTCTTTCAAACTGACTATACAACAAGTTATTTTTTTAATTTTCTTACTTTTCTGATGATTTATACATGTAAAATGGAAGATCAAAGTTTTACATATTCATGGAAGTCGTAGAAATAAATCATCAAGAAAAATTTATTGGTTTACATGAACAGATTAACAGTTACAGAGTTTCCTTGGTGGAAGATATGAAATCTTACCTGACTGGTTAAAACAACAAGGTGTACAAGCTGTGACATCAGATTATCACCAAATTGTAGACATCGTAAGTTAGGATGTGTCATGGCTGTCAGTAGGACAGGAAGTAGATGTCCCAACACTGTGGCTTTAGCCAATCTTTCTAATCCTTGTAACCAATATTCTAAGTCCTCTTTATGTTTTGATATTACTATACTACATGTGTCTAATAACGCTTCTAAAACCTGATAAAAACAAAAGAATTCAATATTGTGCACTTCAACTGTAAAGTTCAGAAAGTTCTTTCTATTCTGATTAATGTTATTGAAATCACAAAATAAACTGGTATCTGCAAATCTTCTAATACCAATACCATTATTTCAATTCTAATGCAATAGGAAAAAAACACAATTAAATTATACATTTCAAAATCAATTTCATTAGACTGCCCTTGCACTCTCCATGTTAGATCATCACTCATGGAATTTATGTCCTGTAATTTGTGGCATTATCCAATTAAAATGAATGTTAAAGTTTTGCATTAGAATTCCACATTTTACCTGAATTATATAAAATACAATCTCCTTGAGGATACATTCACGGTCAGCAGACTTATTCAAATTAGTTATCAGAGAAATTTTAATGCTTGTTTTTCTAACTGTATTGATTGTAATATTGTGAAACATACAATGCATACCATATTTATAACTTCCTTATAGAAGGCTATCATGATTTTATCAATACTTACCTGGTAAGAACCTCTAAATACTTTGGAAGCCAGATTCATTATGGATATTTGTAATTCCTATTAAAAGCAAAACACAAAAAAATTAATGAGTTTATATTGTATAATTATAACAGTATTATTAAGACCTGTAAGAATAAAATATGTTGACATTTTTAAAAAATTTATAAAATGAATTCAATACTTATTATATATATATATCATGATGTGATACTCAATATTATTCTAGTTAAACTTCTTTTTTTTATAGTAATGATGAACACATAAAATAATATTTCTTTATTAGTTTTACTAGTTAGTCAACAACAAAAAAATATCCATTCCACTCCATAGTATGGATTGATTGGTGTTTAACGCCACTTTCAACACTATTGTGCTATTTCGTGGCGGTCAGTTTTTATAAGTGGAGGAAGCCAGAGTGCCCAGAGAGAACCATCAACCTTTGGTAGGAAAACTTACAATCCTAGTCAATTAAGATTGGAGTTGAGTGCACCTGTACAGTGCGGGATTCGAACTCACAACCTCATTGTTGACTGGCTAGTTCAACTACTTAGACCACTCGGCCACTGAGGCCCCCCAAAGTATGGAAACCAGGGAACATCTAGAAGTTTTGCTCACTCTCTGCCACCTGCCATTAATGACAGGTGGAAATTGCAAAACCTAAGTGAGACGTAAATAGAAAATCTTGTTTCACAGTTATGTTATTTCAAAAAATTTGACACGGTGATATCCAGTTTAAACTAGTGTGATCAAAACCCCACATACAACCAATCAACATTCTTTGACTTATTTTACATACTGTGGAATCATTTATTCCCATGGGTACCAATTTTTAGTGGATTGGAGAAAAAATTGTATTTTCATGGATATAATATATTGTAGTTTTTCAAGGGTCTGCATACAAGTCTATAGAAAAATTGCTATTTGTTTAAATCCAAGGTTTGCTCATACCCACGAAATCCATGAAAATTGGTATCACATGCATAATAATGAATCCACAGTACATAAAATAGACATATAACCATACATGACTCATGAACCATGTCCAATGAAAGAACCTTAGTGAGCGTGCTCACATACCCCACGTCCCCACATTGTCATTGGAGAAATAAAATAAGTGTAAGAAAAAAAATTGTATCAGAAAAAAAAATTGAATCATAATTTCCTGTCAATATGCACATCTACATAGTATGTCCTTATTATCTAAAAAGGTTTCGTGAAATTCTGTTGTGTGGTTTGAGAGGAGTTGCGATGACAAGAAACAGGACTGACGGACTGACGGACGGACAGACAGACAGACGGACGGACGGGTCAAAAACATTATACCCTCCGCAACTCGTTTCGTGGGGTATAAAAATGAAACATCCTTGTATACCCTACCGTATTGATTCTAATGGAATATCGCTTATGTTTCATGATATTTACCTGCAGAAAAACTCATAATCTACATGCATTTGAATATCGGCCATGTGTTTTACTGCAATAATTTCAGTTTATCACTAAAGTTGATCAGTACCCAGTTAATTTAACACCAGTTGTAGAAAAAGTATCAAGAAAGACAAACGAAAACCAAATTTCTTGAAAATTGAAATGAGTAATTTTGTTTTCTGTTGTTTTTTAATATTGAGGAACCCCAAATTTTCATTTGTAATAAGAGGATTGTGTCTTGTAAGCTACTTCTCTCGATATTAACAACTAAAATGCAATTGAGGGAAAATTTAGACTGGTTTCATTCCCAATAAATAAAATATTATGACCTTGATTTCTTTAGGCAGAATTTTTACAACTATCTACTACATATTAAATATTAATAGAGGTGCCTTCTGACTAAAACTTATCCCTCCTCTAAACAATTGTACTCAAGGGCTAAAAACTTTCTTACTTTTAATACTGTATTATCATGTTTTGTAGAATCTTCTGAATCTGTTTTAGACTTGTACAATATGGCTTCCCTCAACAAAAACGACTGAAGTGACATCATATACCTCAAACAAGACGAGGCAACCTACAAAACATATCACTTGTTCTATACTATTCAGATGATTTTTTAAAACAAATAAAATAAATGCACAACTCTTTTTTCTGACAAGCTTAATGTTTTATTTCTAATATGATAATTATTGTTACTTCTGGGAGTAACATTCTTCAAAAAACATTTAGCATAATAGATTACACTTCCAATCACAGATGGATTATTATTATCATTATTATAATATCAGACCAAGAGGAAAATGTATGACTTTCTAGAATTACATTTGTTTATAATAACATAGTCATTTCAAAAAAGGGTTAAAAAGAACAACCTTGGCCTGGACTTAAAATTACATCAACAAAAACAGAATAAAATGGGACAGGATAAAAAGCTTTCATTTTATCAATGATTTTAAAATATAACAACGTTTTGGAAAAATCTGAGAATTTGATATTATTTTCTTAGTGAATTTATTGGCTTGAAACAATTCATCTGTCTTAAAGATATTTTAACGAAATATAATGAAGTAATTCTGCCAGAGGAGACAACATTATCACAAACATATCCATATCAGGGGGAGATAAATTACTGCAAATTAACCAAATTTCACAATAGTTTGTAAAATACCAAAAAAAAGTATAAAAAACAAGAACAGTTACCCACATTTTTATTTTCATTCCCCCCAAAACAAATGATCTAATTTATAGTCCAAATATGGAAGAGATTTGTTTTCCTAATTCCTGAAGAATTTTTCCCAATATGGTCTTTATAAACTTTTTATTTTTGAATTCAATATTGCTCTAAAACATGTACAGTGACCTTTGCTTTTAAATTGAATTTGAAAGTCATTTTTAACTCTGTTTCAAGAAAATTTATGAAAAAATTAGGAAGCTCCCAATTTTATGTTTATCAATCCTAAAAACTGATTCTCTTAGATATTTCTGACATTTTCTGTTTAAAATATTACAGGAACTCGAGCTTGTAGTTCTTCAAACTGGTTTTTCCCTATGGTAACTGATTCCTTCAGTAATTCACATGACTCCTTTACTGCTATCTTTAGTATCAAGTTAACAGTTTCATCATTAAAACTACAAAATAAAAATTGAAGTAAAATTATTGAAATGTAAAGATGCAAAGAAAACAGACTATCAAAAATGAATGTTAGATTTTTTATATAATTGAGTTGAGTGGAAAAGTGATGCACTTTTCCTTTAAATTGGCCTGTATAACATACATGTATATTCAAATATGTATGGTAAAGAGTATACTTATTTTCATCTTACATATAGCACTTGCCCTGCTTGCATTTAGTCTTTTGTGACAGATTAAGGTTTTCAGGTCAAAATGTGAACACAGTTACTCGCTTATAAGACCCATTTCTTGAGAAGCAACTACTAGCATAAAGACTGCTGCATCTTATCTTAGCAGTATATTTAAGAAATAATTCATGGGGGCTTGAATATATCGTGATTTCACCACAGGTTGGCCCTTTATGACAAATATTTTTGGGGTCAAATATCGGCATAAAGGGACAACCCGTGGTAAAATAACGATATATTCAAGTCCCCATGAATTATTTCGATTCTAATAGCACAAATACGGCAATTGTTTTGGATCGAAGCACTCTAGATGAAGGCATTATTTGCCGTTCCCATAAATAAACGCCCTATTAAATTGCTGTAAAAGACCGGAGCAAACTGAATAAATGACATGCTTAAACTATTTACAATAACATATTTAGATAGGTCTAGATGAATCTAAACGATAATTGTACTTATATGTCTTATATGTATACAAAAAATGGCTTATATAACACATTTTAGCATCGTTTGTTTACGTTTCCTTGTTGTGATGATTTTCGGTTTCACAAGCGTGTATTTTACCGTAAAATGCTTATATTCTTACGTCATCGTTCTATGACGTTGGGTAGCTCATTCATAAAAAAGCATATGACGCGGGAGTACGATCGGAACAGCCTAAACAATATATTCATATTTTACCACGGGTTTGTACTCAAAGCGTTTGAAGAACGTCATGTTATAATTTTAATTCAACACCTCACTAGATGCAGTTATTTCTATACGAGGATGATAACTGTAAGACTTTATATTTTCATAATAGATAGAAAATGTTTGAAACCAATTTGCCTTGTAGAAAAAATAATAAGCAAAACATCATTCACTGCAATGCACATTTATCTATCTTCAATGAAACCCTTGTATCCTCCTTTCGTAATTTTGGGTCCTGAAAGCTCTTCAATTTTATACTTTATTTGGCCTTTTAACTTTTTTGATTCAAGCGTCACTGATGAGTTTTTTGTAGACGAAACGTGTGTCTGGCATACAAATGTTTGAAGCCTGGTATCTATAATGAGTTTATCCTCAACTGATAAGCATTTAGAATAAATATAATGGATGAAAAATAAAATTGCATAAGTTATAGCCATAGATATAATCCACATTTGCAGGTTTTTGTTTTTGCAAGGGGTGTTTTTAACAAGAAATAAAAAGATTCTAGGGTAGAAGAATCAATTCTTTACAAAAATCACTAAAAATCTTCTAGAGTCACATCTCAAAGTTATTTATGTACAGTTAGGAATGCAGCATTCCTCTATGTACAACTGAATGATAATTTTTTTTTAATTTTACCAGAGATTTTTTGATTCTGTGTTGCTGTATGTCATTCCTCTCAAACGATCTGCAAAGTCTACAAGAATCATATCTCTAAGTTCTATATGAGCCTCATAAGTACTATCCAATAAATTCATCATTAGTCTATTTTTAGCACTTTCTGTGGGATATAATACATTGACCCCATTGGTTAAGACATGGCATGCTTCAGTGATCACAGCTGATGTAAAATCTTCCTTGTCAGTGGGTTTTTCTAGTTTATCTCGAGATTTTAACAGGTTCCATACTAAATCACTGTAAAATAATATATAAAACAGGTTACTTCAAAACAGAAAAATTTGTAATCTTTTTTTTTAATAACAGAAAATGTGAAAAGAAGTTCAGTGTTTAATATATATTTAACTTATTCTTATTTTCATTTTTTTCAAAAGTGTTTCCTAATAATTTCTATATTTAAAAACCAAGAATTTAAAAACTGTCTGTTATAAATCATGTCAGTACCGACATACTGATACCCTCAGGACAAATAGTTCACCAGCAGACATTATATTTTTTTAACATTTTTTATCAAATGAGAGATCTATTTCTACCTCAATCTCTGGAGTAAGTCCTCTTCTTCCTTGGATTTTCTTTTGAAGATACTAACTCTGAATACCAACTGAAAATATTTAATACGCATTTCAGTAATATTATATTCATTGCATTATATCAAGTAAACTATATCACAAAACATGTTTAACGTTTCTCGTTTTTATATAGATTATACCGTTGGTTTTTCCGTTTGAATGGTTTTACACTAGTAATTTTTTGGGGCCCTTTATAGCTTGCTGTTCGGTGTGAGCCAAAGCTCCGTGTTGAAGGCCGTACCTTGACCTATAATGGTTTACTTTTATAAATTGTAACTTGGATGGAGAGTTGTCTCATTGGCACTCATACTACATCTTCCTATATCTATTAACCCCGCCGCATTTTTGCGCCTGTCCCAAGTCAGGAGCCTCTGGCCTGTGTTAGTCTTGTATGTTTTTTAATTTTAGTTCATTTATATGTTTTGGAGTTTAGTATGACGTCCATTTTCATTGAACTAGTACACATTTTTATTTAGGGGCCAGAGGACCACCTCTGGGTGCGGATTTTTCTCGCTGCATTGAAGACCCATTGGTGGCCTTTGGCTGTTATCTGCTCTTTGGCCGGGTTGTTGTCTCTTTGACATATTCCCCATTTCCATTCTCAATTTTTATGTAAATACACTTAATGATATTATTCCTATTTGCTTCTCAAATGACCTGCCAAAAAATTAACTTTATCATTTTATTACACTGTTATTATTATCAACCTTATACATATCTACTTTAATGACCATTATCATTGATTTGGTACCGACATATTTTGATATATATTTCTATTGCAGATTTTCAGAAATTAAGTTAATCACCTGTATCAAAGCTTAAGTTTCAAGTCCTTTTTAGGCAAACCTGACATCAGAAAAACTCTTGACTGTACTGTAAGCCTTTTTGGATTTGATGTCACAAACATGTTGTATTATTGGCATCCAAAACATTTGGTCTTGAGCCAACCTGATAAAGGCTATTCTAGAAACACAATCCATGGGGACAATGTATCATAATCTGTGTCTATGAAAGGCTGGTGCATGGCATCTTAGTTTGTATATTAATATCTTGAATAAAGTCCTACAATGAACACTTACTGGTTGACCGTTATGGAATTGTAAAGCCACAATTCTTTTCCTTGATTATGACCTTCACCAAATTCAACTTATCACCACATTTATACTAGCAAGGAGTAACACAACGGGTGCCACTAGTGGAGAAGGAACTGCTTAACACAACGGGTGCCACTAGTGGAGAAGGAACTGCTTAAAACAACGGGTGCCACTAGTGGAGAAGGAACTGCTGAACACAACGGGTGCCACTAGTGGAGAAGGAACTGCTGAACACAACGGGTGCCACTAGTGGAGAAGGAACTGCTTAAAACAACGGGTGCCACTAGTGGAGAAGGAACTGCTGAACACAACGGGTACCACTAGTGGAGAAGGAACTGCTGAACACAACAGGTGCCACTAGTGGAGAAGGAACTGCTTAACACAACAGGTGCCACTAGTGGACAAGGAACTGCTTAACACAATGGGTGCCACTAGTGGAGAAGGAACTGCTTACCCTTCTGGAGCACATGAGTTCACTCCCAGTTTTTGGTGTGATTTTGTTTATCTATCTTTAGTTTTCTATGTAGTGTTTTATGGAGTTTTCTTTTTGTCTTTTTTTTTACCATGGTGGTGTTTACTTTCATTGGACTTGTGATTTTTTTTACCATGGTGGTGTTTACTTTCATCAGACTTGTGATTTTTTTTACCATTGTGGTGTTTACTTTCATTGGACTTGTGATTTTTTTTACCATTGTGGTGTTTACTTTCATTGGACTTGTGATTCTTTATCACCACCTTGGTAGCTTATATTTTCATCACCTTTATAATTGACCTCTATATAATGTTACCTGTAAAACTATCAATGAACACAGAATAATTTGGTTGTCCTTGACCTCTAGGGACCTTTGTAAGATGTCTACAATTCTTCCCACATGGACAAGGTCAGCTGAGTGTTGCTGAAGGATATATGAGCCCAGAGGTGTGTGGAGGAGGTCATTGTTGATCTGATGTAAACACATACTGCCAACATGTTGTAACAAATCTTTGATCACTGCTTCTCTATTTTGCTCCAAGCTCACTGTGAAAAATTAAAGGTAACTTTAGAATGACTGTAAAACTTAAGTTACATTCACTGACTGAACATTTGAAGGTTATATATTTCACTGATTGTGGAATTAACAATTAAGTGTCACTGATTGTGAAAATTGAAGAGTATGTGTCACTGATTGTGAAAATTGAAGAGTATGTGTCACTGATTGTGGAAATTGAAAATTATGTGTCACTGATTGTGAAAATTGTAGATTATACGTCACTGAATCAGGAAACTGACGGTTATGTCACACTAAATGTGAAAACTTAAGAATCAGTAAGAATTTATATTAGAATTCAATACTGGAGAAACCAATTACTCTTTTCACAAAAAATCTTACAAATAATGTTGATCATGTGGTAGTTGTTTTACTCCTTAGATTTTTTTAACGAAAAGGATAAAACAGAAAGATACAAGTAATTTTCTATATAAACATTATCAGCATAGTGATACACTCATCAGACTTGTTCCCTGGGCTAATACACAATTCAGCCTATAACCTTATTTATTATATTAATGGACATACATACCTCCCTTACTTGGTTTCTGTATTATTCTGAGACGCCTGTGTATGTGGTGTTGTGCTTGATGAGCTGGGTTATAGAACTGGTCAACCCAATCATTACTGCACATCCATATAGAATTGTTCATCACATCAAAACATAAACCTGTTGAGAATATAGAAGTGAGATTATATACATATCTACAACTAACTGTCAAATGTCATCTGAAGACACAATGAATTAGGGTTTGTGAATAAAATTAAGACTAAAAGATGATGAAAATCTTTTGATTCTATGCCTTTGATCAATTAGATATCATTTAAGGTGGTACATAACACTACAGGGAGATAACTCTGTAAAAATCAGCTGAACGTTTTAATCACGTTCTATCCTAAAGGAAATATTAAGTTCCTCAACGATCAAAATTAGTGTTTGTCAAACTGCTATATATCCTATGAAATTTTTCCGATAAAGTGTGTGGTTCAAGTTTTTTTGAAATGTTTATATTTTTGTCAAAGGGTCAAAGTAAATATTTTGTCAAAATTTTATGAAAATTTATGAGCCAAATTAATTTTAGTCAAGGTGTTTGGTACCACCTTAACAGGCAGATTAAATATAATTATTAGACAGAAGAAAGAAATGTAATATGTAATAGAACCATTCAATATTTACTGTGGAATTATTTATTTTCGTGGGTACCAGATTTTGCGATTGAGTAAAATTTGTGTTTTCATAGATATTTCATTTCCAAAGGCTGCATACAACCCCTTAGAAGATTTATATTTTGTTGAAGATTTAAAATTCATCAATACCAATGAAATCAACAAATCTTGGTATCCCATGAATAATAATGTATCCACAGTATCAGATATCAGAAATATGACAGTCATTTGTAAGTTCTGAGAGTTTTGTAAACCTCAAAATCCTTCATCCTTACCAACAGCAGAAATGGCAGCCCCTCTACCAAGAGAGCAAGTAGGAGCATCACTGAGATCTGTTTTTGTAGCATATTGTCCATCTTTAACATGGAAACACATACAGGAACCTAAAGCTACAAACATAAACAGAGGGAAATGTTATAAGTTAAAAGTTTTATAGTAAAATTAAAATTGAGAATGGAAATGGGGAATGTGTCAAAGAGACAACAACCCGACCATAGAGCAGACAACAGCCGAAGGCCACCAATGGGTCTTCAATGCAGCGAGAAACTCCCGCACCCGAAGGTGTCCTTCAGCTGGCCCCTAAACAAATATGTATACTAGTTCAGTGATGGACGTCATACTAAACTCCAAATTATACACAGGAAACTAAAATTAAAAATGATACAAGACCAACAAAGGAGATGTCCTGGTATCTAATAACATTAATTAATAAAACATTTTAAGTACTAAATGCACATTTTAACAAATCAATAGTTCAATACAATTTCAAATTCATAAAATTATTTTTATAACAACTGTATGATAGAAACAACAATGTACAATGAATCAGAAACAGTGCACAAACATAATTACTTTGTCCTATTCTTAGCACCTGTGCTAGTTTCACTTCCTTTATACAAGAAACTTCCTACAGTGCTTTTCCGTCCTGTTTTTTATTGAAAATACATTATATTTCCTCGTGAGTTGTGATGAGTGCCAAGTTTTCAAAACCATATCTTTTGCCACACTTGTAAAAAATTAATAAAGTGTGCATTTCTTACTGTCAAATGAAATAATACATAATTTACAGTAGTTTCTAAAAATAATAAAAAATTACCCTTTAAAATTAAAAACTTACTCCTTAAACCTGTCAAACCAGGGCCTCCACCGAACAATCCTCTGGAGGCAGAACTAGTTGTAGTGCCACCTGATATTGAAGTCAGAAATAAAACATGGCTGCCATCGCATGTCACTGGTGTTTTTACTAAGTTTTTCAGAGATATTCCACAGCTTGTACTACCAGCAAGAATGCCTAAAATACAATTCAAGGAAAATTCAAAAATAAAAAAAGAACTATTATTTTAAAAAATCCATTAGATAAATCATGTAAATTCTTTTGTGTAGTTTGTTCCTGAGTTTGCATGAAATATTTGCCACTAGACATTAATAAACAATAATCAATAAATCCATCACTATCAGTTCATGGAAAAGTAAAATATCAACCATTTTTCCACTTTGCCCTGTAAATGAAATTTGTTAGATCGTCTGACAATTATAGAAAAATGAAATTATTTCTATAAACATGATATTTTTTTTTAAACAATTCAACCACTAACTTGAATCAATTTGGACATACAAATTTCAAACTCATTAGTATATTGAATAAAAATATAATTTGTGACAAAATCTGTATCTTATAGAAATGAACAGAATTTGCTACATACTAAATCACATTAATTTCATATACAAATTCTTAAAAAAAATAAAAACCTTTACCATCATCTTTCCTGGAAGTGAGAGGGTCAAGGCCAGTAAGGGCTGCTAAAGTAATGGATGACGAACTTCCTCTAAAGGGTCGTAACTTTGCCAATAAACTTTCACTGAGAGCTTTTGCTGTAGATTCATCCTTCTTCTGCAGTGTAATTCTGGATTGTTGTGGTACAGCTATCAATTCCTCTGACTTAAAACAACCAATACATGAAATATAAACAACCCATCTTAATAAATCAAAACTACCAACAATTGATTTTAAGTGCCAATGAAGATATCATTATTTTTAATGTGCATTTAGTCTATGTAATTTGGTCTCTGGTGGAGAGTTGTCTCATTGGCAATCATACCACATCTTCTTATTTTTATGTATAGGGCATCAAAAATACTTTGGTATTGTAATTTTGCTTTACCACTAATGGGTCAAAGTTTTTGAATTTACATATTTCTTAATACTTCTGCAATTTTCAAGTTGAATATAAAAGATTTAATCATTTGCTAAATAAAAATATCAAAATCTTTCCAATGCACATATATAAAACAGAAGATGTGGTATGATTGCCAATGAGACAACTCTCCACAAGAGACCAAATAACACAGAAATTAACAATTATAGGTCACTGTACGGCCTTCAACAATAAGCAAAGCCCATACCGTTTGTACATATGTTTCTTAGTTGATTTAGTTGTCCTTCGTGGCAGATTTGTGTTTAGAAAAATTCACAATTAGATGGAATTAGAAAAAAAATGTATTTTATGGCTTTAAAAATGTACACCCCCCATCATATTATTGTTATAGATCAGTATTACCTTATTATTTAGTTTCCCACATGTGTAAAAGTAAAGTAAATATTCTCAAGACCTACTAACATCAAATGTAAACTTCTCCAGATAAACTGGTACTCCTTTACTACTCTTATCTGATGCTGCTCCTGGTAACCAGATCCAATAAAAATAAGTTCCATCACTACAGAACCCCACTGTAGTTTGTGGACTCTCTTTGGAATAATCATCAGGTTTGGGTATTGTTTTAATGACCTGAAAATAAAAGTTGGATCATTTTAAAATACTAGTCAATGATTTTGGATGTTTTTACGAAACACATTGATATTATTGTATAGTAGTATTTTATTGGATTGAAGATTCAATTTCAAGAATGAATTAAGAACAATTTAAATACTTGCTTGCCTCTCACAAATACTGCAGATTTAAATCAAATTTTATAGCGAGCCCTCATTAAATCTGTCAGTATTGTTTCTGATTTTTTTTCTTTAGCAGCAGTACTCAACGAAATGGAAAACTTATGCCTGACAGTATGTTTAATGTCAGAACCAGATGATGGAAAGACAAAATATTTTGAGAAAATTGTTTGATCTGGCCTATTCAGAATTTGAAGAATTCTAAGTTAAGCTTTTAAAAATTTACACAAAAACATTGTCACTGATTTAAAACATTTTAAACAGAAATTCAACCTATCTTGTGAAGTAATTTTATTTGTGTATGTTGGTTTTAAGGATGTATTAGTCATGTCAGGTTTAGGAATTTTTGTCAGATGTTCAGACTCCTTGGTTTTTTTACTAAGAAACAGGGTAAAATATTTTGCCCCATATAACCAAATTTTCTATTCATATAAGACATCAATAGCTCATAAATGGTCATTTACCAAATTTAAGCAGATTCTAAATTTCTTTTCTTACGATTTGAGACCAAAATAATGGCAATGCTAAATACAAGTGAAATATAAGGAAAAAGTCAGAGTCAGCTTTTTCCTGCCATTTTAAAAATTAATTATTTTGAAAAGGAGTTCTACAACATATCAATATTTTTAGCTTATTTTTTTTTTTAACTTATGCTCTACTGATTTATAGTATCAATTTTAAATTCAAGATTTTTTTAATTTCACCTAACTACATCCTTAAGTAAACACATTTATACCTGCAAAGTGTTTGGATGCAACACTTGACACAAAGAATTAATGTCAGCTTCTGTGTCAAATGATTGTGGTCGACACAGCAAGGAACCTGAACCATATGCCAATCGTCCAACATTCACATCAAAGTTTCTACTGTACACATAGCCTCTGTATCAAGATAGTAAAAAGATTATATACAATATACTGTAAATTGGGAAATTTTGGTGGTTTTCTCTCATAAGTCATGTGTTTTATTTTGGTATGTGTAATTTTGGTGCTTTGTCTAATTGATATGTTTAATTTTGGACCAACAGTAGTGAGCAGGCTCATTCATATTTGCCTTTATTTACCCGTTTATTGACAAAATAGCATTCAATTTCTCAAACTAGAAACACGACAAAGTTAACTTAATGAAGGAATTGGATAGGGATGCAATTGCAAATAATTCCGTATATCGTGGTTCAAAGCTGAAAGAAAATATGAAACATTAAAATCACTTTTTAAATAGATTATTTATTTTTTGCAAATATCATATGAAATAAATTTAAATACTCTTTATTGTAGTACATGTTAATCTATTGGCGATCAAGGATTTAAATTTTAATCCTTATGCCTCTGGCAGTACATGTTAATTAATTGAATATTAAGGATTACAAGGCGTTTTGATTATAATTACCAATAACAGTGTCTAATCAGCAATAGCCTGGCTTTTTATGACATGTGTGAATAAATATTCATGTGTTTTCTTAAAAATTTCAGAAAATTGACAATTCAGTAAAAATTATATAGTGTCGTTGTCAAATTATACCAGGTATTTATTTACAGATTTGGCTATGTATAGAATTGTTGGAAATATACAGAAGATATAATAACATACAATATTTTCCCCAACAATTAACATTACGATATTGTGGTAGCGGTACACGATTTTAGCATTTCAATTTTTAGTGTTTGCTTTATTTTCGTGTGTTTAATTTTGGCACTTTCATTGGAGGCACCAAATAAACCAAAATAAAACTACAACCAAAATAACCCAATTTACGGTAATTAGAACCATGACTGTTGCTGATTGTCGGTAGAATTTTAAAACATCAGCACAATAATGTCCACACTGCAATAACATGTTTAACCCACACCACTTTCTGTATGTGCCTGTCCCAAGTCAGGAGCCTGCAATTCAGTGGCTGTCGTTTGTTGCTGTATGTCATATTTGTTTTCGATTATATTTTTGTACATAAATCAGGCATTTTTCATTACACGGCCCTTTATAGCTTGTTATGTTGTATGGGTTTTGCTAATTGTTGAAGGCTATACCATGACCTATAGTTTCTAAGTTCTACATCATTTGGACTCTGTTGGGAGAGTTGTCTCATTGGCAATCATACCACATCTTCTTATATTTATATTAAGATATTTATCAGTTTCTCTCTCTCTCTCTTACTTGTAGTCATTTTAAGCATCAGAATATATCCCTGATCTTTTAAAAAATAAAAGTTCTCTATGGTTTGTCAAAAAATATTGTGATTAATTTCAGAAACACAATGATATTTGAAAATTCTCTATATGCCAGGACGCTATCTATATTTTGCAGATAACATTGTATATATATATAACAACACTGGATGGATGGATGCCTGGTATTTCCATGTCCCCCACAACGCGTTGCGCGGGGGACAATAAAAATATTTTTTAATCCAATTTCAGAGAGTTTTACATGCATCATTTTTCTCTCCCAAAACAGTAAATGTTAATATTTCTTTGTTCTCTTGAGTATATATTCCATATAAATGATTTTATCTGTCCTATCGTTGAACCAAATTTGTTCATTTTAAAATATATATTGACCTGAATATCCAACATAAACCTATCAGAGAGCTAGCAGCACATCTCCCTCTATTACTGTGACCTTACCTGAGTGTTCCACGTAAACCTGTTCCAATCTTTGCCACACCCTTTCCTTGGGTATTTGTGGTATACAGAAACTTTCCATCACAAGCCACACTGCGCCCAGCATCTGAATCTATACAATAAAATTGTTCTGTGATTGATGTAAAGACAATTTAGTTTCCTTTATATCAACAAATATTTTAACCACAAAAAGTATGGCTACAATATTGCAAAAAAAAAATTAGAGATATTTTTTCGGAAAGTAATTTCTTTTTTTCCACAAAAGTTTTTCAAGTTGTGTTAATTCCTTATTGTTCCAGTCTTTACAATTAATCACAGGCTCACCATCTTAGCCTTGTAAAATTGCTGTTAGGTCTGTAAAAATCAGGGCTACAGGCCAATTGAATTTAACTAAAATTGATGTCAAAATGTCTAACTTTCAGGCCTGTGGATTCATTTATCATGAAAACTGTTATTTGTGGGGTATTAATTCTTGTGGTCAGTTGTGGATTTAGTATATACATGTTAACCACTAACTTCAACAAATCAACAAAAACATATTTCCTAAAGAAACCTGATGTTCAGTGGTTGTCGTTTGTTAATGTGGTTCATAAGTGTTTCTCGTTTTTTATATAGATTAGACCATTGGTTTTCCTGTTTGAATGGTTTTACACTAGTCATTTTTGGGGCCCTTTATATCTTGCTGTTCGGTGTGAGCCAAGGCTACGTGTTGAAGGATGTACTTTGACCTATAATGGTTTACTTTTACAAATTGTGACTTGGATGGAGAGTTGTGTCATTGGCACTCATACCACATCTTCTTATATCTATTAAAGACTTGCATGCAGATATTGCTAAAAACCATAACATCAAGTACTGGGATTTACAATCCTTTTTTCTCAACTCTTTACAATGGAACTCATGAAAAAAAATTAATCCACAATATTATCTTCTGTAATAAAGGCTGGATGTGCCTAAGTTTTGGTTGGTCAATTTTTTAAGAAAAGAAAAGTTCTTAAAATCATGTTTCTATATACATGATATAAATCATTTTTTTTTCTTGTTAAACTTAAAAGCATTAAAAACAATTACTGGACTCATGGAAGATTAATGTAGTGAAAAAATTTATTTGAAGTCACATAGATTCAGATTTTACTTCTGTAAAAAAAAATTTTGTATACTTCGTACCTTTATTTTTATCTTTTTCTTTCTCTTTAGGCTCTTTCTCAGGACTAGCTAACATGTCCTCTAATGCCCAACATAGTACATGTTTATTCCCTGACAATCCTGGTGGAGGACCCTGTCCTCCCTCTGTTTCCAGTAGTTTGACCAAAATATCTGATACAGGTAGGGATTGTAGGTCTGACAAACTTTGTAGTAAATGGATTGTATGTATAAATGTTTTCAAATGGCCTCTGAAAATATATACATGTATGAACGATTAAACATCTTGTAGTTTTATAGAATTATTGCTAAATACAGTTTGTACAAGTGTATACATGAATTTAAACAGTCATTTTCAGAGGATAAAAAATCAATTTCTTCATTAAGTCTTTTCTTCAATAATTCTTTATAGACAGTTTTGCACATTTTTTGATACATTGTTTATTTCTCTGATTTTATAGTATCATGTATACACAATGTACCTCATTGCTATTTTATTTCTATCCGGATATGTTCTGAAATTATTCAACTTTTTCATGACATCACAAACCAGTTGTAGATAACTAAAATCCTAAATATATATATTTAAATAATGCATTGTGCATTAAATATCAAAGAGACATATTCAAACCATCATAACCACTTCAAACAGACTTTGATTTGTCTTTAAAAAGTTGGTTCATAAACATGATAAACAATCAAAATTTCAAAATGTTCTCTTTCATATTTTTCCCACCCTCGGCTCATTACTCTGTTACTAATGACCTTTGTTTTTGTGACACTTGACCTCAATATGAAGTTGCCTAAATAAATGGTATTTTTTTCCAGATTGGACTAAAGTTGTCAGACCACCAATTTAAAATCCCTAACTATTCAACCAAATTTTGCAATTTTCACAGCTTTATAAATATTTTCCCTTTAGTTTGACTTCATAGAAACCATGTATAATATATATCCTGAATTGTACATGTATCACCTTTCTACATGCCAATTTTCAACCAATGTTTAAAGTCTTGTAGCAAAATACTACCATTCAGAAGTCAAGTAAACACTTTAGTGTCTGCTTCAGTCGATTCAATTACATGTAGTTTATGTAAAAGATTTGAACTGGTTTGGTCATTAAATACGCTCAAATTTTAGCTTAATTATGAAGAATCTCTCAGATATGCTACAAAATATAACTTTTCAGACGTTTTTTTTCTTCTAAAATGAAAGTGGCCGCATTCGTGTTCAGTCTCAACCTTTATATATACATGTATTATGTATTATCATCAAATACAACATATACATTGTAATCAAATATTAAGACTGAACACAAGTGCGGTCACTTCCATTTTAGACAAAAACCTTTGAAAATTAGCACAAATGCTAAAATTGTGAATATTTCAGTAATTTTGCATGAATTAATGATGCTAGTATCTGATGCATGCATGTGCATTGTTTTATCAAAAACAGCCCATATTTATGTATCAAAACTATTCTACTTTCCAATAAATACATGTAGCTAAAAGTTAACATTTTTACCAATTTTTTAAAATTCTATTTTTTGGGGGCAAAAAGGGGTCTTACCGGGCCTAATCCTTTGTTTGTTAGTTTGTTTAAGTAAACAATGACTTAAGCTTTAAATGCACTACTTTTTGTGAGGAAAGGGCTACTTTTGTTGAAGGCCGTACTTTGACCCATAATGGTTTACTTTTACAAATTGTGACTTGGATGGAGAGTTGTCTCATTGGCAATCATACCACATCTTCTAATATCTATAAATTGAAGTCAAGATGAATTAGTGGTCTGACACCAAAATAGCATTAAGGGGTATCCAGTTTGAAAGCAAACATTTTAGTGAAGTGTACTAATGAACTGTAAAATATAATTATATTCGATAATATTGCTAAATAAACACACAAAGAGGCAATTTCATCCATACTTATAGGATTAAAAATGCTGACTGTTGCAATTTAAAAAAAGTTACCTGTGAACTGCAGTTTGAAAATTAATTAGTGTAATGTACATGTACATGATGTATTTACAAATGTAGATTAAAATGCTCAGATTTTTATAAATATCTATGGCTGATCTTAATCATAAAGAATGAACATATTTGAGGTTAAAAAATCTGATAAAGACGACAACCTTGCACTTGCAAGAGCCACTAGGGCTGCAGCTGCACTTGTTCGTTGCTGAATATCTGTAACTAAAACTGGTGTATCTTTGTCCTTTTCTTCTAAAAGCCAGCTGCATAAGAGGTTTTCTAAACCACGAAGACAATCCCCTGGTTCTTTTGCTAGACTTATTGGTGGACAATCTCGCAGACAGTCCAAGAGTAACTGTGCTGTAACACCACATAATTTTGGATCAATTCGACTTTGAGACTGAAGTAATGGCAAGACTAAAAGGACACTGATACGTGTTGAAAATGATGCTTGCTCTGGTTCTTTTAAAAGTCCTTGCTTCTTCAATATATTTAAAGTTTCTTCACTTGATGAGGAATCTGAATCTTGCTGTTCTGCACCTACAAACTGTCTCTGTGCACACCAGTATCCCCTTAAAGCATTTAACCTGTATTCTAACAATCGAGCATATGCATTGTTTTGGGTACCACATACAGCAAGAAGCCTATCACTTAGCTCTTTTGGGCTTTTCAAATCAAAGGTTATGACTTCGTTGTCGCCTCCCTGAGTGTTGTTGACATCCCGAGGAAGTTCTACCAAATCAGTGACTCTGATCAATCCGTCATGCAAAAACAACGTCTCTTCTGTAACTGACATCCATTGAAAGCAATCCTGAAATGCAGATGTCATTGTATTAATATTCCGAAGGTTTCTCGGCAACAATTTGCCGTCACATTTTAATTTAGAAATGATGTTAGTTTGGCAATGTCATCTGCTGGAATCCCAAAAACCAAAATACAACATCCCTATCTCGTAAGCGCTTTATACATATGTGTTATACTATTCATCTAAAGCACTTTGCTACCCAGATCTTTCCGATCTAAATTTGAGGATTTTGTACTGAAATTAGCAAAATTTCCAGCACTAGTAGAAGATTTTCTGTACAATATTTTAACCATAGTAAGGAAGTTTTATTGGGTTTTGTATCGTGGCCGAGTTTAATATGAGGCAGGCGTTACCTGTGAAAGGGGACGAAGTCTGTATGAATTATTTTTTTTTAATTCAAACATATGTTTTAACTTCAAAATCTGTTCAAAAAGAACGGAAATACCCTTACGTTTCCGATTTCGGTTCTGTTGTTCGGAATTTTAGTTGTGACGTTATTTATATTATGACGTCATATTCAATGTAAACAAAGAAACGCTATCAGGTAACGTTTTTTCATATCAAGTCATTCAAGGAATTATTAAAAATGGAATTGGTATTGCGTTCCTTCCTATATTTTACTAGACTGATAAATATATATTTTACTCAAAGACTCATGCAAACGAGACCGGAAAAAGGAAGTAGATTTCTGCGCAAATGCGGGAAAATAAAAAAGTCTGAAAATAAAAAAGTTAACGATTTTGAGTTCATTAGTACAATGAAAATTTCGGGAAATTTTCCCGATTTTTTTTTTTTTTTTTTTTTTTTTATTGATTTTTCTACCGTAATAGGGGACTTCGTCCCCTTATTATCTGTATCAGATAAAGAAAAAAAAATACTGGAAAACTTGTGTTAAAAAAGGGGGGTGGTTGCAGACTACAATACAATACTCAATAGACATGCAATAGACAGCTTTCCAATTTCAGTTTATGAATGAATTGCAGCAGTTGACCTATGGTTATTTTGGGAAAAATGCGTCATTGTGATGTCAAAATATTTGCTTTGTGATATACCATTTTTTTCGGAGTCAAATGAGGTCAAATGAAGTAATTAATTAAAAGATTGTGTATTGAACATTCAATAGAACCTTATCGCTACAATTCAATATTTGAATTAAATTTTGAAATTGTTTATAGTCTAATAAGAAAATTAAATTACCTCTAACACCATACAGATGATGATGATAATGATGATAATTCGCCACTTCCGAGATACAGTAGTCAGTTACACTGTTTATTATATACTTAGTAGTAAATACAGATAAATTGTATGTGTAATACAATCATTGGCAAGCGTGCTATATCATCCAACCGTGATGATATCGATATCAGCATGGTTGCAAAGGCTTTAACACACCTTTAATCTGTATGACGTCACATCATCGATTGCAAAGGCTTTATCAAACCCCTAATCTGTATAACGTCATGTCAAACCTATAATCTGTATGACGTCATTTCAAACCTCCTTACCTGTATGACGTCATGTCACATAAAAAACATCTACATGAGGTATATGTATATAATAAAGTGTATATGATATGGCTTTTTCAATATCACACACCGTATCATAGGCGGATCCAGGGGGGGCCTGGGGGGTCCAGGCCCCCCTTTTGTGGGAAAAATTTGGTTGATTATATAGGGAATCACTGAAGCATGACTGGAGCGGGCCCTCTCCCTTAGGTCAGTCAGCGGGCCCCCCTTATGAAAAGTTCTGGATCCGCCACTGCGTATCAACCCTCAACCAATATAATCCCTCGAGCAGAGCTGTTGGGATTATATTGGTGTCTCGGGTTGATACAGATGTGATATTGAAAAAGCCATATGATATTCTATATATATCTGTCATGTGACTTTTGTCACCATGTGACAAATATGTAGTCATTGTAACTTCCAACACATAATAAGCGAATGGGGGATAAAGTTTCATGCTATCTCGAGGATGCTATACTGCCTGAAATGTTAGGGAAATTAAAATCTAATTAGTAATTGGTCATCCTCACTTCAGTCACATGGGACATTGAAATTACGTACCTACGGAGCATAAATTATTTCTAGACTACCCTGCAGAATGACTATCCTGAAGATGATTGAAACTTTAATAGGTGAAGGGATAAAGGCACGCCTTCTCTCTGGTAAATGACGTCATAAAAGAGTGTGTAATTGACAATCTTTTACGATGAAAGACATGATTAGAGAAATAGCCTATATACATGGATTGGTGTTTGAATTACAATGGCAAATATTACATACATATATGATGTTTCATGTTAATATGATATGAATTTGGACTCTGCTTTGTAGTAAACCAAATCACTGAGGTAAAATTTTTACCATGTTAAATCAAAATGTTAGTCTGCACTGCAGGAGGACATAACATGTCACCTTACCCAGACATACATGAATTATTTTGACTCCAAGCCAACCTGGTTTGCTCTTACCATGCTTACGTCCTTAATACCTTGTTCCTTGCAGAGAAGCAGCAAATACCGATTTTTAAGGTTTTGGTTTGAACCAGCAGTCAGGGGTACTACTTGTACAAGATATTTTTATTTACTTGGAAGAAGTAGATATTAATATACTTATATAAGTAAATTTGTAAGATACTTATACAAGTGTATTTTATTTACTTGTATAGGTAAATTATTTTTTGGCTTAGTTATGTCCCTTAGACATTCAGATTTTTTTACTTGTACAATGTACAAGTAAAAAAGTCATCCTATCTTCTTTTCTTGAATTTCTTAGGACTTCTTTGCTCTAATAGAATTTTTAATTGGCTGTCCTTTGCAGATGTCTTTACTAATCATTTAAGTACAATTTCATGGACAATGAAAATCTCATTTGTCTGTTATCTTCAAAATACTGCTCATTTACAAGCCTCCAAGGGGCAATTTTTGAAGGCCTTGTGCAAACACTTAAGATCTTTGTGCAATTAGTTTCTTTGTTGAATTAATGAGTTGAAAGGTTGAACTCTAATAAAAAATTATGAGCTAACCAGAGAAAAATTGTTTAAGGCATGTTTTTACATCCCAAACTTGAGAATTTTCAATGATTTTAGGGATTGTAAAAAAAAATTACTTATACAAGTAAATTTTTTGAGAAAATTAAGGGGAGATTATTCAAATTTTATAAGAAAATATGAATACAACAAATTTACTTATATAAGTATATTATTATTTACAAGTAAATAAAAATAACTTGTATAAGTAGTACCCCTTACTGACGACCAGTCGGGGATCAGACCCACATCCTATTGCATCTGAGGCAAAGTGTGAAACCACCCAGGCCAAGCATTCATAAGGCATGTTAGGAGGTGCTATTCAGTACTTTGACCTTGCTATACTGCTGATAAGTACCACCTAAATTTAGGAATTATTATATAAGGTATTCATGGAATATATTTTGAAAAGTACCACCTACAAATGGAAAAATTACCAGTCAAAATGAAAAATAATGAAAAACCTGGGCACCTATAAGCAGTTCTAACACCATAATCTGGCACCCATGCCATCAGGTAATTGTAAAAAAATCAGTTATTTAGTCATAATTTAGTATACATATTACGTGTCCTATCCTATTAATGAATACACTGTTAAATAATAACTGTAAGGATGGAAGTTTTTTGTAAGGAGTATATTCATGATATTTGTGAATCTAAATGATGATAAAATCATCCCTGATGCATAAACATTATAAATATGATATTTAAGGAAAGTCAGAATTTCTGGAGAAAAAAACTTTTAATGCAGATCATTTTTTTTTTTTTCAGGAGGATTTTTTATCATTCTTACCTGCACATGTTGAAAAAACTTTTAACAGATTTATGAATGCAAGCAACAAAATATATCTGAATCTATTTGCTGATGTTTCCATAGGAAGAGCTGATCATTGACAATGCATTTACTTCAAAGTCACGTAATCACATACTGTAAATTCAGAAATTATTGCGTGCATTTATTATTGCGATTTTTGAAGAATGGACATAAATGCGAGATTAATTATTGTGATTTCTGGAAAATATGCATACAGATATATGTATCGGATATCTAAATGCGAGTTCTTATTATTGGGATACTCACTCAGTCGCAATATTCGCAATAATAAAAACCTCGCAATATTTTCTGAATTTACAGTAGTATACTTGGTATAAGTAAGATATTTTTTAAAGAAAGTACAATATGGCTGAAGGAAGTTCCACTGAATCTCAATTTTCAAATTCAAGCATAAAAAGCTATGTTAGGTTAGGCTTAGTTGCTCAAAAAGAACTTCCAAATTTACTACGTGAAATCCTGTTGAAAAAGGAGCCACCTGATCTTCTTGAGGATCATCTTCGCAAAAACAACTTTTTGTCACGTATTTTTAATGAACGTGAAATGAATATCATTAAAAATGCTTGCACAAACCAGTACAGTGACTTTGACATACCTCTTATGTACAAGATTATAAGACATTTAAAGTTAGTGCGTGCTCCAACAGGAGAATGGCACAACAAGATTATACCAACCTGGCGTGATATTAGTGTGGGGGATGATGTAAACCGAATTAGATGGATCTGGAATGACATAATATACATGTACAGAGAAAATGTCAACTTGACTGACGCTGAATTACAGATTTACTTCTCATTTTTGCATGACATAGCTGGTAGACTCGAAGACTTCCTTGAAAAACCAAAACAATTCGTTAAAATATTTAAAAATATACAAGCCTGTCAGATTGATCAAGAGATTCAACAAAGATGCTTAAGCTGGTTGAAAGATTTGGCTGAGAGTGAAAATGCATTAAATTCTGGTGATGTTCACAGGGATTGTACTGGTTAGTATGAAGGGTCATATTTAGCAATTACCACTCCAAATTAAACAATTCAAAAATTATCAATTATTTGGTATCATATACTGTAACCATTATAAAATAATTATTCGAAATTATTCAAAATTTCGTAGACAGTAAGGTCTAGATGAAATAGATGAACATGAAAAGTCCATGACAAATTAGAATAAATTCAATCACCGATAAGTTTTACAATTGATGAGTTTTCAAGAATCTTATTTTCAGCTTTTAGAACAAATTCTTTCAGTGGGAAAACTGTCTTTTTCTTGTTCTTATCATTGAAAAACTAAAATTTGAGCGAATTCAAAATTAAGAAAACTAAAACTAGTACAGGGTCAAATCAGTTGCATCTTCAAGGTACACACATGAGGTAAATCAGGGTCTGGATCACACCAGGAAACTCGTATATCCCTCCCTAAATTCTTGGAGGAAATTTGGAGGTCTCTCTTTGATTACTGCATTGACCCCCCCCCCCCCCCCCCCCCCCAAATGTACTGTGTAAATTCGCTACATTTTGTTTATTGTGATAGCGTCATCTCTCCCAACACTAATTGCCCTAACTAATCTGGCTAACTCGATTTTGTAGTCACCAATTTATTGATTTTTATTACTTCTGATGAACTATTAATCAATTATCAACCACATCGTGTTGGGAGCAATTTTTGGAGGAATTTGAGAGTCAACTCTGTGATTCGCAGTGTGACACTGCTATACATCGAAATCGGTGAAAAGAGTTCACGAGTCGTCTCTCCCTGGGAGTACTGTCTGGGAGTCCTCGGACTAACTTCTCGGCTCAGAAGCATTTCAGTAATGAAATGTCAGTAGCAGTGTTAGTCTTTTTTTTTTTTAGAAAAGTATACCACATTTATATTGCATTTATTATATAAAGATTAATTTATAGAAAGAGCCATAGTCACATTGTTTATAAGTCTATGAGAAGAACACTGACTTACCTATAACAAGTTCATAGACATGGTAGGATTCTTATCGTTTTGAACTGTTACTTACAGAGGCTCTGGGCAGAACACTGTTCAGTACTAAAGAGGGTCTGGATGGGGTTTACGGAATACAGAATAATAGGCAAAAAGTGAAGAATAAATGGCTAATAAAATAAAAAATAGACAAAAAGAGTCAAAATTATGAAGAATAGAGAATAATGTGCAAAATATTTGAAGAACAGAGAAAAAAAGTCACAAAAATTATAGAATAAAGAAATGAAGGACCCCCTATCCAGACCCTCACGAACGACTGGTCCTTGAAATTTAAACGTTTGTATGTTTGTGACGTTGTTCTCCCTTGGTATTCACATGGTAATAGTATACCATTGTAAGTTTATTAAATTATAGAAAAACAAAATGCATACATTTAGTGATAAAAATGAAAAACTTTTTTTCAGAAGTCGTGGAATTATATCATATATAAGTGAGCATTTACATCCTATACAAGCCAATGTAATTATGTATGTTATATCTTTTGTGATTTTTATCGTTTCATTATTATTTTTATTTACAGCTCTTAAGGTAGTGCAGGATTTTCAAAGGAAGGTATTCACACTGCCGTATTCCAGAGAAGAAATAATCCCAGAGAAAAGAAGAGGTATTTATTTGCTGGATTGGCTACATGCTAATTAACTGTAGAGGATTGTAAAACTCGGGTCAAGATTTTGTCTCCCTCATCACATACTGTAGATTTTTTTTTTATTCGGTTGATACCTATTTTCATGGATTTCATTGTACATGTGAACCACAAGTTTAAATGTTCAACAAATTACAAATTTTTTGTAAGGTTGTATGCAGACTTTGGGAAAAACATGAAATCAAATATTGACGAAAATGCGAGTTACCTCACTCCACAACAATTGGTACTCATGAAAAATAAATGAATCCACAGTATGGACCTTTTTTCTATCAGTTTGCAATCACAGTTTGTTATAAAGCAAAAATTCTTACAACAAGCATAAAATTAAATACAACTTGAAAGGATTACATCACAAGTATTGTTTTCCTCCTAATTATTTAGGAGTTTCCCATAGGCTTTTATCATTTCTACATTTATATGGGAGAGTTCATTGGATTAAAATGTGTTTCAATTTACATTAGTAATAAAATGAAGCTTTATAAGAATGTTTTACATCATAAGTAATTGTCTTCTTTTTTTTTTAATCAGATTGCATTTCAGGGTTTCTCAAAGGAAGAATATTCCTATTCAAAATATTGTCTAAACTAGTTCTGTTGCTTAAGGACATACGATACAATAGCAAAGGTAGATAATAATGCATTCAAATTTAACACGTTGTTTTTGCAATGTTGCTATTGATAAGTATCCAAAATTTGTGGAAAAATCACTGACATCATCAAATCTGTTACATTATTTTGAAAGTATTTGCAAAGGAAAACAAAAATGTTGTATATTTAAGCACACTAAATCTACTACGCATTCCTGTCAACCTCTGAAAATGAAAATACAGGTCATGACATGCATTGCGGGGGGCATACAAATCAAGGCACATCAATAAATTTGTATATAACAGTAACTGGTATAGCATTTTGATGTACACCCTGAATAGCTGCACGTCTATGTTGAGTTAAAAATACACTGCTACATAATTAAGCGCCAAAAAAGGGAAATGGGACAACCAGCATTTAATAAAACTAAATTTGCTACTTCTAACTAAAAAGTAAAATAACAAAAATACCGAACTCCAAGGAAAATTCAAAATGGAAAGTCCCTTATCAAATGGCAAAATCAAAAGCTCAAACACATCAAACGAATGGAAAACAGCTGTCATAATCCTGACTTGGTACAGGCATTTCCTTATGTAGAAAATAATGGATGAAACCTGGTTTTATAGCAGCTAAACCTCTATGAAAGTTGCATAAAATTCCATTATATTGACACCAATGTGTGAACAAAAAGATGAGCACATTGACCCCCATTTTTTTCTTTTGCAATCAATAATATACTACAAGAATATTTTATTGAAATTGCAATAAATATCAACAGTATAACTTTTTCTATATACAATTATATTGCAAGAAAATTATGTATTAGTAATTGTTTTTTGTTGACACCGATAAAAATGTTTTATTAAGATCCTGAATAGATGAGTTCCTATCGACATGTAATGTTATGGTATGAAAATCTTTCAGTACCAAATTAAAGCACTTTAATGAATTATATTATGTTCAATAGTTATGTATACATGAATACATTTTATGTTCAACAGGGTTAGAAACTTAACTAAATTCCTTTTATACGAGCTTGTAGGGCTAGTTTCATTATCATTCTCTTAGCCCTCCAATAACTTCACTAGCCCTCCATGTGCCAAAGGCACTTGGACGGTCGTGCCATCATTTTTGATGCACTTAAATCAATAGATATGTATATATGTATATATGTATACACGTGTCCGAAGTCAGGAACCTCTGGCCTGTGTTAGTCTTGTAAGTTTTTTTAATTTTGGTTCATTTTATATATGATTCAGAGTTTAGTATGACGTCCATTTTCTCTGTACTAGTACACATTTTTGTTTAGGGGTTAGCTGAAGCCGGTCTCCGGGTGCGGGATTTTCTTGCTGTGTTGAAGACCCATTGGTATCCTTAAGCTGTTTTCTGCTCTTTGGTCAGGTTGTTGTCTCTTTGACACATTCCCTGTTTCCATTCTCAATTTTATGTATAAAAAAATTGTTATTTCATGCATGTACCTTATTCTCAAATTTCAGATGACATCAAAATGAAGATAGAGAAATGGAGAAGTATGGATGAAAAGTTTGTGGCAACAAGAGCTGCTGATAATGCCATGAAATGTATAGAAGAAAATGGTTGTGTGACCATAACAGGCAATGCAGGGGTAGGAAAATCATTCATAGCTCAACATATAGCTCTTGCATTAGAGAAAGGCGGCCACCAGATAATACCAGTTTTAAAACCATCAGACATTATAGATTTCTACCACCCTCATAAATTTCAGCTCTTTGTAGTAGATGACATTTGTGGGAAATTTACTGCAAACCAACAACAAATTGAAAATTGGCGACAACTGATACCTGTTATTGAAACAATAATGGCAGGCAAATGGTGTAAAATTATTGCCACATGTAGGTTAAATGTGTTCAAAGATGATAAGTTTAATATTTTATCTCCTTTTAAGACTTGTGAATGTAACTTGACCACAGAAGACTTATTTCTTACATCTGTTGAGAAAGCAAGAATAGCAGAAGTTCATATTGGTACATGTATCAAAGATCTAGATGAGATATCTAAACATCATGAGTACTTTCCTCTTTTGTGTAGTTTGTATCAGGAAAAAGAAGGGTTGGATGTTAAAGAGTCATTCTTTAGCAATCCATTTGAAGTCTATAGAAATGAAATAGACAACATGAGTAGACAAGGGGATGAAGAGAAGTTTAAAGTATGCGGCCTTGCTTTGTGTGTTCTCTTCAACAACCAGTTGAAAGAAACATGGTTTCACAGTTGTAAAGTAACAGACCAACAAAGGCAGATCTTGGAAGATACATGTGTAGGTTGTAGATTAAACAAAGAAACATCAAAAGTAGACCTGAAAGATGCACTGGAAAAGTTAGAGGGTACATTTGTTTGTAAACAAAATGGGGTTTATAGTATCATACATGAAGTACTCTTTGACTGCCTGGCTCATTACTTTGGTCAGAGAATGATTGAATGCCTGATAGAGCATGGTGATTGTGATTTCATCAATAAACGCTTTCTGTGGAAGAACTTACCAGATGATCAGGGGAGTAATGTTGAATTACTTATCCAGATACCAGATGATAAATTAGATTTGTTTCTAGAAAGACTTGTACAGGACTGGTCTGCCGGCAAAGTTTTAAATTTGTTTAGCAACAACAATATGAAAGAACAAGCATTCAGATATCAGTTGCTGCAATACTTAGAACGACTTGACAAATCTCAACAGATTAAACTGTCCAATACGAAGAATACAGTGACACCAGAAGACATTTGTGACTTAGAAGCTTATCCACTGATATGGGCATCTTATTTTGGTTATAGCAATATGGTGAAGTGGTTGTTAGAAAACAAAGTGAACGTGGATCATTGTAGACATGATGGAGTAACTGCTTTGTACATGGCATGTCAAAATGGTCACAATGCAATTGTACAGCTGTTATTGGACAAGAATGCTAATGTCAATCTATATAATGAAGGTGGTATGACTCCACTATATATTGCAAGTAAGAATGGTCATTTAGATATCGTCAGGATGTTGTTAGAGGAGAATGTTGATGTGAATCTGTATGATAGAGATGGCAGGACTCCACTATATGTGGCATGTGACGATGGTAATACAGCTGTGGTATCTGCAGTACTAGAGAAGAATCCTGACGTCAATCTTAGTGATTCAGAAGGAGAAACTCCTCTGAACATAGCATGTTATAAAGGTCTTACTGATGTGGTATTTGCATTACTTGAGAAAAATCCTGATGTCAATCTGTGTAATATACTTGGGGATACACCTCTATCCACGGCTAGCGGGGAAGGTCACAATGATATTGCAGGGGCATTACTAGATAAAAACCCTGATGTGAACTTGTGTGATGACACTGGAGGATCAGCCTTGTTTTTGGCATGTCAGAAAGGTCACACTGATTCTGTGGCCAAATTATTACAGAAGAATCCTGAAATCAATCGGTTTGATGAATTCTACAACGACACTCCATTAACCACTGCGTGTGAGAAAGGATACACTGGTATTGTTGCTTTGTTATTACAGGAGGAAGCTATTGATGTTAATCTATGTGACAAACAAGATAAACTAAAAACTCCTTTGTCTTTAGCATGTTGTAATGGTCATACTGATATTGTGCGTTTGTTATTGGAGAAGAACTCAGATGTTAATCTGTGCGATAGAAGTGGTAACAGTCCTCTTTACTTGGCTTGTAGTAAAGACTATATTGATATTGTCAGGATGCTCCTTGAAAGCAACCCTGATATTGATTTATGCAATGAAGATGGAGAAACCCCCTTGATGATTGCAATCCAGAATGGTTGTACTGATATTGCATGTATGTTGCTTGAAAAGGATGCAGATGTGAATCTATATGACAGCAGTGAAACATCAACTTTATATTGGGCATGCTTAGAAGGTTATAGAGAAATAGTCTCTAAATTATTAGAGAATGGTGCTGATGTAAACCACCCTAATGATGATGGTTCGACACCTCTAATTGCAGCTTGCCAGGGCAACTATAATGATATAATCCTTATGTTGATAGAACACAAAGCTGACATTAATAAACAGATGTATGATGGAGATAATCCACTTATATCTGCTACCCATAATGGTTACCCAGATGTTGTAGAAGTTCTGCTTACTCATGGTGCGGACATTAACAGAAGTCTACATAATAAACACGTGTTGACTGGAGCAATTCACAACCTCCCAAATAGAATTTTACCAAGTGTAAAACGTGAGTGGTACGAGGATGTAATGATGAGCTTTGGTTCTTCAGTTACTAAAGAATACTTTACAGAGAAATCAGTAGACTATGTGTTTGATATTTTTGCCGGTTCACACCCTCTTCATATTGCTAGTTTCATGGGTCATACAGATATAGCCAGACTCCTTCTAGACCACAAAGCAAATGTCAACGTAAAAAAGAAGGATGGAACTACATCATTATTCTATGCCTGTGAAGTAGGACATGAAGATATTGTAGAGTTATTGTTAGAAAAAGGTGCTGACCAGAAGATTTGTAGAAAGGACAAAACCTCACCTGTTGACATTGCTACACGAAATGGACATGACTCTATATTAATGATGCTTAAGGGAAAGCAATGAAAAAAATATGCTTAATGCATTTTCTGTGGAACAGGTCAACTTTGACCTTCCTGAGCACCTGAGTCACCTTTGGTATTATTGAGATGTAGGAAAAGTAAATGACATGGAGATCTGTAGAAAGGACAAAACATGGACATAACTTTTTAGTAATGATGCTTGAAGGAAAACAGATAATAATTTTTTTTGGAGGAGAAATGTTCACGATCACCTGAGTTCATTATTTGTTTTTAATGACCGGATGTTGTTGATCAATTTTTAGTTTTCTGTTAATTGTATTGTGGATTATTGCATGTGGTCCTGATGTTGTCTGTCTGTCTTCAAATTAGGATTATTTGTTGGCCTGTGTTATGTTCTTGCCTGTAATACATTTGGTGCTACTCAAGTTTTATATTTTTTTCTAACATTTCTGTTCTCCATTTCTCTTTTTTTTTTACACTAGTACAATTCTGGTGCGCTTTCGCATTGTAATATTTACATTTCATTTTTGTATATTTTCTTTTCATCCATTCATTTTGCACTGTAAAATTATGTTTTAAAAAACTCATGAAAGATACCAAGCTTATAATTTTGTACAAGATGCGATTCAATTATACAAGACTCATCCATAAGGTAAAATAAATGAAAAGACCAAATAAATACGAAGTTAAATGAGCATTTATTATTGAGGACCAACAATTTACAGTTACAGTATATTTAACATGTACATTTAAATATGCATTCATCATTGTAACATATATATTTCACTAATTTTGTTAAAGAAAACTGGTATTCTAATCCACTGCCATTGTTTCCAATTGCTTATATACATGTATTTAAAAATAACTGTACTTGATATATACTGACAGACTTAAAAATATTGTGTATTTTTTGTGGAGCAGGAATTTGCTACTCTACTGAGTTGATTTTCTATGTTTTAAGGGATGCTGTTGCCAAATCATTGGTTTTTCAGGACAATTTATTTTGTCTTTTTTTAATTCTGGCATTCTTTCATGTTGTTTGTATGTCTTTAAAGTAAGATTTTGTTTATTGCTGAATTGTATCTGCTTACCTCTACTGGTTTTTGGTCTTACATATGTGCTCCATTTTTGCTGAACAAGATATTTTTCAGTGTCATTAGCCCATGCTATATCCACATTTTCATTTTTGTATGTATTTAGCTGTGGATTTCTCATTGTTACATTTTCATTTCAAGGGTTGTACCTTTATTTCAGATATATTTACAATGTAACATACATATTTTGATACTTTTGACCAAGAAAAATTGATATTCTATTCTGTTGCCATTATATTCAATTCTTACTTTTCATTAATAAACGTTTAAAGAATGTTGTATAAACCAAACCGCCTGGTGAATAAAAACACAATGGTAAATCTTACAACTTATGTAAGATTGCTTATTGCTTTTCCAATTTAAGTGTAACTACCTGATCAGTTTTTAGGTTTACCTATTTTTTTGATGTATGGAAAAATGTTGAAATCTTCATTTAGAAGGGTCAAAATATCACTAATTTCCAATGGCAGAAAATATCAAGAAATGTATTTAATTGTATATGTAGTTTTGAGGTCAAAAGGTATAAATTTTTCATTAAATTAAAATATTTTAAAAAACAATCCAGTTTTTTTTAAAATGATTCAAGCACTATGCAAATTTTTATGTTGGTTAATTTTAATGAAAAAATATGTCATGTTTCAAAAATCTGATACTTAAAAAAAAATGAACTTAGTATTGCATTTAAAAGCATTTTAGTATACATTGGTGCTATATACATGATATAAGTAAATGCATGCCATGGTATTTTCTTTACATACTTAAGTTTTATGTTTGTCTTTACAAATATGAGTTACATTATTTTGTTTACATTTAATTTATTGATTATACTTTTTATATTTTTGTTCAATTTTTAATTCAGTTGAATCATACAAATATCATATTGTGTTCATAAAAAGATATGCTGATACCCAGCTGGCTGTTTGTAAATCTACATCTGTGGTTTCTCTTTCAGGAGCAGAATGCAACTATTTAATATTAACTTAAAAATTGTGCAATGCTTTTTAAAATGATAAACACAAAGAGTCAGATAATATTCACAGTGCCATTGTATTGAAATTAAGAATACTTTTAGTTGTGTTATATTTTTTTTTCTTCGAATTTTTGTTTTGTTTTGTATTGTTAGTTATAATTTGATACTCATTAGTTGGCATAATTGTAATATATACATATAAGAAACTATATAAACATGAATATATTGTGCATATTTTAATAATAATTAATGCTCTTGTACTCATATGTTGCCATACCCTCAGTCAGAGTTGACCTTGGACTGTTTTGGTGTTTTTTTTAGGGTTTTTTTTCAGAAGCTCTGAAACATTTAGATATTTGGCTTCTTCACACTGGAATGTATCTGATGAAGTTTTAAAAAAAATGGTCACATGTTTTATGAAATAGTGTGTAGCATATTGTATTTGCTTAATATTTTTGTATATACTGCATGATTTTTTACATTTCAAGACTTTGATAGTGCATTACTTCCATGAACTCTATATTGTACAATTATTTTGAAGGATCACAATTTATTTTACAGTGTTAAGATTGTCTAAACATTGATTGCAAATATCTTATTTTCTATAGAAAGTTGAATCTGTAAAAAAACAGAAAATGTTGTTCTTCAAAATTTCATATGTGTTTCAATTCTAAAAAAAACTTCATCATAGATAATAGGCTTATTATTGAGCAAATCTTTAAGACTCTAGAAAAATGTGTTGCCATTTTGTGCAATAATAAGCAGTAAAAATGTTTAACAAAAATACAGAACTCCAAGGCAATTTGAAAAAGGGGAAGTCCATAAAAACTGACAAAATCAAACGCTATTAGTCAATTAAACAAGTGAAAAACAACTACCATATTCCTGACTTGGTAAAGGCATTTTCCAAAGAAAAGTAATTTTGACTCATGTTATTTAGAATTTATAAATTTTCAAAATTCACTATTATTGGTCAAACTTAACACCTTTCTAGTATTTTTTTTTTTTAGAATAGTTCAACTTTAAAATAAACTCATCATAGATACCAGGATTAAAATTTTGAATGCCAGACGGACATTTTGTCTAAAGAAGACTCATCTGTGACGCCTGACACAAAACTGTTACATGTAAAAAGGCCAATAGAATAGGAAGTTGAAGAGCATTGAGGACTCACAATTCTGTAAGGTTTTTCCAAATACAGCAAAGTTAATATTTTCCTAAGGTAGAAAATCCTTATTATTTTGAAAAATACAAAGTTTTGTAATTAGTTAAGATATAGAACCAGTTTTTACGATACAAACAAAGGTTAAAATTTGATAATTTCTAGGATATGATTTTTAGTGTTGCACTATTAGAGTCTCTATTTTAGCATTGATAGTTGTATATTTTATATAATTACCATCCTTTAATACTTTATGATTACATATATATTTATTATACTTAATGTGAAAATGCAGGATTCTGATTGGTAAATAAGAGGGGGACAATTTACTCTATTCCATGGCAAAGATTCTATTACCCTTCATGGAGATGCTTGATCAATTGTGCGCTTTAATGGGTGGTTGTTATGTACAAGACGTCATAGTTTATTAATTAATAATTTAATAGACAGTGATAACAGAACATTCAGTATAATAAATTAAATAACACATATCTGAGAGGGTGATAGAGCAGATTGTTACCCCTTGAAAAGACATTGTCAACCTTGGGTTCGCCTCAGTTGACAATGTTTTCTCTGGTTAACAATCTGCTCTATCATCCTCTCAGCTATGTGTTATTTATATAATATATATGTTTATTACATGCATACATTATGCATCCCTTTGTGACTTTTTACCTTTACTTGATGTATTTTAATGATGTCTATCACATTTTTTACTTATTTTAAAAAGAAATAGAAATGACTGTAAACTTGCTTTAAATGTATGAGTTAGTATAAAGAATGATCCAAGATGATAATTAGGATTTATTATTAAATTTATTAAAAGGACAAGGAATGAAATCAATATGATTAATGCGATTATTAATATTATCTCTTTAAAAATGTTTATGGTATGACAAGTGCTCTACTTTGAGCAAGATTAAAAGTTGTTAATACCAGTTTTTGATATGCATGTTAAGGAGTTAACAGCATTTAAGAACTTGACCTTCAGATTTGAAGAATTTGTCAAAAAACACTTTCACATAAGAACTAGAATTTTTTAATTCTTTTCGAGCCCAACCAGGATGTTAAACTAAGTAACAGAGTTTTGATAAGTTCTCATAATGGTATCTTAAATGGTTAAAGTCTGACCTGTCGGATATGAATATCTATCCTAAATTATAGAAGTCTTCCAGAAAAAAAACATTTATGAAAAAATCAAATGTGCCATATTAATGTTAAACTCTTCTGCAAATCATTTGTTTTTTGTTAAGTGAACTGTTGTATACAAATTTTTTTCTAAATGAGGAATTATTTATGCTTTTACATGTTTACATTATAGTCTGTGTCATTTTTTAAGATGTATACTTTTAAGATCAGTGCATACTAAATTTATAAATACCTTGTTTAGTAGGTATATGTCTTCAAACTTTTTCTTTTGTGCAAAACAAAAATTGTCACTATAAATATAAATTAATTCACCCTTTAATGACATAATCTCTTTAAGGTTGATACATCCAGATATTCATACACCCTTGACTTTCAATATTTTGGGTTTTTAGTGTTTAAAGGAGCATAAGCTACGAAATATATAAAAAAAAATAATATATGATTTTATGCGATCACTCTGGTTTTGGAGATGGTACAGAATACTAAGTTGAAGACATATCATGAAACTAATTATGTGTTTTTATGACTTGCAGAAACTTTCTACGCCATTTAAATCATTAACTGACAATTTTTGACATGTTATTTGCCCTTAGATTAAGAAAAGATTGGTCGAACAACCCTTTTATTTTAGATCTACACTTGGATATAGTTCCTTTGTAAATCAGAATTTATAATGAATTTTCCTTGGAGTTCGGTATTTTTGTTATTTTACTTTTTACTATTTATAAATTAATGTGAAAAAGTATTTGTACATCAATTGAATCAGTTGATAAGAATTTTGAAAGTATTATATTAGTATCTTATGCTTGTGTAAGTTATTGTTCAATGAAATTCGGGTCAACATTTGTATTAATATATCTAAGTTGATTCCAACACTTTTTTGAAATGGTATTACTCCAATTCTTTCCATAGGCAAGTAAGAGTTTGTATGATTATCAACTGATTTTCAAATAATTACACTCAAATGTGTAAGTATTAATTGGAAACAATTCCAGTCTTAATTCACCACAGTTAATATCTCATGACCTGTTACATAATGAAATAGGCACAATTTATTTTGATCTACACTACATTGAAATATTCTGTTAATTTTGCTAGCTAGCTTAATGAATAATCAGATGTGGTTTTTTTTCAAAGAAAAGACAGAAAATGAAAAAAATATGTATAAAAAATGCAAGCAAATTTTATTTCACTTGTAAAATCAGTGTCATTATCATCTGACAATATGATCAAAATGTTCTTCTACAGTTTCAGAAAATATCAAAATATCATCTATATACGAGATAGCAAATTTTAGATCTTGTAAGACTATTTCCATCAATTGACTAAATACAGCAGGACTATTTTGTAACCCAAATGTCATAACATTAAATTCAAAAAGTCCTCGATGACAAACGAATGCTGTTTTTGATTTATCTTCGTCTGTCATTTGGACTTGCCAAAATCCACTGCGAAGATCGATTAGGCTATAGAACTTTGCAGCCCCTAAAAGGGTCAATATATCGTCGATAACCGGTAACGGATATCGGATCGCTAATGAATTAGAGTTTAAATTTCTGAAATCAATGCAGAAACGTGTGGTTTTATCCTTTTTATCCACTAATACTACTGGTGACGAATAATTACTGTTAGACCTTCGAATAATGTTTGCTTCTAACATGTCAGTTATTGCCTTATTGACTATTTCCCTTTTTTGTAATGGAGTTCGATATTGTTTCAATTTAACTGGGGGATTATCACCCGTGTCAATCCTCATTTTAACAGTGTCAGTTTGACCTAACTCAGTATCCTTAAAAGCAAAAACATCTCTATTATTGTTCAATATTTGTAACACCCTACCCCTATAAGCATCAGGAACACTAAGATCAGTTTCAAAAACATTTTCAATTTCAGAGTGTTCTTGAGTAGATTCAAGTGAGACAACATTTTCTTCTAAAACCGGTGAAGCCCTGCCTATTGCTATGCCCCTTCTAAATTTATAAGTTCTATTCGTAGTAATAACTATAAGAACTGGCATTTGACGTTTTTCATTCATTTTTGCAACTGAATTAGCAACCATTAAACCTTGTTGAGAACTCAAATGCCCCTTAGTAATTGGTGAAATTTCAAAAGATTTAGAACTTGAAAAGGTATAATTTTTATTACCCTTTACATAACAGATATTGCTAGTCTGAGGTTTGAAGACAGTGGTACGAGCAAGGCTAACAATTGAAGCTATGTGAATATCTTCTACTAATGGTACATAAGTTTTATTTACCCTTAAACACCCCAAATCAAAATAAACTCTTAACACCAAATTTAACTAACCAATCACGGCCCAAAATTGCATTTCTGTTCATGTCAGATACTACATAAAAGGTATGATTCATTTTGTTTCCTTTCATGTTAAAGTCTAAATTTATACTTCCCAAAACATTTAAAGAAGCCCCGTTAACTCCTTGTAAATTGACTTTTCTTTTTTCTAATTTTGGTAATCCTTTAATTGAATTGTAAATTTTATTATGCAATAAAGATACTGAAGCTCCACTGTCAATTAAACTTCTAACTTTCATATGTGCTAATTTAATCAAACAAGAATTTGGATTTCCCGCTAAATTAATTTCAAAAGTTTCTACTTGATCAGTTTCACTTTGAGTTTGTTTTCGGTTATGTTATCCAAAGGTATTTGTTCATGATAAGGTTCAATGTTTCTATTTTGTACGTTTGAATTTCGCGCTCTAGCTACTTTATTTCTGTTAAATTTTGAATTTTGCGCCGTTTGTACTTCGTTTACTTCCGGTTTTGAATTAAAATTTCGCGCCATTTTTACTTTGTTTACTTCCGGTTTTGAATTAAAATTTCGCGCCATTTTTACTTTGTTTACTTCCGGTTTTGAATTACGATCGTTTGAATGTTTAAATTAACTTTTATTCCAGTGATAGGTAAAATTGTTAGAACATGCATTATTAAAGTTTGTTGATTTGTTATTTAATTTTTTTAACCATGATTCATATATATTATATACAGGTTTTGTATTTCCATAATTAATTTTTCTCTCAAACATCTTATTTCCCCTAATTCCCTTAAACGTCTCCCTATTGGCTTCAGCATAAAGAGACCGTCTTAGTTTAAATTTTCTCTTGATTTCCCAAATTGTTCATTTGGTCTTGCCCTTCAATTTCTTTGATAATGACCTGGTTTACCACAGTTCCAACAGAAGAATGTTCCTCTTGTTTGTCCTGTTAAGTTAGGTTTATTTTGGACAGAATTAACTCTTTTAGGAGGATATGAATTTACATTATTACTTAGCGTGTTGTCATTAAAATTCCTTCGGGGCACATGTAATTCGGCAAGCGAACTTACTGTGTTTACATGAAAGTTTGCTTTATTATCCCTACAATATTTTGCTTTATGGCCAAATCGCTTACAATTGTTATATTTTTCACCTATTTCTCGGTAATGTGATATGTCCATTGGTGTTATATTACGCTCATTGCCGTTACTTTTTTTCAAGTCAAACTTTCGTCTTAATTGCGTTTCAGCCATTGCCGAGTTTACTGCTTGAGCCAAAGTTTGTGGATTTTCACGCATTATTTTCATTCTCAAATAATCTTGATACAACCCGTTTATGAAAAAGTTAACTAATTGAAGTTGAACAATTGGTTGATTGATATCTTGCCCTCTAAAAGCATCTGTTGCCAAAGTTAAAATTCGTTCTCCAAATATGGGAACATTTTCACCAACTTTCTGATTAACCTTATTCAGAAGTTCGAATGCATATGATGCATCAGGAATATGCCCATAACGAAAATTCAATTGAGTTTTTAGATTATCCCAACTGTTATTTCCTATATCTGTTTCTCTTAACCACCTAGCAATGAAATCACTTACTGGCCCTACAGAAGTTTGGTACCATTTTACAATCGTTCGGATTTAAATTGGTAATGATTGCATATTTTTCTATGGATCGAATCCATTGAGAATATTTTTCTGAATTTGAACCATCAAAGCCTACAACTATCGAATTGACACCGTTTGCAGTTAATTTTTGAGTAAGACTTTGAACTTGTGTTGCTAAATTTTGAAAAACTAACCCTACATTAAATTCTTGTTCAGCCATTTTTGAGAATATAGTTATTAAGATTATCAAATAAAATTTCACTGTACCTTTCTTTAGAATTCGTCCTGGCACGGTACACCAAAAAGACTGTGTAACACAACAAGATAGTTAGTTAACAGTTTATTTAATGCCGGTCTGGAACGGAATCCATAACAGACAAGGTCCATAACGGCCGGTCTCTCTTCTAACAGTACATTGTACAAGCAACAGTTTATCAAAATTTCTATTACTTTGACAATAAGTTTTTATTTTAAAGATACACAGATGAATATCTTTCAAGCTGACTTTAATTGACATGTTTTTACCAATCTGGACAATTTATAGTTGTGAATCTTGCGTATGTCCAGTTCATTACTTAATTGTTTAATATTACAGTATAACATGTCAGCATATGGCCTACATGTGTACATGTACTTATATTTATATGTAATCTTAACCTTGAATTAAAACAATCAGTCTAAAACTTATTTGTATAATTTTCTTGATAGATATTTCCGTGTGTTATTTTATTCAATGAATTTTATTAAACATATTAAGAATATATAAATATATATATATTTTGAAGCCCATCATATTGTCACAGATGCAGATATTAAGTCTACGACAAATAGACAGGTGATTACACATTGTCGATATGTCTTGCTCTAAACTATCTCGATTCCATGAAAGATATACATGAATTCAAAGAAGCAATCAAAGATCTGCTATTAACACTCAATTCTCTAAATAAAGGGGGATAAACATTACGATATGATATACGACCGTTAACGACAACGTTCCTGACGTAGGACACGCACACATTTAAATGGGCTATTATACTTAAGATTCATTTAATACATTCCCCTTTTATCGTACAACATTCCTAGGAAAAAAAGAGGACAAATTACAGCTAAGATTTAAATCTGTCGCCTCCACGTACGTACGGGTTTCACTCCGTCCCGTCGAGGGCTTATGTTCCCAACAAACCTAGACAGTAGTTACTAGACTGCGGGTTGATAACAAAACATGCAGTGCAAAGTTATATGTACAAATTATTCAATGAAAAAGGTACAATATATCAAAGTTTTGTGTTTGTTATCACGAAAAAGCCATGATAAAGACTCATTTTATGATTGAGTCGTTGTTTAAATTTTTTTGGGACTATTAAATTTTAATCTGTGCAGACCACAACTTCAAAATAGACGAAAAATGGCAAAAACCTACAAACGTATATAATACGTATATAACTAACTGGATTTTTGCCAATACCTTCTCTGAGGAAAATTTGCAAATTGTGTACTATATAAGGGTTTCAAACCCAACACCTCGTATGCTTACCTCTGAAAGACGAAGCTTGTTTTGTTACGTATTCTGTCTGCAAAACGATTTTTTTTGTGTTTTTTGTTTTACTTTTGCTTTTTGCATTGTTTTTGGTATTATATTTTTTTAAGAAAAGGGGGATCTCTTGAAACAGATTTTTCAAATGATAAACATCAGCTATAAAATGCCAAATACTTTCAATGTTTAGTAAATAGGCAACAACTTTTTGACACATAAAACATTCATAAGAGTCAAAGGAGATGCAAGGCATACATCAAGAAAACAGCTAGCCAACAACACAAAACTGAACGGTATGAAATTCGCTGTTTTTTTTTATTTTATAAGATTCTCAGTTAAAATATACACCACTTTTCGCGTGCAAGGGGTGGAGTTTCAAAAAGGGTCTGACAATTGTTGATATGAAAAAAGAAATAATCAAGAAAGAAGGAGATTTTTTCTTCTGTTTGGACATTTTCCTCATCGTTTAGTTTTTGCTGATTTGTATTTGTCTCCAGGAAATTAGTAAGACTTACGTATAGCTGCGCTAATTTTCTAAAATTGTGTGTGCGTTAATTACTGTCGTTTTTCGCTTGACACCAAGAAGGTATATGATTCGGACCCGGTCACAGAGAACATACAAGAAAGTAGTACATATGTAAAACAAAATAGTTCCTACGCGTAGCTGTAACTTTGTCCAAAAGTAAAAGAAAATGGATAATTAGTTAATATCAAATGAAAGGCTCTACGTCTTAGGATCACGGTAGAAGCCTTGATGGAAGTTTCTCATAAATAATAAAATAGATATATGAAATTATGATGAGGGACATGTTTGCCCTGTTGCCCAGATCGGAACTACCTGTTTTTATACTATCCAACTTTCGGGAACCAGTGAGCTCTATTATGTAATATGTTGATTTTTTCAGCACAGTCAAGTCGGGATCAGATAAATTTGCTATGAAATAACTGCCGCTTTATTCTAACTTAAGACGAAATAGCTATAAATGCTTAAAATTGCATAGTGGTTTTATTCCAGAAAACAATTTTTGAAGCAAGTGCGTGTCTGCGTTTCTAAAGAATTCTGTTTTTCTTCACTCAGAAAAATACCCCAAAAAAAGCAAATGTTTAAGTAGACTTGAGGTGAATTTCTGACACAATGGCTTTAATATGCATGGAATATTTGCCACTGAACGTTAAGTAGAAAACATTCAAATCAATCCACTAGCAAGTGACACATTTGCGTAATACTGCATTGACGCATTGACGAATTCTCGAAATCCAATATGTCTGACGTAATAAAGTCACTGTACTAGTTACTCCTCCGTGAAGTTGTTTCACATGTGCATCTTTTATATCCAAAGTTGTGAAACTATGTTTTGTTGGCAACAAATATGGAAATTTAGCGGTTTCGCTCAAAGGTGCATTGTTAATTCTGCCTCCGCATCTCCAAATGTTCTGATCGTCTTTATAAAGTTTCAACTGTTTTAATATTGACGGACTTTTAGTCGAATTGATGTGATGAAATGAATTATCCTGAGTGCTCTTGATCCATAATAATGTTGAATGGTTAATTTCCTCTACCGTTAGTGCTGCTGTGTTCCTTTGATTCTTTTGTAGTTTACAATTCTTGATAAATCTAAGTATATATGCGGTAATTCTCAAAAGTCTTCTTAAACTACTGAACTGGTCTAAATTAATAATCCGGTGAAGTCCCGATTCTTCATTCTGATTCTGTGTTGATGTGAGTAGTGACAAATTGGCTCAATGTCATATTCAGCATTTGTTAGCAATGCCATTTTGTTTCCGTTCCAAGTAGGCCATTCAGTTTCGTTGATAGTCCACTTCGGTCCTTGTGTCCATAATTCGTTGTTCAGAAATTTATCTGCAGATGTGCCTCTAGTTTGTAAATCTGCAGGGTTCATGTCCGTTGGGCAATATTTCCATCGCTGATTTTTAACAAGTTCTTTGATTTCAGTCACTCGGTTAGCAATAAATTTCTTCAGTGGTTTCATCGACGCAATCCATGCTAAAACAATTTGGCTATCGGACCAAAATGTTACTTCCATGTCTCCTAAATTTTTCAGTAAATGATTAGCTAGTCTCGCTCCTGTTAATGTTCTCATTGATTCCAGTTTCAAAAAACGCTCTAAATCAATCTCCTCCTTCTTATGTTGTACCAAAATATTCATCATTGAAGCTGCAACTGTATAACCTGTTGTGTTGATCATCGGTCCCGATAATAAATACCCAATTTTTGATTTCACAGCTGTTGGACCATTTCCGCGGATTATATTGTTTTCAACAATGTCCCAATAGTAGTCTGCGCCTATTAACAAAGAAATCTCAAATTTATAGTCCTCACATACGGGGTGTGCTAATCTTAAACATTTTAAATACGGAAGTTTAGATGCTTCGTAATTCATTCGGTTCTGTAGAAGGGCAGCTATTGTGGGTACAATAAGCACTTCCATTGGTATTCTTTCTCCTTGTTGGGTTTCCAACTCAATAACCGCTTTATCAAGGTTACGTACGTTCCTGTTTGCGTCTCCAAATGCAGCTAGACTGACTGTGGTGGTTCCCTTTGTTGTAATTTGAAATTTTGTAGCTAAATTTTCTGAAATGAAAGATTTCTGTGAGCCTTCGTCTAGCAGTATATTTGCGGATACGGTCTGGTTTCCTGTCCAAACTGGTGAAATTGCTGTTTTCAGTAGTACATCAGTTCTAGATTGCATGGGCAATGTTGACGAAGTGTAAAATATAGATGTGTTACTATTTCCCTCTTCAATATCAACTGTATTTACAGATGCGGTTGTCTGCTCATCGTGTAATTTTGTCTTGTCTTTATTACATAGGCTTGTGTGATGTTTGTTATTACATTTACGGCATTTAAATTTACGGCATTCTGAAACGTTATGATTTCCGAGACAATTCAAACAAAGGTTTTTCTGTTTAACTATGGTAAAGCGTTTTTCGTGGTCTACAATGTTTGTACAATCTACTGACGAATGCGACTGTTTGCAATATACACATGGTTTAGTTGTCAATCGTGTATTCATGGTCTTGATCTGATTCCCCCTAAATTGTTGTTTATTTGTGCTTGTCTTAGGAACGGCTCCCGTGTGAAAAGACGCAGTTGATGTCATATTATCGGACATGCATGTATTCACATTACCAGCTTCTTGTACATACATCTCTTTTGCTAAAGCTTCACGCAGCGATATTATATCCCAGCTATTTTTTCCGTGTTCCCGTGTTAAGTTTTTCCTCATTTCTGCGGGTAGTTTCCCGAAAATTATGGGTTCAAGAAGGGATCCATATGTATCTTGCGTCTGACCTAGGGATTCAAGTCCCCTGATATTCGCTTCCAATCTGTCATAAAATGACTTAATACTACTGAGGGTAAATGAAGGACTTGGTAAATCAGGAAGATTTTGCATGTGTGCGTTGATAATTTTCTGTTGTTGACCGTAACGCTCCTTCAGTAAATTAATTGCTTGATCATAGTTTGCGTTGGTTAGGGATAACCCTGTAATACACTGTGCTGCTTCGTAATAGAGTTGTTGATTCTCAATTTAATTTTCTGAAATTGTCTGGTTAGTTCTATTGATTAGTCTTGTGACGGCGCTTCTGTGTCAACCACGAATTGCTTTCAGCTTCTCCATGAGTCGCGGCACCAATGTTTGGGTTTAGTTGGTTAGTACTTCGTTTGTGTAAATAGAATACGTGTGAACAGTTCTAATTGCTTTTAATGACTCTACTTGCTTGTATGACTACAATAACGTAATAAACGTGTTGACGTTACAAAGGTAACGTTAGTTACAGTCCGTGAAAGAATAGCGACAAAATACTTGACACTGGGTTATACGTCAACTGGACAGCAACCCAACGACAGAAATAAAAAAAAACATCTTGATGCAGACATTAAGTCTACGACAAATAGACAGGTGATTACATATTGTCGATATGTCTCGCTCTAAACTATCTCGATTCCATGAAAGATATACATAAATTCAACAGAAACAACCAAAGATCTGCTATTAACACTCGATTATCTAAATAAAGGGGGGGGGGGGGGGTTAACATTACGATATGATCATTCTTATATGATTTGCATATTGGGGAATACGTTGATATGATTGGTCGAGAGGACATCCGGTAGTTGTTCTTGACGTTGTTTATTTTTCGATAGACGACGTTGACCGAACTTCCTTTTGTAACCAATGTAAACAAGATGGCGGCTTTAATAA